TAATACCGGGAAGCCCACGGATGACGGGGAAAGCCGCGGAAAAGAAGGTGCTGCCATCACCCATGAAGCGGTGGCTGTTGCAACGAAACTGCTGTCGTCTGTTCCAGCCTCTATGAATGCCCAGCAATGGTTCGACGGCATCTCGGGGCAACTATTCGCCTTATTCGATGGCGAGGCTGGGCCTGATGTCGCAAAAACGGCAGCGCAGATTGTCGGATTTGGTATCCTGGGTAAAAAGCAATTTGGAGCACCAGGTAACAAAGCGAGAATTTGCCTAAAACATCAATGGTTTCCCCCCGTGTGTATTTGGTTACTAACCTGAGTAAATAGGAGCACCTGGTTGGAACGCTTTTGTGGCGCCTCTACTGGAGGCCATAAATCCATCACTAAAGTCCTCAAAAGTGGGCTCTTCTCTCAAATCTGAAAAAGCTGATGAAATCGTGGAGCTTGGTCGAAACAAAATCCTTGTCATGGCCTCAGATTTGGAGAGAACACTCAGACGGCTAGAGCTGTTGATCATGTCAAATCCTTCACCTGGTCTCTGCAAACGAGTTCTGAAGCCCATTCGTTTACAACTTTGGGCGCTCGCTTCATGGACCAACGCCTCACAGGATACTGACAAGCGTTTCTGTAAGCCTGCGCGGATTCTTGTGCAGACCCACCTGAGATTGTTTGGTGACGTGGACAATATCATCCCGTTTATCCGCAATATTCGATGCAGAGGAACCCTGCATGATGCAGAAGAATTACAATGGCGCTACCACCTTCGGCCTGAAGGAGGAATAGAAGCCATCCAACTAGCGTTCGGCGAGCAGAAGCAACAGGAGGCGGAGTTAGACTGGGGGGAGATGGAAAGCAAATCAACGATCTTGGTCGAGTTTGTGAGCTCAGTCTGTTCCACTGAGGAAATTTCTTCGGTCTTTTTGTATCTTTTACGACGATGGATACAGTCGGCAAGCAAACAAAACGGGGATCTATTTATACAGGTAGCCACTCGCGATGAAGAAGCAGACTCGGCACTCCAGGATCTTGTGGACGTAACGTTATTACAAAAGTTCATGGACAAGGCTCCAGAAAAACTAATCAGTCATTTCGATCAGCTTCTGGAGCTCATATCTCATGTACTACGAGCTGACGGCCAGACTCCCTTGGGAGATGATATCCTTGGTATTGTGCTGAGCTTGCTCAATTTGGTCGTCACAGCACCGACCTTTCAGAAGTCGGATATCAATCCAGCTGAGCTTAAGGTCGTGGAAGATGCACTGGTGAGAATTGGGGATCAAGATCGAGGCGATGCATCGATCACAGCGAAGAATCTGGCTCTGTTACTCAAATACCGGGACGAGGTGGAAAACCCAGATGACAAAACCGCTACTCCTACCGCCCGACAGATTGAAGATCGCAAGACTTACAACCTGGCGATGAACTACATTACGGGAGACAGCGATAGCCCACCACCAGTAGTATCTGAGGGCTTGAACCTCTTATCTAACCTGATTGTGGCTGAAAGTCCAGTGTTGGATATTTCAGCCGTCACAGTCCTAATGTCTAATCTCCTAAAAGAAAACGAAGACTTTATCAATCTGCGAGTCATCCGAATATTTACGCAGTTGGCGAATAAACACCCCAAATCCACCATGCAAGAGCTGCTTGACCATTACTTGGACACGCAAGAGAAATCGTCTACAGATACTCGGCTAAGATTTGGCGAAGCAATACTCCAGGTTATTGAGAGACTAGGGGAAACATTTACAGGAGAGGCAGCTCAGAATGCGGGTGAGAGTATGCTGTCGATTGCGGGCAGAAGAGGACACAGGCCGAAAACGATGGCTAAACAGGCACGAGAGGAAAGGTTGACCGAACTGAAGAGAAAAAAGGCAGAAGCTAGCGGGGGTGCCGATGACGATATTGATATGGCGGATGAGGAGGTAACATCAGATGAGATGGCCAGTAATGAGATATTGGCCCAGATTGTCCAAGGGTGGGAAAGCAAAAGGGGTAGCGAAGACATTCGAATGAGAACATCGGCTCTATCCATCTTTGGAAATGCCATTGAGACGAACATTCTTGGCATGGGGCCGACTTTGGTCTCGGCAGGAGTCGACCTCAGCATCAATATCCTCGCCATGGAGCCGGAGCTGGAGAAGGGTATACTTCGGCGGGCGGCCATCCTCGTTATTCTCAGTTTTGTGAGAGCGCTGGACAAGGCCAAGGAATCCGGACAAAGATTGGGATTCGGCTTGACAGACCAGAGCCGAGAGGACATACAGAGGACTCTGGACTACATTGCCGCAACGGATAACGATGGGTTGGTGCAGCAACACGCACGCGACGTTGTGGAGAGTCTTGAGAACTGGGGCATGGCAAGTCTACTGCCGAGTCAAGCAGAGGCGAACGCCGCGCCTGGCTTGACGAGATTAGCGGGATTGCATGTGAATCCTGAGGGCACCCTGGTAGACGCTGCTGGACGGCCGCGACCAAGGATAGAAGAGGTGGAGTGATGGAAGTTTTCTGGACGCCGAGTTCTTCTTTTCCGTCTTCTCGACTAATACCTCATATAGCAATGCAGTCGTAATTAGACGGAGCAAAGAGCCGACATATCCAAGATGATGTCCATTTACACGCGCGGCGCTTACCTTTAAATGATTTAGATGCATTGCCCCATCAAGACGTTCCGTTAAGGACGCAAACGCAATCTCCAGTTCACAGGCCGGACAGCCGAAGATGGTTTACGCAGGATATTACTTTTAGGCAAGAGTCGTCACCGCGGCACCGTGATTCGCACTCTTGGAGGCCGTGGCTGACTCGGAGGCTCCCCACTCCGCGCCGTGACATGCCGGCTAAATAAGCAAAAGCGCTGTCATTTTTTTCTTCTAAGAACAGCGTATACACGATGGCGAAAGACGGGAAGATGGAGCGTGAGAGAAAATAAAAATGGTGAAAAAAATGAAAGAGGAAAAAAAATTCTACTTAACGCGCGACTAGAGTGAATACATGTATTGTACACGTATTGGCCAGTAGTTGATGATGGTCACAGAACGTTAGGAGCAAGGTACATGGAGCTGACGCAGGGGGCGTTTCTCGTTTCTCTTATCTCAAACGGATTCACGAGAATAAGGTTGACGGGGGTCTACCCTTGCAAAAACACCGTATACAGGAAGAGAGAGTAACTCCAGTGACACAGACGCTGCACAGCGCAAATCCTGCGGAGAAGAGCGGTTCGGATCTTGACGGTGCGGCTGATACGGCGTGACGGATGGAGCAACACCAGGAAGCCAGCAGTAGTATTCAGCGAATATATGGAGTATCAATCGCAACTATTCGCGATTGTGTGCGACTGTGCAACAAACAGGCTGAGCCTATTTCTGGTGGCGAGCCGAAACCAAAGCTCAGTCAGCAGCTGGTCGTTTCACAGGCTGCAGGGGTTCCGAGTGCGTCTTGCCTTGCGGGGGTTTTGCCCAATCCAATCCAAGGGGGCGAGAATTGTATCAGGCGAGGACGAGAATAAACACTGATGCTTGGCCAATGCGCGCATACTAGTAGTACTCACCCGTGCGGGAAAATACTTGGTACTTGTACTACTGGTGTAGCTGAGATCAGGTCATGTATACAAAACCAACGGCGTTGTTGAGCGAATTAAAAAGAAAAAGAAACCTCTGATATTGCGCCTACCAAGGCAAGATTAAAAGGAAATGAGATATGAAGGAAAGAAAATTGGATACCTCTGCAGCCACTAATCCAATTACGATACAATTTTAATAAAAAGAAAAAGAAATCGACGCATTGCGTATGTGAGGCCGCGCATACTATTGCTGGTACTGGAAGTAGTATCGCATGTTGGCTGGGGCTCCTCGAAAATTAAGGGCCCTGCTGGCTGTTTTGGTTCCGGCGGCCGCCCTCGAAGGCGAGAGCCTGAGCCAATGGGAAGGGCTTGCGGCTGAAATTTGCTTCGGGACGGGGGTTTGAGCATTAGGCTTGGCACTTTATTCGTGATTGCATCTCGATTTTATTTCTTGGTTTCTGGTCAAAAGAGTCCATGTTGATGTTATATGTCCCGTTCGGGAAGAGGCCGAATTGGAAATGGTATTGGGGGAGTACGAGACTCTGTATCCTCGTAGTTAGTTGAGCGAGTTCAATACTACTAGTAGTAGCTACAGCCACTCGGAATGGCCTACAGTACATGAAGGCTGAGCAAGGAAGATGTCCGAGCTGATGCCGTGCATCCAGGCACCAATACGTGTAAGCATACAATAGAGTACAAACATGAGCAGAAAAACAGAACGGAACAGAAAAAGCGCCTCTTTCTGGCAATGGCCAACTGATTGGCTCCGGGCTCGTCTCAGGACCCTGAAGCCAACGCTGCGTACCTGCATCGGCCCCTGGCACTAACACGTCTTCGGCCAAATCTTAGCGCCAGAACTCGGAACCGCCAGTCGGTGACATCCATCCAAGGCCACTTAACTGGCGTAACGACTCCATCAAGGGGTCGCAGCAGTGAGGGGGATGTGAGGGAATCAACCCCCAGCAAATGAGTTGATGCTGTTTGCTGGAAACGAGGGGCGGGGCTGGGGGTCTTTTTTTTCCTTTTTCGAGGAGAGAGGGGGGCGTTTAATGTTCATGATGTTTGCTTGGGGGGGGGGAAGGCCGTGCCGCGCTCCGACAAAAAGGCTCGATATCCATCCGATCCTGACTCGTCCTTCTTCTCTTTTTTTTTTCTTGCTTCTTCTTCTTCTTTTTTTCGTCACAATAAAACTCTTGCTCTGTCTCTCTTTTTGTGCAGCTCGTCTGTTTGGCAGCTTTAACGTCTTTTTTACACTCATTACCATAAAAAAAGCCAGTCTTTTTTACCCACAAGTTCGGCTTGACGTCGACTTACACCAGCACTCATTTACACATATACGCGGAATTGATTTTCGCCTACAGTCTCTATCCAAGCAAGAAGCAAAAAACAAGAACCAACAAAAACAACATCATCACCACCGCCAAACAAGTCTTTCAAGATGAAGTCTGCTGTTGCTGCCACCCTCCTCGCCGGCCTGGCCTCTGCCAGCTCGCCCATCCGCCACCTGCACTTCCCCAGATCCAACGGAACCATCACCTCTGCCGTTGACAATGCCGCAGCGCCCACCACGCTGACCGTCATCGCAACCTCGGTGCACACCGTCATCAGCTGTGCTGCCACCGTCACAAACTGCCCGGCCCGCACCAACGCCACGGCCATTGGCAGCCTGCCCGAGTCCGCCCGCACCACCGTCGTTGTCACCGACACTGTCGTGCTGGCCACCACCGTCTGCCCCGTCGAGCAGGCCTCCAGCATCTCCTCCTCCCTCCAGGCCGCCCACTCCTCCGGCCTCATCACCGGATCGACCATTACCGCCTCGGCCCCTGCGGTTACCACTCCGGCCCAGGCTGGCGGTGCTCCTCCCGCCGGTGGTGCTCCCGGCAACAATGCTCCCGGCGGCGCCAAGGTCACCTTCTCGGACGTCGTCACCGACAAGACCCTGACCATGACCATTGGCAAGGGCGCCAGCGCCTCGGTTCTGACCACCACCGTCCAGGCCACCACCCGTGAGACCATCACCATCACCAGCACCCTCGGCAACGGTAGGACCAACCCCGAGCCCACCACCACCCTCCACTCGACCACTACTGACACGACTTACATCACAGTCCAACCCGTCCAGACCGGCAGCGGCAGCTCTGGTTCCAGCACTGGTGGCAACGCTCCTCCTGCTAACGGATCTCCCGCCAACGGTGGCTCCGGCTCCAACTCTGGCTCCGGCTCTGGTTCCAACTCTGGCTCCGGCTCTGGTTCCAACTCTGGCTCCGGCTCCGGCAACGGCTCCGGCAACTGCGCTGGTGCTCCCACCGTCACTGTCACCGTCGCCAAGGAGACCGTCACCGTCCCTGCCTCCACCGTCTTCGTCACTGTTGAGCCCAGCTCTTGCAGCTCTTCTTCCTCCTCTGCCGTCACCGGCCAGGCTGCTGGCTCCGGCTCCAACTCCGGCTCCGGTGCCTCCAACGGCAACGGCAGCTCTGGCTCCAACAACGGCTCCGGCTCTGGCTCTGGCTCTGGCTCTCAGGGCAACGGCTCTGGTAACAACGGTGCTGGCAACGCTGCCGCCACCACCTCCACTCCTTGCCCTACTGACATCACCACCACCGTCCGCTCCACCGTCACCGTCACTCCTTTCCCCGTCAACAACGGCACTGCTGCCACCAGCGGCGCTGCTCGTCCTTCCTCTTCTGGCTTTGCTAAGCTCCGCCGATAAAGGGTTTACTTTTCCCCTTTCTCATAGGGAAAGCCTTGTAAGAGTATTGTTTAACATGGAGGGTAAAAGGGTCAGGATTCGATCATCGAAAAGGACGCATATATCACAGCGTTTAGATAAGAGAGTGATTTCTTTTATCTGCGCCGTTGCATGATAGACGTGTTTTTGGACTTTTTTCATGGTTATTGCGTTTTGAGAGGGTTTTGGATATAATTTCATATATATCCGGCGAGGGCAGAGACGATTTGTACTTACTTTGTTACTTATTTTGAAAGACTTAACATTCGTGTGTGTATATGTTATATTTACCGGCTGTCCGAGACGGCTGTCAGAAATGATTTGAGAGCAATCTCTTTCCTCTGAATTGAACGATTTGTGACGTTCATAAGCCATAATTGGTTGTCTTGCGCGAGTGCGATGTCATGGTGAATAAAAAATCGTGTGTTCTTCTTTAGTAGTACTACCTGTTGAAAGTAAAGCGAACCCTATCTTTAACATATATACGCCATTCGTTTAATCATGAACATACTAAGGGATATATATAACACAAGCCAGCTCGGTGTCCTCTGTACAAAGCCTAAAAAAAAATCAACGCATGCTTTGCCCAACGAATGACAAACTCCATTCTCCACGTTTAGAAGAAGACAAATCATTATCTCCAGTACGAATATTATTTCTTTCTGTTTTCGCTTCTCGAAGCTTCATCTCTCGATTTTTCTCTCTCTCCGTTTTCTCCTTTAACCAAGCACTACGCGCTCATACTGCTCTTGACCCAGCTGTTTGAACAAGACATCTTGCAGCGCAGCCTTACTCCGGGCCAGCTGCGGAACGATGCCGTCGGTTTGCTGGAGGTTGTTCTTGATGCTTTCCATGTGGTCACTGAGTTGGAGAGCTAGAGATTTAAGCTCTGGGTCATCGAGGTCCTATGAAGATAGCGAATTGCCCGGTCAGCGATTCCAATAGAAACAATGACGTACTTGAGTATAAAGCGAAGTAAAAAAAAAATGAGACTTACACTGAAGAGGCCCCCCAAAACAGAGGTGTTAGAGTGGCTGAGAGATATGTCTTGCTCGGCCCTCTGTTTCCACCGCTCATGAACGATTTCGGGCGTGGGCGCCAAGACGTGTGCCTTTTTCAGCATGCCGCGATACTCCCTCCCTTGTGCCTTTGCGCTCGATTCCAAATTCCGCAGCGCTTCATAGTCCTGCTCCAGCTCTCTCTCCAGTTTCTCCTTCTCACGAGTCAGCAGCTCGACTGCGTGAAGCGCCGGATCCAGCTGCCGTTCCAGGGCCTGCTTTGCGTCGAGAACGCTCTCAAAGTCCAGCTCGATAGCACGCCCGTCCATCGCATTAGCAGCAGCTGACGCGGCGCTGGCTTGTCGACCGCCACGAGGCACCCGGGCGGAAGGCATGCTTGCCGGAGGGAAGGGAATACCCTTTGCGAGCTTGCGGGTGATGCGGTGAGAAATGAGACGGAGCGCGGTCGAGGTGTGAGCGTGACGCTGCTCGCTGCCGGAGAGGCGTTGGAGGATGGGGCGGTGAGCCATGAGAAGCATTGAAGAAGCGATTGAGATGGTAGAGTCTGGTAAGGGGGTCCATTTCGATTCGATGGTCGATTGGCGGACTCGGTGGATGTGAGGCGAGACATGGAGGTAAGGCTTTGGAGGCGAAGGAGGGGCATCGTCATCCTCTTCGGCGTCGGCGCTCTCATGAGATTGGCGCTTCTTCTTCTTTGGTAGAGACGCATCCTTTGCTGGTCTACCTTCAGCCTCAGGGGATCTTCTTGCGGTGGGTCGTGGTGAATCCTCCGCTGCCATCCCAGTTGAGGCTCTCGTACTTCCGGGAGGACGGCCACGCCGTTTGCCTGATGCTGTATTCGACGGACTGTCTACCGCCTTTCCTTTGGCCCTAGGTTTTGGTTGGATCGCATTCGGTACGTCTATATCTCGTAGCGATGGGCGCCCTCGTTTTCGCTGCTCTCCTTGTTTCTTCCCCTTGGCCGGGCCACGCTCCGGGGTTCCCTCTTCCTCTCGGGCCTGCAGAGAGGGACGGCCTCTTTTTCGTTTAACCGGCACCGGGGTCTCATTCTGCAGCTGATCTTCTTCCGACTCTGATTCGGCATAGTTGATACGTCTACTAGTCCCTCGTCGACTTGGAGGCGATTCGGTTTCTTCGTTGCCCTGCTGCAGTGTATCTTCCTCTTCCTCTTCGTATTCTCGGCTCTTTAGCGACGGGCGCCCTCGCCTCCGCGTTTGCTGCGGTGGCGTCGCCTCGTCTTGGTCTTCACTCAGGTCCCTTGCCTTACTCCCCATCGATGGTCTCCCTCTCTTCTTCGCAGGTTTGGAACCCTCCGGCACTGGGCTGGGCTCCTCGTCGGGAGAGCCCACGCTTTTCCTCGGCCTGCCGCGCTTCTTCGGGCGTATCTGATCAGGCGCATCAGTTTCATACGTTTCGGCAGCATCGTTGCGCTCTTGCGACGCGTTAGCATCGAGCTTGGACGCGTTGGATGGCCGACCGCGTTTGCGCTTCGGATTTGATGCTTCAGGCGCCTGTAGATAGGTGATTCATTAATTAGCGAATAGGGCTCTGATGACGGCAGAGGCCGCAGATGATGAGAAACCAGAGTAATAGATACCATGATAGAATAAATAAATAAATAAATGTTGACGCCTTAACAGTCGAATTAATCCAAATCAAGCCGGGCGAGCGAGACAGAAAAGATCAAACGCTGCTTAAGCTGCTAATTCCTGCATCGCGCAGTGCATTGAAGCCCACACATACTGGAGCCCTCGCCAACTCTAATTGAAACTGACCTGCAAACGGTCGCCCAATGACGCACTCTTCTCCAGCGGGGCCTTCTAGAATTTAGCGGCTTTAAGCGGCTCGCAACCCCGCGACTTTGTTTTTTCCAGACACAATGGAGCAGCACATCTTAAGTACTGATCCATCGGTGCTACCACACCGACATCAACCGATACCTTGAAAGATAAGATGGGAAGATCTAGATAAATGAATGATAGGTGCCTCAAGTAGGCCTCATATTAGCCATTCTTATTCTTCTAGCGCTCCCTTATGTCTGCTCTGCTTTATATCTGTCTATCCATCCAAATGACACATGTCAGAAGCAAAAGCTCGGCGATCCTGCTGTTGCTCTGATACGCTAACGCAGACCGTCCAGGCCTCCGCCTAACTGACGACTCAGCTTTGTTGACTATCAGAAGCCCACTGTGAGCTCAACAAATCAAGAAGAGGAACCCGAGCACTCGATCATCCAGGGTCTTCGGCAGCAGCTAGCGGCACATTTCTCCAAAGTTTACTCTCCTTGTAGATTAGATTAGCATTCCGTAGCCTGACCTTTTCTTCTCTCTTCTTCCATCGTTCTGCTGCTTTTTCACCTCCTACATCTCTTCTATCCCAGGTCCTATCCCGTCGGTTTCACGTCTCGCCCGCATATCACTCTACAGTAAGCTTCACAATGCGCTTCTCCGCAGCTACTCTTGTCGCGGCCCTGCCCGCCCTCGCCGCCGCCCAAGAGAATCCTCTGGATCAGTATGTGGCCCAGTTCCAGCAGATTCTGGGACAGATTAGCTCCAAGCTCCCGCTTCCCGGCTCATATGATGCCGCTGGCGCTCAGGAGGCCAAGACCGGTCCTATGAAGCTGTCTGTCCTGAACCTGGATAACTGGAAGGAGACGCTCTACGAGCCCGTGGCACCCGAGTCAAAGACGCCTGAGGAGTGGTATGTTTTGTTCACCGGCGGTAACAAGACATGCTTCGGTAAGTTGTTCGAGACATTAATTCATCTCAATTGCTCTACAATGTTTGGCTAATCCTGCCTGCGCCAGGCCACTGTGGCCGAATTGAGGCTGCCTTCAACGAGACGGCGACCAAGTTTGCGGAGGTCCCAAACACTCCCCATATGGCCCTTGTCAACTGTGACAACCAGCCCGTTCTTTGTAACGCTTGGTCTGCCAACCCTGGCAACATCTGGGCTATTGAGATGCTTCCCGAGCCAGCCCCCATCGACATCTACAAGACGAGGCTGAACCTTACCACCGTCACCTCTGACGACATTGTCAAGCTGCACGAGGCCGGAAACAAGGACAGCTTTACCCTCGTCGATTCTTGGTTCCACCCCTTCAACGGCAAGGCCGTTGAGCTTGGCTTGGCCACTCCTCTTGGATACCTCATGTGGTTTTTCGGCCTCCTCCCCAACTGGGCTTTTATGTTGATTGTTTCTTTCGCTAGCCGAAGCTTCATGTAAGTTTGGATGCCCATTTTCGCAGCTATTCTCGCGTCATCATGGCTAACAATGCCAATTTAGGGGCAACCGCATGCAGCCAGGCCGACAGCCCGGCGGTGCTCCCCAAGGAGCCCCCGCCCCCGCCCCGCGAAAATAATCAAGTGGCTTGTACAAAGTCTGTATGATTTTCTTTGGCAGAATTTGGGATATCGAGCCATAGAGCATTGGATGAAGTGATGTATATCATGAAAAAGGGAATAAATCTCTGGAGGCTTGTCTTTTATGAATGATACCAACATGAGGGCCGTTGGTTGAAGACTTTTTTGGGTATGATGAGATACGTAGCTTTATGACGGTGAAAAAAATGGGAAAAGTCCAAAATCTTTTGATCATGACTTGCTCTCGCATGTTTCTTGGAGTGACTTCAAGCCATCAATGATTTCGTCGCGAAGATTGCCGTTGGACAGTTTGCCGTAGCGAAGATCGCTTAAGCCCCCAACGGTCTGCTGGATGGACTCCCGGAGAGCGGCCTCTTCTTCTTCGAGCCTCTTGATTTCTGCTTCCAGAGCACCAACCGCGCCCTCAAGCTCTGGGATCACCGAGTTTAGGCTGTGCGTGGCTCTTTTTACTCCAGAATCATGACCAAACAGCTGCTCTCTCGTCAGTATGAAGCCTTGAGTGACAATGTACGAAGTGATAATGCAGCTTTTAATTCTAATTCCTGCTTGTTGCAAAGAAGAAAAAGAAGAAAGAACCAAGGTACATAAGAATGAGACTTACCGCTCTCTCCATTTCAACCTCTCCGTCCATGTCATCTCTCTCCGCCTCCCTCTTCTGCCGCAAAACCTCTTTTCTCATAACCGCTCCGCGCTTCACTTCATCCTGTATATTCGCGGCAACGGCATCAACCACCACGTTGCGCTGGGCCTGCAGGTCGCGATAGAGAGACCGCAGTTGAGACGAATTGTGCAGTGCCCGAGGGAATAGCAGCGCGAATTGGTCAAAAGTGGCTATTGAAGGCAGGGGAGCCGGCTGGAGAAGATAGTTTGTGAGGATATCAGATTCCGTGGGCGGGGCCATCGTGGGCAATACTTGAATCGATTTAGTGAAGAAATGTATATTATGTTTGTTTGGGATAAGATTGGTCCTGGGCTGTGCCGAAATAAGGCTGGTACGGTTTTCAAGGAGATGGCGATTGTCAGTTTGAATGTTGCTGCAAAGAGATCTAAGACGTCTTGACGCGTTTACGTGAGCGAGGCTGTACTGTAAATACACGTACAGGACCGCTATCTATCCGTTTTACAGGGCTTTAGAGACCTGCTAGTCTAACGCGGCGCCAAGCGAAAGGCAGAAATATCGAGACCGCAAATGGAATAAGTGCATGCCAGAAATGGCATACTACAAGCAATGGAATATGCGCCAGTTGCGGTTTTTGGACGTCTGTAATTTTACTCCAATGAGCTCAATGATTTTCCCGTGCCCTGCTTTTCCCCCCTCGCTTGGGGCGCTAAACGTGCATCGCTGGGATGACGGCGCAGCTGCTAGGCCTGGGTAATCATCATTGATCTCTAATGCCTTAGTATTGCCTGCCAAGCTTGCCGTCAAGCAACCGCAACGTCATCTGACGGAGCGTGGAGCGCCCAGACCAGGAACCCAGCTTCGCAGCTTAGTGGCCAATTCCGGCGCCCAGAGGGCTCTGCCAGCCGGAGTTTCCGCTGCGCCACAAGCTCCAACGCCTACCGCGCCAACACAGCCACCTGGAACGTCGTCACTGTCCGCCTGCACACAATCGACTTAGACTTTGGCCGCTGACTTGCAACCCAGCTTGCGAAGGCACCTGTCCGTCTCCCGGATCGCCGGTGCTTTTGCGCGCGGACTTTTGGTTTCCTTTGCCTCCAGAACCTCTACTTACCTTTTCTCTCATCATACGCACATTCCGCAGAGTCCTCGTCGCCATGAGTTTCAAAGGCTTCCAGAAGAGCATTATTAGGGTAATTATTTCCTTGGCTTTCCCCCCTGCCCCTCACCTCATGCGGCCGCAACAGAAATCCGCCCCTCCGAAGCTGGGCGAAGCGTCGAGAAAAAAAAGAAGAAAGGGGGGAAGAGCCTCCGCGGGAGATGCAGCTACGATGCGATGCAGTGGCTAATCTAGACTTACAATATAGGCGCCGCAAACCTTCAAGTCCAGGTTCAACATCGGCGAGCACACGAAAGACGCAGTATATATCGACGCCGAACGCAGATTCCAGGAGCTGGAAAAGGAGACGAAGAAGCTCCACGATGAGTCCAAGAAATATTTCGAGGCCATCAATGGCATGTTGGCCCACCAGATTGAATTTAGTAAAGCAATGACCGAGGTTTACAAGCCCATCTCCGGGCGCGTGTCCGACCCCGACTCCATAAAGCCCGAAGGCAACCCAGAAGGCATCGCGGCTTGCGAGGAGTACGAGGCTGTGGTTCACGAGCTGCAAGAGACTTTGGCGCCAGAGCTGGAAACGATAGAGACCAGGGTCATCCGACCTGCCAACGAGCTGCTAGACGTCATCAAAGTCATTCGCAAGACTGCACTAAAGCGAGATCACAAGCAGCTCGACTACGATCGACACCGTGCGACTCTCAAGAAGCTGCAGGATAAAAAGGACCGCTCTGCCAAGGATGAAAAGGCAATGTGGAAAGCTGAGGGCGAGGTCGAGCAAGCCACGCAAGATTTTGAATACTACAACAACCTGCTGAAGGATGAGCTGCCCAAGCTCTTCTTGCTGGAGCAAGAGTTCATCAAGCCGCTCTTCCAATCTTTCTACTACATGCAGCTGAACATTTTCTACACACTGCACGAGCGAATGCAGCGGTGCGATATTGGATACTTTGATCTGACCCGGGATATTGAGGAGGCCTTCGAGGAAAAGCGAGGAAATACTCAGGAGCTAGCTGAATCCTTATCCATTGTAAAGTTCAAGACAACCGGACAGCGGCGGCCACCTCCCAAGCATGGTGCTCGCCCCACCATCGAGGCAAGCAAGCCTCAGGGATTACTCACCGCAGGTTCTGTGACGCCAGAGAAGACGAGTCCCAAGTTTGGCAGTTTCCAAACCCAAACGGAAGACGAAGCGGCCGCACCGCCGCCATATAGCACAGCTACAAAGCCTGGTGGAGCAAACCTCTCATCGGTTGTTGCTTCCAAGGCGAAGCCTCCGCCACCACCAAAGCCCAAGCCAGGCCGTCTGAGCGGCGCCCCGCCGCCCGAAACAGTGACGGCTTTGTACGACTATGCGGCCCAAGCAGACGGTGATTTGAGCTTCCAGGCAGGCGACGTTATCGAGATTATTCAGAGAACTAAGAACGAGAATGAGTGGTGGACAGGGAGATTAAATGGCAAGCAAGGACAATTTCCAGGTATGTTCCATCTTTCTTCGATGATGTTATGATCCTCAGTACCATCAGAGTCTAATGAAACTTTTTCTTTTTTTTTTACTAGGCAATTATGTCCAGCTGAGTTAGAAAAAAAAAACTGAAGAAGGGGACAACTGGTATCAGTGAATGGGCGTAAGGAAAGGATGTAAAGAAGGATGAGACAATGAAGGAAAAGAAGAAGTAGAAGGATCTTTCGACACCAATTTTAGTCTCTTTTTTTTTCTTTAGCTTTATTAGAGCATACCGGGGAATTCAATAGGTTAGCCTACCATATATCTATAGTGTACTTCGATAATCAGGATTATTAAAGCGAAATTAAAGCGGCGAAATCCAATGATGACGATTTCATGATTTCTTTGCTGTTTAACAGATAGTATTAGTCAAACACTACCTAGTCGGTCTGTTTATGATATGTTACCATCTGAGAAAGCATCGCATCATCATATGACGCACTTGAGGCTCTTGAAGTCGTACCATATGATGTTTCTCACGTCAGTTGTATCAAGGCCCAAAGTATAAAGAAGTCTGCCATTCAGCTTCAAACGGGAATTAACGGGATAGATAGTTGTACGAATAAAAGTCTGCCACGCCATGTAATAAGCAACATATATTCAGCTCCCATTAAACTACCAAAGATATTAAGAATTACAGTATCCAGTCATTCCTTATGTACAGTAATACTCGTATATATGTAGGCCAATAGTATATAAACAAGTGATCCAAAAGGATCCACGTCGGGAGAAAACAACGCACGGCATACTTGCATTGCTTCATGTATTCCGCTGGGCATGTGATATTGTGCCGGAGAAATCAACAAATGAGAGAGGGCATGCAGTAATGCATTGTGCATTAGTGGTGATGACGTACAATGAAATGGCGAGAGCCATGATAAGCGCTGATAGGACAAAAGAAAGGTTCTGGGTAGATGACTGCTGATGTACAGAGCTGAAAAGCTGTCCAGTCGCAGCGGTGGCTCTTCGCAATATTTCTCTTTGCTTTTGATTGGTTGCTTCATTTGTTTGTTGCTCGCCCGTGTGTGACCGCACTTACAGCCGTGCATAACAACAAAGCTACCTATGCAATTGAACAACATCCGATTGGGCGAACCGAACATTGTAGGTGCGTTGAAAGCCAGCTTTTTTCTGTGTGACCTCGAGATTAATGTATGCTCAGTTTTAATCTGAGCTTATGATTCTTCATGCATAAAAAAAAAATGCCGCAAGAGTAACCCTGATGTAGCTTCAGAAAGAGGCTCCATACTTGAAGCATTCTGAAAGCGGCAAAAGAAATGGCCAAAAGAGCCGCTTCATGCGCTCCCAACGCTTATATTCGTGTAACGTAGGGCACATGATGATATATCATTTTTTTTTAGCTCATCTGAATGGTTCGGGTCGTATTTGTTTCGGTATCAGCATGATACTTGATCCCAGCTCCGGCGGCCGTTCGGTAACGTGGTGGAGAGCCTCCTCTCTTCCTCTTTCGGGTAGAGCCTCCGGATCTGATAGTATGCGATAAATCTAGGCCTCGGATCCTTGGGGTCTCGTATACCGTCGATTCCAGGTTCATTATAGCGGTATTTGGTGTACACTCCGAATGAATATCCGATTTGCCAGAGCGGTCACCGACCCAACGTGGTGACATCAAGTTTTCGTCCCAGCAACCCAACCCTTCGAAATGTAGGGCAGGATCAAAAGAAATGAGAATGATCGATCGAGGTCCGTCAAGCTGATGAAGAGTTTTGGGGGAATAGACCAACACCCTCTCATCCATTGCCCAATCGACCTCATCAAAGTACGCCTGGGGGTTCAGGAGTCCGTCGATGTAGCGGTCGAGAGGAGTGTCCAGGGATCCATCGGGTAGCTTGTCTCCCTGATCCGCTGGCCAAAGGCTAACCTCATCATCATCATCCAAGCTATTAGCAGGGTCACTAGTGTCGTTCGGTGACGGTGAATAACGGTCCGATTTCGAAATTGGGTCCAATTGTCTCCTTACCCGCAGTCGAAGGCGTTTAGTAGCTGGACTCGAGGATGTGGTGGTACTGACAATGTCCACAAAGGCTCGGCAGCTGAGATTGTAGGAACGAACAGGAGAATTGCTGAGATCAAAAGTCAAAGAGGAGAAGCCATTGTCGCCCCGATGTACCGTGCCCTCTGGGCTTACTGTATGTTGAGTCGCATCGTCCCAGCCCTCGTAACACTGGCCGTCGGTATTTGAGCCTCCAAAGTAAGATTTGGAGGGGAAAATGAGCTGTTTGCTATAGCAGCTACGTCGGCTCCACGAACAGAGCCATTCTTTTCTGGTTTCGTAAATGGATACTTGGCCAGACCTTTCGTCCTGTCCGAGCTGAAGATGGTTCCAACGATCATCGATTGGTCCGTCAGTTGCGCCTCTCCGCCAGAGTGCAGATCGTGGCAAGATGTCGATTGTAGAATGATCGCCCAAACGGAACCGAAAGGCATAATAAAACGAATTCAGCGGGTGACCCGATGCGGTCCATTCGGTATCCTCCAATTCCGTCAGCTCTTGACTAGAAACGCCATATAGGTAGTCGTCAAAGATTTCAAAGCAAACTGTTGACCCAATATCACAACCAGCCAAGTCCCAGAGTATAATTCTCCGAGGTAGCCATTCGAAGCATTCCAGCGAGAATCCATGAAGCACCCATCGTCGCTGGCCGTCAAATGGTTCTGATTTTGTACCGTAGTAAAGGTACTGCTTGTTGTTGCGGACAAAGATGTTCGTAGTTGAGCGCAGTGGCTTAGACTGCAGAATCTTCCCCTTCTCAATGCTATATATTATCAACCAGCGGCCACGCGATTGAGATTTTCTTTGTTCGAATAAGCATGAAACGATGCCTTCTGCGTGATACAGTGGCTTAAACTGGTAGGGTCGGCTTTCGTCAAAATCAGAAATTTCGGATTCGCATATTAGCTGAAGAACGTTGATGTTGAGTTCTTGGACAGGAGAGCCTTGAAGAAGCAAGATCCGTAGTCGATGCTCGTGAGTAGCCGAGGTTTGCTTCATAGTATAGCATAGAGCGCCATTGGTATATGTAAAATGGACAGCTTCTCTAGAAACTTCCAAAATATGAAATGGATTTGCCTTACGAAGAGCGTTGCGTCGCTTGACACGTCTTCTCAATGCTTGGCTATAATCTCCCGTCTTTTGACCTTCTTTATAGTCCAAGGAAAACGGAATATTCTCCAACAGAGTTAGCATAATTTTCAGCTTGATATGATGGCACAAAAATGGGCGAGTCTGGGAAGATGCCACGATCACTAACCTCCAGCGCCTTTCGGGAGATGAACTTATCATGGATAATATGCTTGAAATGGCGGCTAGTTGAAGCCAGTTGAAGCAAATCATCTGGATCCAGATTTTCAATGATGAGCCGAACGATTTCAGCAGGTACCCGGCAGAGACTCATATCTAGGGTCGTGAGATAAAAGATGAAACAGTCCAGATGATCGGATAATGGGAGAAGTGTGGTGATAAAGAATCTGGGATGGGTGCTCCTCGCTTGCAGTTATAGCCAAGGATGGCATATATAAGTACCCGTCTCCTCTTTCCAGTGGCTTCCGGTCCGTTTCCCGTTGCGTCTCATTTACCTACCTACTCTGGGTACACCAATTCGACACATTCCATCCGATTGCGCCCAGTATCTCGAAAGAGGCTCATGAACTCTCATCAAATATAAAAAGCACACGCCTTGATCTCTCTGGACATACACAAGACGCCGGGTCAGATTCCCCTTCACGAAATCTGCTGTTTGAACGCTCGTGGCAGGCAATCATTCGGTGTGACGATATGCTTTGCGAGAGCCTCCATGGGGACGAGCGAGTCAGGATCGGTAGTTACATATGCACCTTCTTGAGCCGCAAAATAGAGGCAGGGATATGATACACCCCTGTCTCTACTGTTACTTCAGTGGAGGGTCGCGTATTAGACCATGTGAATCAGAAATGCGTGTACCGAACACGAACGAGGCTAAAATGGATGCTAAGACCGCTGAGAGTCATGATGTGGCTGGGGCGGCTGAGGGAGCCCAGGGGCAAGCTATTGTGCGATCCAGACAGCTAAGCATTTAGAGCCTTCATTTTCAGTGTAAGATATAAGACGCGAAGTGCTTAGTTGCGATCTTAAACTCGGGCGGAAGCATTACTAGGTCGTAGAGGTAATTAAAATACTTTTGACTAAGACGTATAAGAGCTACTAGGGCGAGAAGGGTGTGTGATGAATCTCATGGATGGACGGAATGTTCCTGTCCTATTAGATGTGCGGAGTCGCAGAGCCGCAATATGTACCTACCAAGCGGGGAGGTGACAGCGGCTGAGAGGATCGTCAACGGTGCGAAAACATTCAACGTTCATTTCACCAAAGAGGCCTCAGGGCCAGTATTTCTTGAAATTTTAGCTCTCACCACCGCTAGCATCGCTAACCGGCTAACTCCAACCAACCCCTGTCTCTCCCTGTCTCTACTGCGGCTCAATTCACAGCATTTTTAACCTCCCCCAAGGATCTCATCCATCAAATCCGCTAGTATTCCACCTATTGCCGTCTTCCCTCGAATGATTGGCCGGCGGGACTCTCTGATAGCTTCTCTAAAAAAGACCGATGACACCCTCGACTCATTGGCGACGCAAATCGCACTTGAAGGAGGGGGGTACGTGTAAGCATGATATGTCTCATCAGCTTATACAGCACCTCTATGCTACTACTATGCTAGTAATAAGTCCTACTCCTACTATTGGTAATAGGATCATCCAGTCTAGGTAAGGTAGGTAGGTCCATGAAATACCTACCTACTGGATTGGAAAGGCAAAGCCACATGCAGGCAATCAGAGGCGATTGAGAGACTCTTTGCCACGTCCACATGTAACTACTGCGGGCGCATTGCCCACTACCTATTATTTTTGCGCATCTAAGCCAGAATCAACAATGTCCGAAGCATTTGCATGTGTGTACGTAAGGTCCAAGTTATCGGGAAAAATGAAATTACAAAAGTATTACATGTCAAATATTCACTGCCTGTCACAAGCCTATATTGTTGCGCACCTATAGGCAGCTCCATGAGCGCCTAAAGTGGTAGCGCGAGATTACAGACGCGCTGCTGAATGAATCACGTGACCGCTTTACGCGCTTTTCCTTGCGCGTGCCTAAATGTCGTCTCCATGCAATAGCTCCCTCTCCTGCCAAATGCTCGTCTATTAATCACAATGGCGGAGATCAAGATCGACAGCAAGCTCTTCCAGGAGCGCCTCTCGCACTTCATCACTGCCTGGAAGAATGATCTCCGCTCCAAAGACGGCCTCTTTGGCGGAGTGTCGTCCTTCGTTATCATGATGGGCAAGGTCGAAGAGGTCCCCGAATTCCACAAGAACAACGCCGTGCACGTAAGTGCTGTTCCGCGCCTCGAAATTGCTACAATTGGACCATGAAAACTAACGACCTGCTGCTCTTAGTTTTGGCTTCTGGGATACGAGTTTCCGACGACGTTGATGCTGTTCACTGTCGACACCCTCTACATCCTCACCACTGCAAAGAAGGGTGCGTAATTTGCCAACCAGCCCGGGCTACACTATGATCCTCCAGATACTAACGGCTTAGGCAGCCAAACATCTCGACCAGCTCAAGGGTGGCCGTTTCCCCATTGAGGTACTCGTGCGAGGCAAAGATGCGGCCGAAAATGAGAAGCTGTTTGTCACTGTGGCAGACAAGATCAAGGAAGCGGGGGTAAGCTATCTTGGATACCCATCTCGAACATCAACATAGTTATCATTTGGCAGGCAGAAACTAACTTGGGATTACAACAGAAGAAAGTCGGGATCATTTCTAAAGATACGTCTAAGGGGCCGTTCGTCGACGAGTGGAAGAAGGTGTTTAGCGAGCAGTGCAAAGACATTGAGGAAGTCGACATTTCCACCGCCTTGTCCACCCACGCCTTCTCTATCAAGGACGAAAGCGAACTACGAGCGATGCGAACTGCTTCCAAAGCTTGCGTGGCTCTCATGACACCCTATTTCCTCGATGAAATGTCCAATATTCTCGATGCCGAGAAGAAAGTCAAACACTCTGTGCTGGCAGACAAAGTCGACAAAAAGCTCGATGATAATAATTTCTGGAAGACGGTGGAGCTTCCTAGCAAAGGCAAGCTGCCCTCCGACCTCGATCCCACTCAGCTGGATTGGATTCTGGGGCCCTCGATTCAGAGCGGTGGCAAATACGACCTGCGATTTGCTGCTGAACCCAATGACGACAACCTGCATGCCGGTATCATCATTGCTGGTCTGGGTTTGCGATACAAGTCGTATTGCTCAACAATTGCACGCACCTACCTCGTTGATCCAAACAAATCTCAGGAAAGCAACTACAAGCTCCTTTACATGGTACACAACACCATCATCAAGGAAATCCGCGATGGAATGGCGGCAAAGGATGTCTACGCAAAGGCGCTGGCTGTCATCAAGAGCAAGAAACCAGAAATGGAAAAGCATTTCCTGAAGAACGTTGGCTGGGGAGTTGGGCTGGAAAACAGAGATCCTACTCTCACACTAAATGCCAAGAATCAGCGAGTTCTCAAAGACGGGATGACTTTGATCATCAACACTGGCTTCCAAGACATTGAGAACCCCCAACCCCAGGACAAGAACAGCAAAACCTACTCACTTGTCCTCACCGATACCATTCGAGTGACATCTGGAGAGCCAGTGGTCTTCACATCTGAGGCGCCGACAAGCGCCGATGCCAACTCATTCTTCTTCAAAGATGACGAGGAGGCAGAGCCTACACCCAAGAAGGAGAAGAGAGACTCAAGAGTCGGTGCCGTTGCGACAAAGAACATCACCAGCACTCGACTTCGTTCCGAACGTACCGCACAAACAGATGAAGATGCAGACAAGAAGCGTCGAGAGCATCAGAAAGGGCTTGCTTCCAAGAAACAGAAGGAGGGCCTGGCCAGATTCTCTGAATCTACCAGTGGTCAAAACGGAGGAGAGGTCAAAAAGTTCAAACGTTTTGAATCATATAAGCGGGATAACCAGTTCCCATTGAGGATCAAGAACCTTGAGATTGTTGTCGACTCAAAGAACAGCACTGTTGTTCTTCCCATCATGGGACGGCCCGTTCCATTCCATATCAATACTATCAAGAATGCCAGCAAGAGCGACGAAGGCGAATTCGCATTTCTGCGAATCAACTTCTTGTCTCCGGGTCAAGGTGTTGGCAGGAAAGATGACCAACCATTTGAAGACGCATCCGCGCATTTCGTTCGAAGCCTGACATTCCGGTCACTCGATGGAGAGAGATACAGTGAGATAGCTACTCAGATCTCGAACCTGAAGCGCGATGTGGTGAAGAAGGAGCAGGAGAAGAAAGATATGGAGGATGTCGTGGAACAGGACAAATTGGCGGAGATAAGAAGTAAGTTTAGATTCAGCTTAACGTATGCTCCTGCGTGGAAAATACTAACTGCGTTCAAGATCGTCGCCCGGCTGTTTTGGATAACGTGTATATCCGACCAGCTATGGAGGGCAAAAGAGTCCCTGGAAAGGTCGAGATACACCAGAACGGTATCCGATACCAGTCTCCTCTCAACGCTCAGCATCGCGTGGACATTCTCTTCTCCAATGTCAAGCACCTTTTCTTCCAACCTTGTCAGCATGAGCTGATTGTCATTATCCACATTCATCTAAAAGATCCCATCATTGTGGGCAACAAGAAGAAGACCAAGGACGTGCAATTCTACCGTGAAGCGACTGACATTCAGTTTGACGAGACTGGAAACAGAAAACGAAAGTACCGCTATGGAGACGAAGACGAGTTTGAGGCTGAACAAGAAGAACGGCGCCGCCGTGCCGAGCTAGACAGGCTTTTCCAAGGCTTTGCCCAGAAGATTGCCGAGGCCGGCCGTAGCGAGAATATTGAGGTTGACATGCCCATCCGAGATCTAGGGTTCAACGGCGTGCCCTTCCGCAGTAACGTCTTCATCCAACCAACCACGGACTGCCTGATCCAAGTTGTGGAACCACCGTTCATGGTTATTACAATTGAAGATATCGAAGTCGCTCACCTGGAACGTGTCCAATTCGGTTTGAAGAACTTTGACATGGTATTCGTTTTCAAAGATTTCACGCGTGCCCCGTATCACATCAATACTATTCCCGTCGAGTTCCTTGACCAGGTCAAGGATTTCTTGGATTCCTCCGACATTGCCTATACGGAGGGTCCCCTCAACCTCAATTGGCCGACCATTATGAAGACGGTCAACCAAGATACCCATCAGTTCTTCGTTGATGGCGGTTGGTCGTTCTTGCAGGCTGACTCGGACGATTCTGGCGCTGAAGATGAGTCCGACGAAGAGTCTGCTTTCGAGATGGACGATGATGAGATGGACGAGGTTTCAGAGTCCAGCGAAGGGGACTCCGACTTTGGTAGCAACGCAAGTGATGACGATGATGAAGAGGCCGATATTGACAGTGATGATGAGGGCGAGGACTGGGATGAGCTGGAGCGGAAAGCCAGTAAGCGCGACCGCGAAAGTAACTTGAACGACGAGGAGGATCGCGGTGGCAAGAAGAAGTCTCGCAAGCGATAAAAGAACGGATAACGGAGGATACAAATCAGATAACATGGCTCGTAGCCGAAACGTTTAATAAGGGGGGGAATCGGACCTTTCTTTTCTTGGGCAAAGTGTTTTAAATATTGGACCTCGTATTACCGAAAAACAAAAATTACCAGGGCTTGCTTTTTCCACTGTGTAATAGCCATCAATTTGTGGCTTTGTTACTCTACTGCTTTTCTTTGGAAAAAAAAAAGAAGAAGAAGAAGAAAAATCCCGGGTCGAGGCGGCTAATTATGAAAATTTATTGATAGGCCTAGTAGGCTCAGTGTAGTTGAGAAGTTCTGAATACAAAAAGGAGAGATTCTTGCGATTTGAATTTATATACCAACGATCATGCGGTGCATCTTTCAGATGTAATTCGAATCTTTAAAGGAGAGCAAACTTTCAAATTTAGCACGCTGGCATGATTACGAAAACAACATTGCTACTATTTTCTATCAAAGGTTTATTTCCCCCTTCCAAAATGATGAGGAAGAAAGAGGAGAAAATACAAGGTTGGCAAAACGGTTCCAACGCCCCAACTCCGACAGGTTATCAAGTGTAGAAAAAAAAGACCTTCTCCTGAGCAAGTTCAACGAGAGGCAGTCAAGTGTCTCTGTCAACACTTTTCCTCCTTTCCCGTAAGAACTTTTTGTTTGTCATCTACGACAATAAAACGTCCACCTCATTTCCCATTGTTTTTTTCGCTGTGGTCAAGTAAAAGAACGTGGGTGACATTGTAAAAAAAGGGTCACAAGTCAAAGAAGTTCAACTTATCTTGAACTGATGCCCATAAGAAAAGAGAGAGAGAGGTAGAAAAAAAAAAAAGATGAGAAAATTGTAAACAAAAAGCCGGCGAACGTACGGTGGAGAAACAATGCATTACATCCATACAAAATGCAATAAGAGTAAAAATTAAGGGGCTTGCATCGTGTTTTCTCTTTTACTCTTTGCTGCGGCACATTACCCTTTCCGGATGCTCCTTAAATTCAAGCGGTCATATATTTTGTTTCGAAACCTCGGCCCACGGGCGTTGAAGAAATCCGAGAGTTGAAGCTGCCGCCACCAGGAGACATCGGGGCCATGTGAAGCGCGGCGCGGGAACCATCGCGAGTTGCCTAGGCATCGGGACGGATGTCGCGGCCGGATGCCATGGCAGCGCCAGCGCCAGGCTTGGCTGTAGGGACGTTGTTCCATGACAGATAGGTGTGATCACCAAGTTTTCTGGTGATTGAGATATTAGCACAGGGGGTGGTTTTGGATTGGCGCTATAGAAATTGGACTTACCTGGGCTTAATAAGGTGGGAGGCGAGGAAGATGACGCCGAGGACAATGCAGAGTCCAGCAACCACGATGTAGGCAATGCCGAGGAAGTTGTTCTTGCCGCCAACAACGGTACGAGTGGTGATGAGGACGGACTTGGTGCCTCTGTATTCGGTAGTGGGGAAGACTGTGAATCAAGAATTAGCACGCTGAATGACAATGTTCCAGGGTTGTTCTATAACATACAGTCATCGATGATGATTTGGTAGCGTCCCGTAGTCATCGCCTGGGTGTCATTACGCTGGTAGAGCTTGCTGAAAGTGGGCAGACCAGCAGTGCGCATCCAGACCTGGAAGGCCTCCCAAGTCTTCAGATCAGGCGGAGGGTTGTCCTCAGTGTAGTTGTTAGGATAGCGCTTGCGCCAGTTGGGAGGCGGCAAGACATCGCTGGGCTTGTACTTGGTTGGGTTGTACAGATCCTTGTCGCTGCTCCAGGCGATGTTGGTGTTGTTCTCCATAAAGTACGTCTCTGTGTGGTTGTTCTTGGCCCCCGGGGGGTTCAAGAGCTCGGGGCTGGTAAAGGTGTCGTTGAACATGGAGTTTGCGATAAGTCCACACGGGTAGTAGGGCTTCTTGACGCCGTCGACGGTGTCGCCATAGAGAGGGGTGCACTTGGAATCGTGGATGTCGCTATACGACCTAGCGGTTCCCGAGAGCTGAGTGACATCGAACGAATCGGCATAGCGACGGTGGTTCTGGTAGAAGTTGGTGAGCTGGTAGTAAAACAGGACCGGCGGGTTTAGGTTCTCGGGGATGGTGAATCGCAGATAGCATCGGTTGCCTTTGATGTGGACGCCTTTGTTGACTGTGATGTTGACGCCGGTCTGGACGGCCCACTGTGGATCGACCGAGGTGTTTGAGGACTTGAACGTAAAGTCTACATTCTTGCTTTCCATAGAGCCGAAGCCATTGCCGTTGTCGAACGCCGGAGCATCGAGCGAGCAGCGACTGTAGTCTAGACGGATCTCTTTGACCTAAAGAACAACAGACCCATCAGCACCAGTGAATCCAAAATCAGAGTAGGGCCAGGTATAAGTGCGCACCTGAGTGCTTGCATATAGTAGCAAGCCGCCGATGGGAGCGAAGATGATTCCGATCACGAAGAAGAGCGGTAGGACTGTCTTTGGGGTAAGAATTGGCCTGCGCCAAGTAGTCAGCATCGCCCAGATTTGTCTTTGCGCCGGTTCAATGAGCGGGGAAGACGTACTGCCAGGCCTTGAGTCGCTGCTGTCTAAAGGCCGTATCTATGATAGTTGCATCGTCAGCGATCCAGCTTCCACCGGCAGCGCATCAGCATCACGGCGCTCGCTCAGGCACTCACTCGCAGGACGGCGGCTCTTCTTCTTGTCCGGCTTGCTCGGGGCCGAATCGTGAGAGTCTATGGAGTCGGTATGACCGACTCCGCGCGGTGTGTCGGACATGTCGGTGGCTTCGACAGGCACAGCAATGCGCGTAGGTCGAAGGGAGGCCGGCGATTACAGAAATGGTGATTGATGGTGTTGACGTTCCAAGGGGTTTGACTGTCCGTAAAGACAGAGACGCTGGAGAGCGTTCATGGCTGTGGCTGGTGCGGCATTACGAGTTCTGCCAAGGCTGTGTGCGCGGGTGTGGCGGTGCTAGTGCTTCGTCAGCACGAGATCCGGGCCTTCCATGCGTTGATAAAAAAAGATCAAAGAAAACGCCCGCTTACTGTGTATGGAATCCCGGGTAGGCATTTTTCAATGGGGATGAATGAAAACCGTCCATCTTTTGACAGTAGTCTGGTACTTTGAGATTATGTGATTTTGTGATTACGGCAGTGGGTGAACAATGAAAACGTGGTTTCATCTACGTAGGCTGTAAGCTTCATCCATGGTGAGCATTGTTGGCTGAAGGACAGATTGCTAGTGCTATAGTTGGCAACTAAATACACTCGCAATAGAAGGCCAGGTTTTACTTGGACATCGAAGTTTCTAAAGTGCACATGTTTACTGCATCCCCCTTCTCCCATCAATGGGACTATGATACCACCGCGAATCGTCATTTCGACGAGATTTGACATTTCGATGCTTTAAAATTGATCTCCCAGTCGTGCCGCGGGGAGAAAGGAGGTTTACATAGGAGCATTGATGGCATGATTGATAACTTACCGCCCATCTCGCTTCGAGGAGGATATCCTGGAACATTAATTACTTATCGATAACTGGATTATAGGCGCGAATTTAGCAGATTAAACTCCGCATATTAGAGTCCGTGTACGTGTATTGAAATGAAGAAGAAGAATGAGGCGCCCAATGCTGGAGCTCGTGGGGCTCTCCGTATCGCCGGTCGGCCATGGTTCTGAGTCCCGAGAGGCAAATGCGGATCAACAGGAGAGCCTCTGACTCCCAGACATGATGCTTGACTTGGAATTGGCATCAGCTGCAATGGCAAACGGGGCTGCCTAGTAACAAGGCGATGATGACTGGATGAGCAGGTTGTTTTCACCGGATTTTGACCGGCATCTGCAGCAGCAGCAGCAGCAGCAGCAGCGGAAACGCCGCATGAACTTGACGTAGTGGTAGCACCACTGCACCGCTAAGCATGTGGACCGGGCCAAGTGTAAGTTGAGAGCTGATGCCGCTTCCCGTGGCAGAAGGCGATCCATCGTCATCATGGCCCGGGTATCGATGGATCGACCCTTCGCATAGACCCTAGCCTAGTCTTTGTTCAGCTTCAATCTCGCTGTTGACGAGTTGTGAATGAAGGAATGCTTGATACTGTATGCGCCTATATGAACACGACACCTACTGGAATCCGTCACCGCTAGATGCTAGCTTCATGCACAGCACTGGCATCAGCCAGCCACGGCCGATGCAGTTTGTACAAACCATTAGCAATATTGGGGTTGGCAGTGGACCTGTTCTCCTCTCAAGACATGTATGTCTCAATGTGTTTGAACAGCTGTAACAGAATTCCTGCTTCGTAGCGCGTACAACTTACAAGGGAGCGACGCTATTGCGGCTCTAGCAATCATTAGCTGGGTTGCTGCGAGACATGCGTCTGTAAGTGACCCGATTTAGCAGAGGCCGGGGCCAATCCGAGGAGGCAGATGCGCTTTTGCATGCACATGGCATCGTGCTGCTGCGTACCTAGCAGAAGCGATGCATGGATGGTCAGGTCATGAGTCTTTTGGGGTTTTCATCATTCTTTTCGATCAACGCAGGACGCGACTCGTGCTTTGAACGCATCAAGCTAGATGCCATCTACTACTAGGCCTACTACTGCATCATACAAGTACATCCGGTGCTACAAGTACCTTATGTAGTCCAACGCCCAATGCTACTCTGCAAAGGACCGAGACCAGTCCCAGAGATCGAGGCTGCGGAGCCAGGGACCAGCCACCGGCCGCGTCTGCTTCCGTCTCCAAACGCTCTCGGACTTCATCCGTGCTAGCTGCGGAGCACCGCCTTGGCATTTTCAATACACCGATCCCCATTCCCTCCGCCTAGCGCAGGTGGCAGTACAGACACAAAAGTACACGCACGGGGTGTGATCGTGGTAGTGCTACAGGCAAGACAGGCCAGAAAAGCACATGGGATTGGCAGTCAGTCACCCCCGAATCCAATCTGTTGGGAAATCGGAGACTGGCCGGACGGCACGCCTCTTCCGAAGTGGCCAAATTTCTGCGACAGCGGCTGACGACAGCGCCGAGCCCCAGAGTGAGGGAGAGAGAGAAAGAGGCGAATGCGAGCTTACAGGTCAGGTAGCGATACTTGCACAAGATCACCTTTTGCTGTTACCGTGTCGTTTTGCGGGATCGTATTTCATCAATGGCATGACATCGTATTTACGACTCTTCCCAAGCTCTAGCCGCCAGCCCGTCGTACCGTGCCGCCTTTTTTTGGTGGACGAGACGGATCAAGACGTGCGGATCGACTGGCTCAGGTCCGCCTGGTCTCGAAACTGGGCGTGTGTCTGGTTCGTCTCGGCCCCCCGGAGCCGGTTCATGTTTGATAGGCTGGCCTCTTTGGCTCTGGGGGCGCGATGCCAATTCGCTTGCCGCCTTTGCATGGCATGGACGCTGTCCGAGCGGCTACCTAGGCTTTAGCATCTACGACGGGGGGTGGTGGGCACGAACCAGCTTATGTGTGTTTCTGCTGTTCTCCAATGAGTAATCTTGTTGCACAAATTCTAGCGCCCGTAATACGCCAGAGACGAAGTTAGCCTGTATAAGTATACGGTATGGTATTGTAATCAAACGGCTGGCTGATGGCAGAGCCGCCAAGCGCCAAGATCGAAGGCCAAGAGCCAAGAAGCGAACAGCTCAGAATGTCGGCTAGGAAAGTGAAAACCCCCCCCAAAAATGGGCGAGGGCTATTCGGTCTTGCTGATCATGTTCTCGCCTTTCGTCAGTGACGGCGAAGGAGGTGGCTGAGTGAATAAGCTTCCAATGGGACTAGATGGCCCAATTGACGACTGAGAGAGCGAGCTTAGAGTATACACCAGTGTTTTGTCAACTACCCTGCTAGGTAGACAGATCGAGGTAAAGGTTGCTTCTGCCTACATGCAGCTATATAGATTAGCGACCTGGTTGGCGGCGTTTGGTATGCTGTTCATAGGTGTAAAAGACGCTATAGTGATACCAAGAGCTCTGAGAACGGCTCATCGCAATATCATATTCAGAGGAGTTCAAGACACTAGCGCTACTAGTATTCGATGGAATACTCGCAGACGAGCCCAAGTGCTGTCTATATGGGGCTGCCAATAACAAAAACGTCATCCTTCATTTCTGGCGTGTCGGGTGAAGCCCTACTGGACATCCTGAAACAATTCATGTACATGTAATGCAGCGCTTCACACCACCCCGTCCTGATTCCATCCTCACAGCGGCTACAACATTGACTGAAGCTGATTTGCCATCTCATCATCTCCACCTTGTGTTGGTGTCGTTCGCGCGCTGCTAAATCACTTGGCTCTTCAAGCCCGTGGACTGCCACTAACGCCACATAGACGCGAACATAGTCAAGAAGCTTCCATCGGTAGCCAGAACTTGTCGCCTACAAGATTCCCCAGCTTTTTTTCCTTCTTGTTTGCCCCGTAGCGTCCCTTTTCATTACTTTATACTCGCCCCCCAGCTCCACCTGAGGGCGAGGCGCAGCAGGCAATCGATAGCACTCAAGCACTGACCCAAAGCCAAAGTACCTGAGCAGACGTGTTTATGATTTGGGCCTAATGCATTATACAGGTGTGTGTACTTCGTACATTAGACATACCGTATTACTGTAGCGACTCCAACTGACGGCCCCTGTTTTGCCGGACACCCATGGGAACAGATCCGGGAGGGCTCAAATGTCTGACACTGGGGCTTTTCAGTAGGGCCAGCGAGCACGAATACATTGAAGTAAGTACTTGTACAGCTAAACAGCCACCGGAGCCCATGTCCTGCTGAGAGCGTCCAGGCAGGGAGGGCTGAAGTGCAGCGTCAGTGTTGCGGCGCGGTGAAGAAAAGCCTAGGCCAGGCGTTGAATCCCGTTCACTGGACCAGCCGCCAAAGGTACCTACTCGTAATGCTTGCTACAGAGCAATAACAGCCAATCGATTATTGAGCTCATGTACTAATAGGCATTCAACGAATTTAATGGATGGATTGAATGGAATTGACACTAATTCCGAGTTATCGGCGATGGCGACGGCTACGTCTGCCGGGGCACTACTAGTAGGCAGGTCCCAAGCGGTGCTACTTCTGCTCCCCCATCAGCTGCCTCCGGGCCGCGATGTGCTGTGCTGCCATAGTGGCCACTAGCAGCAACTCACCCATGCCGCAGTTGGCACGATTCAACGCCTTCGCCTTGCATACTTGTACTTGCATACCGGGTTAATTGCGAGGTACATATAGAGACTGCCGTAATCTGCACAACGTGTCTGTGTCTTTTGTTTCTTCGCTTTCCCTCCCTCCCTCTTCTCCAAGTCCATCCCCACACACGCACTACAAGTACTCGGACCACTGGCTGCTGGGCCGTCCGTTGTGTATAATCTTGTTGTAGCCGCCCTCATCTCGCTGAAATTTCCCACATCCCAGGCTCGGGCGGTTCGGCTCCTTGAAGCACCATCAAAGCGACCCTTGCTGGAGGATTCTTATTTACTTATTCTTATTGTTCTTTTGCTGATCTAAAAAAACGCACCCAAGGGGGGTTTTCTTAAAGAAAACCTTGCGGCCGCCCATTTCCCCCATTTACACACATAATCCAGAACCTACCGTACGCCTCTCCCCTCGCCTCAACAACTTGAACTTTCGCAGCTGCTAGGTACCTAAGGGGTACTTGCTCGAGCACCAAACGCACTGCAGGCGGGGCGGTCACTCAACCAGCCACCAAAACTTACTCAGACTCACTCTTACAAAGACCACGCGCCGCCAAGCTGTCATTTGGTTGTTTGCGTTCATCAGGCGCCATCCATCCCGCTTGCCTTTTCTCCTCTTTTCAAAGAAAAGACAAGAGGAGTTATAAAGAAGCTCAACTGCGGAGATTTACGACCTTTACTCATCCAAGTTCATCTCAACCCTCTCACCTCTTCCTCATAGCCATGGCTTCTCAGACATCATTTCGGGCATCGCGTGGTGTGAGCCGGGATACGGGCTTTCCAGAACCCTTTGACAAATGTAAGCACTCTCCTTTGGTCATGCCGGTCTCTTTTTTCCCTTTCCTTTTCTTTCCTTCCTTTCTATCAGGATGTATTTTATTTAATTTAAGAGATAAATATTCTTTTTACTGACATTGTCCGTCGTAAGGGAGCAACACCACTCTTCCTCACCCAGACGCCGATCTCTCACCAAACGCCTGCATCTCACACGACGAACTCGCCGGCGATCACGCCCTCAAGCGCAAGCGCCTCTCATTCCTCCACCGACGACACAAGCATAAGCGAAGCCTCGTCGACGGCCTCGCCACCCCGCAGACCGAGCTCCTCAGCAGCGTCCTGTCACTGTCGCTCTCTCACTCCCGCTCCAGCACCAGCCTCCGCGTCCAGGCGGGGGCCCCCAAGCTGACGAGCCCTTCCGAGGCCAGCTTCCAGTCCAAGACGGGCAGCGAGAGCGCCGAATCAACCAAGAAGGACGACGAGACACCGCCTTCTTCTCCCGATAGCGTGATGCACAGCCCGAAGAAGTCGAACCGGTTCAGCAAGTGGCGACGGTCTTGATGAACGATACCCGCAGGACGGAAAAAGTGATGTGAAGGCAACTTTATATACATGCATATAGCATGCATCACGCTTCTTCGACTTACTCGAACACCAGACGCAACAGCCGCATTTACACTTACAAGAAAGCAAAAAAGGCAAGAAAGAGAAAAAAAGAAAACCGAAACGAATTTACGACTCTCTTTTGTGTTATATAATATATTATTTTACAGCTTATTATCTGTCTTTATGGGCGTTCTCATTCCATGAGCGACGGAGTTTTGGGACAAAAGGGGTTACTGCATATTTTTTTTGGAAACCTGGCAACAGAACGATACGGCCTTTTCTTGGGATTTATGGATGCTGCCGTCGGCCTTTCCCCCTGATAAATCGGGGGATCCTCTCTTTATATATATTTGGGGCACAACTTGCATCTGCTTGGCATATTATTTATTTTGTCTACTTTCTTTTGTATCTTTACGACAAAGAAGGCACATAAAAAGACTGGGATTTTAGCAGGTCTGTGTAATAAAAGCGACAGTGTTGCGGTATCATGACTCTGACTCTCCAATTTGTTCTTCTTTTGTCAACAAATGTTACATCCATCATCTCATTCGCAGCTTTGCAAGAGTAAGAAGCATGCTACAGAAGCAGTTGTAAAAGGCTCATTGAATTGTGGCTTAATTTTACAGAAAACTCAAAATGCCACTGCCCATTCCTCCTCCAAAGATTCCCCTCTCCATCATCATCTTTCCTCTTTTAGCTCCCCCGATACGTAGTGTAGCTATACGGACTCAGCAGCAACGGCACATGGTAATGCTGGCCCTCCTCGACGCGAAACACCACCGTCGCCTCCGGGAAAAAGGTCTTGTCCTCGCCAAAGTAGCTGGCGGTGTCGAAGCGCAGCGTCCACCGGCTGGGCCCGCGGATGGCGCCCAGCACGTCCTCGAGCGTGTAGATGGGCACCTCGCCCGACGCCGTCTCGGAGCTGTAGGGCAGCCAGACGGTGATGCGGCCGTCGTCGTTGGTGAGCGACTCGAACGTCTTGAGCACGTTGCCGTGGCTGTTGGAGGTGCCGGGCCCTTCGAGGCGCACGCGGATGCCCTTTGCGGGGCGGCCGACGGAGGTGTCGAGGACGTGGCAGGTGATGCGGTCTTTGTCGGCCATGGTTTGAGGCTTTGAATTCTCTCGCTGTGAGTATGTGGTGTGACGATGGTAAGCTGGGCTGAGAGAGGTGGAAGGATGGTGGGGTAAATGGGCGATCGATCAATCAACTTAATCTTGAGATGCAAGTCAATCTTAGTGAAAGACAAAGAGAAAAGAGAAAAGAGGAATAGAAAGGAGAAGCTTTGACCTCGCTTTATATAAGTCCCGCGCAACGTGAGACTGAAATGAAGGCTGTGACGAGGACAACAGGAGACCAAGGCTGAGCTGTTTCTATTCTTGAGCGTCGACCTGCATGATTGATGGCTGCTGCTCCCATGTCTTCCATAGATAAACAACAGGTGGTTACTGGGTTCAGACAGTGCTAGGCCTACCGCCAGGCCTTCTTAGTGTAGGACTCAACGCTGCTGGCAAGTACAGCGCATCCAATCAGCATCAGTGGCAGCAGAGGCAGCACATTGGCTCAGCCACGCTGTGCGCCGGCCGCCGTTAGGACGTTGGTGGAGGTGGCCGCTGGAAGAAGGACTGCGCGAGCGCTGTTGGTCTGCTCGTTAATATGCGGAGTAGATACACCAGACTTCATCAATGAGATGCTTAGGCAGAGCCAGGCTGAAGACGTTCCAGTAGATGGATGGCAGACATTGTGTCATGCAGTTCGACATAGCTGTCTTCATCTATATCATGCTGCTGTCAACTTATTCATACCGCCTGAGTCTCATTGGCAGCCTCGGAGCGTCGCAACCGCTAAAGCTCTAGGTGTCTAAATACACGCTCAGTCCTCCACTACATCGTCGCCATCCACTGCCGCATCTTTTTTGTCATCTTTTGCCCCTCCATCTTCGCTCTATTGTTCTCTTCCCGCTTCCAAACGCCACTCCCTCCCTCCCATATATTGTAGCCTCGCCAAGTCAAATCGTCTGCGTCACGCCCCCAAGTCTCAGCCTTGTCTGTCTCTTCCTCCACCAATCTCTTCCTTTCCTTCCCTCTGTTCTTCTCTCCGCATCCACTCAAACTCGAACTCAGCACTTCCACAGCCATGGCCCTCGTCATCGACGAAGACGCTCTCGAGCCGTCTCTCCAAACGCTCCTCGACCAGCGCTCGCTCCGCTGGATCTTCGTCGGCGGCAAAGGTGGTGTCGGCAAAACCACCACGTCTTGCTCCCTCGCCATCCAGCTCGCCAAAGTTCGCCGCTCCGTCCTGCTCATCAGCACTGACCCCGCGCACAACCTGTCCGATGCCTTCAACCAGAAGTTTGGCAAGGAGGCCCGCCTCATCAACGGCTTCGACAACCTCAGCGCCATGGAGATTGATCCCAATGGCAGCATGCAGGACCTGCTGGCTGGCCAGGGCGAGAACACGGAGGATTTGAATGCCATGAGCGGGGGGATTGGAGGCATGATGCAGGATCTTGCCTTTGCTGTACGTTTTACCATTTTTCTTTCTCCCTGTATACCTACCGGTCTTGGTACATGCAACCTAACTCGTATCTTCTACAGATACCCGGTATTGACGAAGCCATGTCCTTCGCCGAAGTCCTCAAGCAGGTCAAGTCTCTCTCCTACGAAACCATCATCTTCGACACCGCCCCCACCGGCCACACCCTCCGCTTCCTCCAGTTCCCCTCCGTCCTCGAAAAGGCTCTTGCAAAGGTCTCCCAGCTCTCCTCCCAGTACGGCCCGCTGCTCAACGGCTTCCTCGGCTCCAACGGCGCCCTGCCCAACGGCCAGAACCTCAACGAGATGATGGAGAAGCTCGAGTCCCTGCGCGCCACAATCTCCGAGGTTAACGCCCAGTTCAAGGACGCCGAGCTGACCACCTTTGTGTGCGTCTGCATCGCCGAGTTCTTGAGCCTGTACGAGACGGAGCGCATGATCCAGGAGCTGGCCAACTACGGCATCGACACCCACAGCATCGTCGTCAACCAGCTGCTGTTCCCCAAGAAGGAGAGCGACTGCGAGCAGTGCAACGCACGCAGGAAGATGCAGCGCAAGTATCTGGACCAGTACGAGGAGCTTTACGCGGAGGATTTCAATGTCATCAAGATGCCCTTGTTGGTGGAGGAGGTGCGAGGCAAGGAGAAGCTGGAGAAGTTTAGCGAGATGCTGGTGAAGCCGTACGTTCCGCCGCAGTGAAAACGACAAGAGGAGGTAAATAGACGAGAAAGGAGAGACAGAGAGAAGAAGAAAAAAGAAAATAAACATAAAAAATTCAGAAAAGAAAAGAAAATTTATTTTTTACATCACGAGCAAAAGACTTATGGACCATGTATACCTACGTCTAGATATTCTTTCTCATAGATTTAGTATAAGGAGTCCAGGCGATTACAGCCCTTATAGCATACGTATTTCACTCATCGCCTTTGGTCTTGACTTATTTCATTCATTCACTTATTTCACGTGCAGTGTATAAATGCGAGTACGGTGTACAATTCAGTTTCTTGATTGACGCTCCCTATCTGGGACACCTGTTCTACATAAAATCCTTCCTGCGCCTTCATCATGCCATCCATAAAAAGGGATAAAGAGGGGGGGAAACAAAAAGAAAAAGCCGCCTCCAACTCAATCTCGCCCTGAAAATACCATACAGTAAAGCCCAGCCCCTCGTTCATTCATCCTATAGACGGAGAAGATGTACCATGTGGAATTCAGCGTCCATCATTCCGGGGGCAAAAAGAAGATGCTGATCTGTAAAGAGGTATGAGGATTGAAGATGGCTAGAACGGTGCGATTCGAATATTTTTCTTTCATGGACAAAAAAAAAAAAAAAACGGAAAACAGAAAAGTTGGGGGAAAAAAAACAAACGCCTAATCCAAGCCAGGTTGAGCTCTGGTAATGAGAATCGTCCTCCCTGTTTTTTATATTTATGCGTGGTATTTTCCTCCTTGTCCATACATGTAATAGTTAAATTATATTCGGTGTGTGTTGTTGTGTGCAGTGTTTCGCCAGCTAGATGCAAGAAAGAAAGAAAAAAAAAAGGGCCTTTGGGTGTTGATGTATCCGTTATTAAACGCTGTGTGTTCAAAAAGAAAGCCCCCAAGCAGAACATGCCACCTTTGTCGTCCGCCGTGCTTTCGGCGCAGAGCCATTCCAGATGGCTGTTGTGTGATGCATGTCGTAATAGTAGAGGTTGCTCTGGATTTTCTCTCTTCATCTCCTTCTCTTAGAGCTCTCTGTAGTCGCTTGGCCGGACTCGGCGTTGCTTGTTCTGGTGTCGATGGGGGTTGACTGGCTTTCGGAAGTAGGCATCGTCATCGCCGCCGCCGCCACCTTGGGCGAAGTTGCCGCCATTTTGATAGCCGTTCATGCCTCCACCATTCATGCCGTTCATATTGCCCATTCCACCCATGGGATTCACGTTATTCATACCACCCATATTGTTCATACCTCCCCAGTTCCCGTTCATGTTACCGCCATTCATGTTATTCATGCCGTTCATACCACCCATGGTGTTCATACCATATCCTCCATTCATGTTTCCGTAGCCTCCATTCATGTTGTTGAAGCCCTGCATCCCCATCATCGGCATGTTCATCATCGGCATGCCCATGCCCATGCCCATGTTGTTCATACCCATATTCATTCCCATGCCCATGTTCATCATGTTTGGCATCATGCCCATGCCACCATTGAACATCATGTTATTCATTCCCATGTTTGGCATGCCGTTCATCATGTTTCCGTTCATCGAATTCTGTGATGATTGGTTCTGCATGGCACGGGGACCTTTGGGAATCTTGGGATTTTCGAGAAAATCTTCTGCAGGTCTCTTCTTCGAAGCAGTGTTCTCTGCTTTGACTACTTCGGTCTTTCCATCTCCTGCCTGAGGAGCGAGCACAAGACTCTTGGACTCGGTTGAGGGAGATTTGGACGCTGAGCCGGCGACTTCCGTAGCTGGTGAGTCAGGTTTCTCCTCTTGGGACTCAGTCTTTTCGAGTTTCGGCCTGTCCTCCTCAGAGTCTGTAGCTTTATTTAGCCCAACCTTGTCTGCATCTTCAGCTTCAGCGATGGTCTCGGAGCTCTTTGCCACTTCCTCCGATTTGGCCTTGGGGGATGAGGGGGGAGTGACTTTGGCGGCCTCTTTCTCTTTAATGTATTCTTGAATTTTCTTTGATACTTCCTCATCAGGCTGAAGATCATCAATTAGTACACCTTCAGTCTGGCAAGCAGGGCAGACGAAGTCGCTTTCAATGAGTGCATTTGTGATGCAGTCATTGCAAAACGTCTTCTGACAGCACGGGGTTTTCATTGGCTCTATGAACATCTTCTTGTCAATCGAACATTCGAGACCACGCTCCTGAATCTCCTTGTCTTCCGCCTTCGCCGTCTTGGCTGCGGCGGAAGAGGACTGGGCTTTGGCCTGGAATTGCTCCCATGACGCCTTGTCTGGCTCAGCAATGACAAAATCTCCCTCAGCGTTGACCATGATTCCTGAGGGCCGCTTGGATTCATCACCTTCAGTTTGAGCTAAAATGACAGATTTATCCACCTTTTGTAAAAATGAACGAGGAATGCCAGTGGTGCGTTTGACGCGGGGCCGGTTATCAAAATCAGGATCATCGTTGGTCGGGCACAATTGAATCCAGTGACCTTTGTTTCCACATCGATAGCAAATGTATCCATTCGGAGGGTCATGATCTGGGACATTTGCCGGGCGCTTAGCACCAGGCTTGAAAACTGGCGCTTGTCTGTTTAGGTGGTTAGCAACGCTATTCACTATAGTGATGAAAATGTATGGAAAAAAAGAGAAAGATAACGTACTGAGACAACTCTTCTTGCTGAGCTGTCCATTGTTCGGACTGGGCAGCAAACATGGCAGCCATGCGATCTTCCTCCGTCATAGCATCGTTCATCTGGCTGAAAGCATTCGCGTTTGGCTTGGAAGTCGAAGGCTTTCCGAGCTGTTCCTTGCGGCCGGCATTCTTAGCTGCTACGGGCATCTTGCCAGAGACATATCGAGCGGCTCGCCCAGCCCCGGGCTTCAAGGCCGGCTGTCGTCGAGCAATCACCGTCGTTGATCTGGGGACAATAGTGGTATCGTCATCGTACTCTATATCACGTCAAAGTCAGCATTCATGTTGCTGGAAGCAAGGCATAATTCTCTGTTTCAGTTCCATGTACTCACCTTCACTGTTGTCATCGGTATAAATGAAGAGGTCAAAGTCCGTGCCATCGCCCAAACCACTCTTGTTGATGATTTCACGCTTCAGTTCGAAGACTGAGATACCTGTGCCGTCAAACTCCACTCTTGTGGGCTCCTTCTGCGACTTGAATTTGAAGAACACTGATGAAGACATTTTTGCTGAGGGGGGATTGTTGGTTACAGGCAATAAAATGTGAAAGAGTAAAAGATGTCAGAGACGTTTAGGCTCGTCAAGAATGTAGGTTCGAAGGGGCTATGAATCTGTAAAGTAAATACGTCGGAAACCTCAGTCGTAAACAATTGACTAAGTGAGTATAATTTTCTTGCTGCTAGCGAAATTTTTTTCTTTTGATTCTTCTTTTCTTCTTGGTTTTGCACCTCGGTGCTGTTTCAACTCAAGATGGACTCAAAATAATCAATTCTGATTGTAATTGGAGGAAAGACAAAGACAATAGGGAAAATTGGGTACGACGAATAATCGAGTACAAGTGGCAGCAGCCAGAAGGAAAAGACAACCCTAGAGTTCCCCCTCACTTCCTGATCACCATAACAGACCAGCCTATGCACCAGTAGATAACAACCCTTTGCTAGCCGTCTCAGGAACCCACGTTGGACAGACTAGCAAAATTCCAAAATAGAACAACAAACAAACAAGAAAGCCGTGACTTATTTGTTAAATCGGAACAGAGAGCAAATCACAGGTCGATGGGTCGCGATATGCGAGAATCGCTTTGCTGAATGGGTCGTTGGAGGATGGGGCACGCGTACGGTTTTACCGGAATTGTTCGACCTCACAATGGAGGCTGCAAGGCGCTTGACTCGTTGAAGCCGCAGCACAGCAGAAGTGAAATCGATGGATGGCAAGCGAGCAGTCACCTGGGCGCAAGTCGGTGATGCTTCGAGGATGACTTCGTGGGAGGACGGTGTGTCGTTGATGTGGATGAGAGAAGAGGAGAAGAAAAACAGAAGCGGAGGAACTGGGGACAGTTAGTTCCATTATTAATGGGAGGCGCCTGTATTGATAGCGAGCTCAGGCCGCTTGCCAGCAATTAGCGTTTGCGCTAAGGCGAAAAGTTTTTCCATGGCCGTCATCTCACGTGCCCTGGCTTCCCGTTTGGGAGCCGTACTCCGAGCTAACATGGAGCAGTATTAGCGGCGGGAATTAGGCCACTGCAAATACCCGGCAGGCTGAGGAGGGATAAGGGCAACTTGCAGGGTACCTCTCGTGTCAGATCTCCACCTCACGCAGTCCACACAATAAGAGCCTGTTAACCCGTCTGAGCATCTGTCTGCTCAAGTACTGCTGCGGTACCATGCAGCGGTTCACCATCAGCTGCCGCTGGTAACCGGCCTGAAATGCAAAAAGTTCCCCCTCCATCCTGCCCTCTGCCCCGCCACGTGAAGCTTCTGCAGGCGCTGTATCTTCGCGTGCTGAGCTGCTGGTAGGGCGATATGCCCCGCACCATCTTTCTTCATGAGTTCTCGTCAATTCTGGACGAGGATTAGGCCTTTTTCTTCTCAACTACTCCAGCGTCCTCGAATTGCTGCTCCTTCGTTTCGACCTTACCTCACTGACTCGATCCGTGCCCACCAAGCTAGAAAGATGGCGCCTCAACTCGACAGCTTCTTCAAGCAGGTTGACACCTCTGCGGATGCCTTCATTGAGCGTCTGCGCAAGGCTGTTGCTATCCCTTCCATCTCCGCCGAGGATGCCCGCCGTCCCGATGTTGTGCGCATGGGTCACTTCCTGGCCGATGAGCTGAAGGCTTTGGGTGCTGAGGTTGAACTTCGACCACTCGGCAAGGAGCCTCACAGGCCTCACCTTGACCTGCCTCCTGTCGTCCTTGGACGATACGGAAACGACAAGAACAAGCGAACGATTCTAGTGTACGGCCACTACGATGTCCAGCCCGCTGAGAAGAGCGATGGATGGGCAACCGATCCCTTCACCCTCACCGTTGACGACAAGGGCCGCATGTTTGGCCGTGGCTCAACCGACGACAAGGGACCCGTCTTGGGCTGGCTGAACGCCATTGAGGCTCACCAGAAGGCCGGTGTTGACTTCCCCGTCAACCTTTTGATGTGCTTTGAGGGTATGGAGGAGTACGGATCCGAAGGTCTGGATGACTTGATTCGAGAGGAGGCTAAGAAGTACTTTGCCGACGCCGACGCCGTCTGCATTTCTGACAACTACTGGCTCGGAACGGAGAAGCCTTGCTTGACCTACGGCCTCCGAGGCTGCAACTACTACTCTGTTGAAGTCTCTGGCCCCGCTGCCGACTTGCACAGCGGTGTCTTTGGTGGACAGGCCCACGAGCCCATGACTGATCTGGTTCAGATCATGGCATCTCTTGTTGATAGCAAGGGCAACATCAACATCCCCGGCATTAAGGAGCAGGTTGCTCCCGTTACTGCTGATGAGGAGAAGCTCTACGACACCATTGCCTTCACCATGGGCAACCTGCACGAATCTCTTGGCAGCACCACCACCATCCACGACGAGACCAAGCCAACCCTGATGGCCCGCTGGAGATACCCTTCTCTGTCTCTCCACGGTATCGAGGGCGCTTTTGCCTCTCCTGGTGCCAAGACTGTCATCCCTGCCAAGGTCACTGGCAAGTTCTCTATCCGAACTGTCCCTGATATGGACATTGACACAACCAACGCCGCGGTCTACAAGTACGTCGAGGAGCAATTTGCCAAGCTCGGCAGCAAGAACAGCATGAAGGTTTGGGCTCAGCACACCGGAAAGTGGTGGGTTGCCTCACCAAAGCACTGGAACTTTTCTGCTGCTGCCAAGGCAGTTGAGCGTGTCTGGGGTGTCGCCCCTGATTTTACCCGTGAGGGTGGAAGGTGAGTTGTATCATCAATTTCTTGGCTTTCGATCCTTTTCTCTTTGCAAAATTCTAACAAGAGTCCCCTCTAGTATCCCCGTCACTCTTACTTTCGAGGAGGCTACTGGTAAGAACGTCCTGCTGCTGCCCATGGGCAGCTCAACAGACGGTGCCCACTCTATCAACGAGAAGCTTGATAAGAACAACTACATTGAGGGCATCAAGATGCTTGGTGCTTACCTGCACTACGTCGCTGAGGAGCCCCAGAACTAAGCGTAGAAGCAAGAATTTAGTGAAAAAAACATCAAAGTATCAGAACCAAAACGCGTATCCAATCTATACCAAACCCAAGGATTTTGGGCTACGCATAAGCGTCACATTAAATATTGAAGTTTCATCTTTATTGCTTGTCTCCTCTATCGACCAAATGTACTCATACTCATGTGAAACCTACTTAATTTGATTTGGTCGTCAGTAGTTATTCTTGTTGCTCCAACATTGATATGCGTATATAGGCACTACTAGTCAACTTGGGCACCAACACTAGAAAGTCAGTGCCCCTCCCCATCCGTGCGCGACCAGGTTAGCGGCCCAATTAGTGGCGCCTTGAACCCGATGGATGGGCGATGAATGGATGCTAAATCGCACGTCAGAGCCCAAGTACCGGCGATGCAGCCCGCCGCTAATCGCTCACTAGAGGGCATCTGACGCCCCATGACCTTATTCAGGTGGCCGGGGGTCCTTTCGCTCGCCTTTCTGTTAAAGCTCGAACAGCTGGGCATCTGATGGAGGCAATGAGTGAATAATTTACTTGAAGATACGCTTTCCAAATCATTGGGAGCATAAACTGTATTGCTGCCTTGGTTACATCGGAGCAAACACACCGTCTGCGGGGTTGCTTGATCGACTGCATATCAACCTATCAATATCGGTACTCGCCATATTGAAAACAAGCTAATTTATCGAGGAGCAGCGGTAGCAGCTGAGCTGAGTTGTGCGCGTAGGACCAAAAGAGAGTTTGGGCGGCGTCGGCCTTTGGTTGAGCCATCGGAAAGCTTCCCTTACAGCCTATCGAGCCACCTAGCATCGGCTAGCAGACGGGGGCTGAAACAGCTCGTTACGAAAAAGAAAACACGCTGGATTACCTTCTTTTTCCCGAATCCATGGCGGGAGGCATCTGGGAAGCCTTCTTTTTCGAAGAAGATATTCGCGTCATGGTGAGAGAGAGCGGCATCGCGGCCACGAAGCCGATATTCCCCAGCTACTTGCTTCCGAGCTTCAAGTTTACTCTCCCTGGACGTCGCCGCCGCTCTGCGTCTTCGACATCTTCGACATCTTCTACGTCGTCGGATTTATCTAGCGGTCGTGGTGATGGCGCTTCATCAACGGTGACCACGCCGAATGGCTCTCCTCCTGACGACGATTCTGCAATCACTGCATTGGGAAACAAAATCACTGGTCGACGACTCTCTCGGACAGCGGCAGATACGCTGCGTTGCTCGAGCTGTGCTACCGACATTGCATTCACCTCTCAGATTATTTCTAAGGGTTTCACCGGCCGCTATGGCCGCGCGTACTTGATCTCCCCTCCGCCAGCAGACTCGGCGAATGCAAAAGCGTCACTGGCGTCGCTGCTCAACGTCCGCGTTGGCAAGAACGAGAATCGCCAGCTTGTCACTGGATGGCATGTGGTGGCAGATATTTGCTGCGGAATATGCTCCCGCAAGCTTGGCTGGAAATATGTGGACGCCAAGGAAGAATCACAAAAGTACAAAGTGGGCAAGTTTATCTTGGAGACGGAGCGGGTGGTGACACATCGGAGCTGGGAAGACGTCACGATTTCCGAGGGCCTGGAGCTCATGGATGAAATGGCAGGTGAAGAAGAAGCCGCCGCCAGAGGAAAGAAAGATGGCGACGGCCAAGAACAAAGCGAAGTTGAGTTTGATTCCGAGGACGATGAAGAGTGTGAGGCTGTGTTCGCTGGCCTGTGGGATGCTGAGACGGCTGCCAAACGAAGGAGCCGCCTGGGTGCGAGGCCAAGGCCAGCGCGGGACTCGTCGGAGTCGTGAGGGAGAACTGGGCGAGCAGAAAAAGCCGATGGGTTGAATGTGTTGGGCGTTTGAGACTATTGCTTGCGAGATACCATTTTGACTTTGCTGCTGCATTGGCTTACACAACTTTCTTTTATTTTTGTTGGGGAGAGATACCAGCAGCAGCGATTTTGCCTATCATTTATCGAATTTTCTGCCCTCTTTATACCTTTTTGTTTCATTTTATACGGAATGCTATCAGATTTCTTCTTCTCAAATAAAATGGATAGAGTATTGGCATTGGCGCTCTTTCTTTGATGTAATAGGGCATTCGACTCCTTCTCCTTTGCAGCTCATGCTGATGCTTCTTACTCTCATTGCTAGCGTCTCGAAGCACCTAAGCCGGGAGACACATGATCAAGCAGAGACGCCGCAGGATCCATCCCCGGACTTCCGTGACTCCTGATCCTTGAAGTATCATATACCTAGCACTCCTTCTTTGAGATTTGAGTCTGCGAACACGGTCTGTGCAACGGCGGGGATGAACCCATTGCGGACGGCAATCAGTAGGGGTTGACTTTCATCCCAATCTTGAGGCCTGGGGGTTTACCTCTAGAGTATGTAGGAAGTACTGCTGCTAATACGAGTGGTGTAATACAAAACCATACGATTACAACCTGACTGCTCATTCCATAAACGCCGGCTTGTATTACAGTGTCTCGATGCAGAGAGAAAGCTAGCCACGCCGTTGCTTTGGGGGCAAAGCCTCCGAGTACGACATGTAGCTGGCGTGCATGTAAGCTGATGCGGCAGCATCCTAACTGGCTGCCGCTTTCACTGCAACAAGCCATTGGAAGCAAGGAAAAATTCGGCGAGAATGCCTGCTGAGCTTTGTCTGGTCTCAGGAGGTCATTGCCGTAGTACTTGTATCTCTGCAAGGGGGTTAAGAGATGCGCTGTACTGCGCTGTACTGCGCTGCACGTCTTCGGGCAGTACCTGTAGGATCCTCAGCTTCGTTCTCGCCCCCTTTATCTTACATAGCCCTTGAAGCGTGTAACCCTTGTGTAAAGTGGCTTGAGGGCGGATGTATATTTGGTACGAGCCCCCTGGACAAGACACCGTTATTGTTAGTGGTGTTTTGTCGTTATTGCAATCAGAGCTTTCAATTGCTGGCGTAAAAACGGTGGACCGCTGGTAGAAAGACTTTTAGCGGCTGAGTCCGGCAGACACGACGATTAAGGGGGGCCCTTAGGGCGCTGCATGCCCTGTAACGGCCTCGATTTGAAAGGGGTGCCCTTTGGCAACCAGCGCTGAAGCCCTGTGGGAAGAAACGTGGGGGGCTCTAGCGACGGACTGCCAAGGCCCAACATCCCTATCAGCGCTACGTGGGCCCCTGTTGGCTGGCGGCCCAGATATGTCTGATTTTCATGCGTCATATCGTCACTTCCAGCGCGCATCCCGTGCAGGAGCCACAGGAGCCACAGTGGGGTGGGCGGTGAACGAATAGAACAACAAACGAACCCACAGCTGCGTAACTGGTTTGGCAGCAGCAGCGTCGGGTCGATGCAGCTCGTCGACCTTTTCTGCCTCTGCCCCCTCCGTCGATCGCATCGACCAAGTTCTCTACATTCGTTTCCAACCCTCCGTTATTGTATCATCATTACAGCCATTGCTACCTGTGCCAGTCAGTTTCGAACTCCCATCTGCTACCAATTCCAGCCCAGCCGAGGCCCTTTGCCACCAGGTACCGGTACGTACTATGTCATCACCCCCAGCTCGTCCAATTTCTGCCCCGCAGGGTCCATGCATCCTGTCACTCGGTGGTGGTGGTGGTGGCCATGGTAATGAAGTAGAGGTGACGGAAATGGGATCTTGCCCACGCTCGTGACCCCCCTAATGCGAGACCGTGTAGCCTATACTTTGCGTTCCTCGTTGCTAACTCTTCTCTAGACTCGGCCGCCGGTGTCACCTCCAGAGTCCTAAAGTTATCTATCACCCCGAGATTGTTGGACGAAAGCTGCTGCGACTTTCGGCCCTGCTGCTACTGGTCCATAACGAAGACGACGACACCACCACTGCTACAATTGATACCCGGATAGCTTCTCAACGCATACAACCCAACCAATTCAGCCGATCCGAGCAACAGTGATATTTACATATACAAGCACGTACATTCCTCATGTCAAGCGCATCAGGCCACCGCTCACGCGGTTCTGAGGAGTACGGGGTTTTCGACGATGCGAAGACGTACTATGCCTCAGAGGAGCGGCATAGCAACCGCTATGGCGTGCGGACTCGAACCTACTCCCAGGTAAGTTCTACGCTATGTAGCAAGACATATAAACCACCTATAATAGCCACAAAATGCTAATTGGATTCGTTGTAGAATAGCCTGGTCAAGCAGCTGGAGAGGATGGGGGCTCAAGAGCCGTTCAGACGTGGAAGCCATGGTTAGTTGTGTCTCCAAGTTTGAATGAGGGGGCGCAACGCAAGTATTGACCGCAATTGTGTAGATGAGAGCACTATAGAGACGGGCCGCCGCTTTCTCGTGCAGGTTGACGCCACACTGGAGATTCTCAAGAACCAAGAAGACACCGACGGAAACATGCAGATCACGATTGAGGATAACGGCCCCAAAGTCATTTCCCTGAGAACCGCCGCCTCGGCAGGTCACAATCGATTTGAAGTCCGAGGAACGTACATGCTGTCGAATCTCCTGCAGGAATTGACATTGGCTAAGGAGTATGGGCGGAAGCAAATCATCCTTGATGAAGCTCGTCTGAACGAGAACCCTGTTGACCGTTTGTCCCGCCTCATCCGAGATCACTTCTGGGATGGTCTTACACGGCGAATTGATGCTTCGAGCATTGAGATTGCTGCTCGTGATCCCAAGGATTGGACGGATGATCCTCGCCCGAGAATCTACGTTCCTGTTGGAGCTCCCGAGCAGTATGAATACTATACAAAGGTTGCTGCCGATAGACCGGAGCTCCGTCTTGATGTTCAGCTTTTGCCGGAGAAGATTACGCCGGAACTAATTCGAGACATGAATGACAAGCCTGGTCTCTTGGCCGTGGCCGTAGAGAAAGCGGAAGAGCAGGATGAACAAGGTAATTTGGTGCCCACCTTGAAAGGCTTGCCATTCGTTGTTCCTGGTGGCCGTTTCAACGAACTCTACGGCTGGGATAGCTACATGGAGTCTCTCGGCTTGCTGATCCACGAGAGAGTCGATTTAGCCAAGGCAATGGTCCTCAACTTTTGCTTTTGTATTGAGCATTATGGCAAAATTCTCAATGCCACTCGATCATACTACCTTGGTCGATCGCAACCCCCTTTCCTGACGGATATGGCTCTTCGAGTCTACGAAAAGATCAAGCATGAGCCTGATTCCAAGGAATTCTTAAGACGAGCGATTCTTGCAGCCATCAAAGAGTACCATAGCGTCTGGACCTGCGAGCCTAGACTGGACCCTGTGACGGGTCTTTCGAGATACAGACCAGAGGGCCTGGGAGTGCCTCCTGAGACGGAAGCTAGTCACTTCGTTCACATCTTGAAACCCTACATTGAGAAGCATAAGATGGAGTTTAAAGACTTTGTCCGAGCTTACAACTACGGAGAAATCCAGGAGCCTGCGTTGGACGCTTACTTTTTGCACGACCGCGCAGTGCGCGAATCTGGTCATGACACATCATACCGTCTGGAAGGCGTCTGTGCTGACCTCGCTACAATTGATCTGAACTCTTTGCTCTTCAAATATGAGACGGATATCGCACGAACTATTCGGAGTCTCTTTGGCGATAAGCTGACAATTCCAGCCGAGTTCTGTCAGGGAACGCCGTACCAGCCCGGCGAGACAGTCTCTTCGGCAGTCTGGGATCGACGCGCTAAGCGGAGAAAGTTGACAATGGACAAGCTGATGTGGAATGAAGAGGAGGGCATGTTCTTTGACTACGACACAACCAACAGAAAGAGGTGTACGTACGAGACTGCTACAACCTTGTGGGCGCTTTGGGCTGGACTTGCGTCGCCTAAGCAGGCTGCCGATTTGGTGAAGAAGGGCCTGCCTCGGTTCGAAATGTTTGGAGGTCTGGTAGCAGGAACGGAGAAATCTCGGGGTGTAATTGGGCTGGAACGCCCGAATCGACAATGGGATTACCCGTACGGCTGGGCCCCGCAGCAGATGTTGGCTTGGACAGGTCTGCTTCGGTACAGCTTCACTGAGGAGGCCGAACGCCTCGCCTATAAGTGGCTCTTCATGATCACCAAGGCGTTTGTCGACTTCAACGGAGTGGTGGTTGAAAAATACGACGTTACGCGGCCGATTGACCCTCATCGTGTTGACGCCGAGTATGGAAACCAAGGCCTAGATTTCAAGGGCGTTGCGAAGGAAGGGTAAGTCGTTCAACTCCTCTATGCTATACATAAGTCAGCGTGAGAATCCACCAAAGAGATGCTAACGTAAGGTTGTGATAGTTTTGGCTGGGTCAATGCTAGTTATGTTTACGGACTCCAGATTGTAAATGCGCACATGCGACGAGCATTGGGAACGCTGACTCCGTATGAGACGTTTGTCAAGGCGATTGAGCTGAACAATGAAAGAGCCCTGGCCAATTTGACCTTGTAGTGGGCATGGCTGGTTGCGGGGATATGTATCGAAGTGGTGGCATTTTGAAACGACACCATGTGCGGCTAGATGAATGCCGTCACTCGCAAAAAAGACGGAGCATGATTATAGACCAGGGCCTTTGGAGACGAACACGTCGAACTAGCATGGCGATGATGAATTGCTGTCTTGGTAGCTTTTGAGCCAACTGGAATACATAAAAAAGTAAAATAGAAAGCAAGCAATGCAGTGACTCACTTTGAAATGCTGTCATCTCATCCATCAGATAGCGTGCTTAGATGAAATGGCTGAATGGTAAGTCAGTGGTGGCCACTAAATTGCCATGCAAAGATGGTGGTGTAGGCTGCACGTCGGTTCATCTACTCCCGTGGAGATGTAATTCCATGTGATTGTGAAATATGTACAGTAGGCACTACTGGTACAGTAAGACGGACGAGTACCGAGCCTATAGTTAACGGAAGTAGGAGTCATCAATAGCTATCTGTAACAATGGTATGGATATGCTATATGTTGGCTTCCGGCGCAGGGCTAGGCCATATTACGATATTGATTACGGCTGATCCTTTTACCGAGTCTATTCCGATATTCATTCGTAGGCGGATTATCGTGTTCGACACAATTGGAGTGCCAGGAAATTGAACACTTCCTGTGGGATTCTTGCCCGTAAAATCGGTCCTGTATTGCTTTGACAGACTAAAGGCCGTTTGGCTTTTATTTTTTGTTTATTTGTTTCAACACGTGCAGCTAATTCATACAATTTTTAGTAAACAGTTAGTAGTCGTTTTCGCCTACCTGTTGATTCAGGGAAATGTATAGGAACATCGAAAATGCGTCACTTCACATGCAAAAGAGCTCCGGTGCACCGGGGCCGGGGGAAAGTACAGGAGGAAGGCATAGTGGTGGGGAAAAGTGGATTCTTTTGAGTTGCTGCATTGCCGATTCGAGAGCTGATGCGGAGAGAGAGTTTGCCACTAAAAAGGTACGTACTTGATCGATGTAAGATCCATGGAAGGCACGAGGGCTGTGAAAAAAGGAAGGGAAGAGATGAGGAAGGAGAGGAGGGAAGATAACGAAGAGCAGTAAAGATGGAAAGTAGTAATAATTAGGGGTACAGTCTCTTTTTCTTTTCTGCTGAACAACTTCCACCACGACATCTTCATCTTGAATCATCCACCAAAAAAGGATACGGAGACATGGAGGCCGTCCCGTCAGTGTTCAGTGCGACGCGGGGCCAACGGCTGACCTCGTCGGCATCTCGGCCAATGGCGGCTAACCCACTGCGTCAACCTGTCGCCCATCCAAGCTCCCCTTGAGCCGAGCTGGAGCCGCGCCGCATCTGGGATTCTGGACTTCGCGGTGGCTTTTCGCAGTTGAAGCTCGGTCACGTCACGCAGTATCAGCTGCAGGGGCGTCTTGGCCCGCCCCGTGTGTGTGTATGGCTGCCACAGGCTTAGGTTCGACTCAATAGTGACCCTGCCGAGCTTGAAGGGCTCCCTATGCCTCGTCTAAGTGGCTGGGCCATGCTGAGTGTCGGGCCATTCCGGCGCTCAGAGCAATGAGTAAAGAGGGCCGCTCTCCAAGTTCCGAGGTGCAAATGGGGAAAAGGCGAGGCAGCTGCTGTGGCTGATTCGGAGCCATGGCTGGATGCCGCCCTCCTATGCGTCGCGTGGGTGAGCGGCGGCATGGCTTGTTTCGAAGCCTGTGACTCGGCCTCCTGTGGCATTTTAAACTCTGACTTCTTTTTATTCTTCTCCTCCCGCCTTTTCCTTCTTCATCTTTCCTCTTTCCTTCGAATGACTTAGTAGTGTGATAGTCAATTATACGACTTTGTATCCAATTGATGTGGCCAGTCTATTGTATTGTCTAACAAAGCATCTCTCACTTACATCTTACATTCTTACATCATGGCTTCCAACAACATGGTCACGCCGGCTGTAAACCCGGACATTGAAGACGACCTTTTTCAAAAAGAGGTCCAGCAGGTCAAGGACTGGTGGCGCGATTCAAGATGGAGACACACAAAACGTCCCTTCACTGCGGAACAGATTGTTTCCAAGCGAGGCCACCTGAAGATTGAGTATCCCAGCAATGCTCAGGCCAAGAAGCTATGGAACATCATGGAGAACCGCTTCCAGGTGAGTCATACACAATGTTTTCTGGATACGATCGAGCGTCTGTACTTGCAAGGCAGCGACTAACAGCATGAAATAGAACAAGGATGCTAGCTACACTTATGGCTGCTTGGAGCCTACAATGGTCACTCAGATGGCCAAGTATCTCGACACAGTCTACGTCTCCGGTTGGCAATCATCTTCAACTGCTTCTGCGTCGGACGAGCCGGGCCCCGATCTGGCAGATTACCCTTATGTAAGACGGGATTCTCTACACTTACACAAGACTCTGCCTTGACTAATATCCGTCTCTCTAGACCACCGTACCCAACAAAGTCGGCCACCTCTTTACTGCCCAGCTTTTCCATGATCGAAAACAGCGCCAAGAGCGCTTGAGCGTACCAAAGGCTCAGCGTGCCAAGCTCGCCAATATCGACTATCTTCGACCCATCATTGCAGATGCAGATACCGGCCACGGTGGTCTGACTGCTGTTATGAAACTTACCAAGCTATTCGTCGAGAAGGGTGCTGCTGGTATCCATATCGAAGATCAGGCTCCTGGTACCAAGAAGTGCGGACACATGGCTGGCAAGGTCCTTGTACCAATCAGCGAGCACATCAACCGCCTTGTTGCCATCCGTGCGCAAGCTGATATAATGGGCTCTGACCTGATCGCTGTTGCTCGTACCGACGCCGAAGCTGCGACACTCATCACCACTACAATTGACCCTCGCGATCATTCTTTCATCCTTGGCTCTACCAACCCCAGTCTACAACCTCTGAACGACCTTATGATTGCCGCTGAGCAGAGCGGAAAGTCTGGTGATGAGCTCCAGCGCATTGAAGATGAATGGATTGCCGCTGCTGGCTTAAAACGATTTGACGACGCTGTCATTGCTGCTATTGGATCTTCTTCCAATGCTGACAAGATCAAGAGTGATTATCTTGCTCGCTCTAAGGGTAAGAGTAACGCTGAGGCTCGTGCTCTCGCCAAGAGTATCCTGGGAAAAGACGTTTTCTTTGATTGGGAAGCTCCCCGAACACGAGAAGGCTATTACCGCTTGAAGGGTGGCTGTGACTGTGCCATTAACCGTGCTATTGCTTACGGCCCGTTCTGTGATGCCGTCTGGATGGAGAGTAAATTGCCCGACTTTGCTCAGGCCAAGGAGTTTGCCGATGGTGTCCACGCCGTCTGGCCAGAGAAGAAGTAAGTTTCGCTCCACTGAATTGGATCTTTGGTCTTTCTTGAGCTTCATGCTAATGACTGTATGACATAGGCTTGCATACAACCTCTCCCCCTCATTCAACTGGAAAACTGCCATGCCTCGTGAGGAGCAAGAGACTTACATTCGCCGACTTGCTCAGCTGGGCTACTGTTGGCAGTTCATCACGCTTGCTGGCTTACACACAACTGCTCTTATCAGTGACCAGTTTGCCCGCGCATATGCCTCTCACGGTATGCGCGCGTACGGCGAGCTTGTTCAGGAGCCTGAGATGGAACAGGGCGTCGATGTGGTCAAGCACCAGAAGTGGAGTGGCGCCACTTATGTCGATGAGCTGCAAAAGATGGTTACCGGCGGCGTCAGCTCGACGGCAGCTATGGGTAAGGGTGTGACTGAGGATCAGTTCCATTAGAGAAAGGGCATTCCCTCTTCTCCATTCATATTCTTCCCCTGTCTTGGCCAATTTTTATACCCTGTTTACGAGCATGAGGACAGGAGCAATCTGGATATCTGTTTCTTTGAGAATACGTAACGCTGCTTGATTGGAATGAAAAGCTACCATTGCTTGGGCTTGTTTTGTATACGCAAAGCTTGTATATTCAAAGCTTGTCGAAAAGGCATGCCTATAAATTCAAATACAAAATCACAGTTCGAAAACAAAGTAATGCAAAATTTCTTTCTTAACATTAAAACATGTACCTGTGTTCCATACTAGTCCTGCGAATTCGAAAATCCCATTAGCTAAAAGAAAACTAAACAACAAGCGAGTTGTCATGTCATTGGCAATCAACGTTGCCATCGTCGTCGACACCAAACGCTAATCCCGCCTAGCCAATGGATGCTCCCGTCCTTACCCGTCCACATTGCGCTTTTCAACAAAGCAGTAATATTGCACACCGAATCTAAACCAATTACGCCCGCCCAAGTATTTCCAGGCGATGACAATTAAATAACGATAAACAAAAAAGGGGGGGAAATGAAGAAGAGGCCGCTGAGGAGAAGAATGAAAAGACAATGCAGCAATGAGCCAGACCCCAGTTCGAATTCCTCTATAGGAGATAAGAACAGGCCATAAAATGCCTGGAAATGACATGGAAAGGCAATGATGGCATATAGCTAGGCTTGGTCCTTTATGCTTTGCTCCATTCTGGAATATGAACCAGCCAAAGAGAAGTCCAGCTAGTCACTGGTCAGGCAAATCTCAACGCGGCTCCGACACCTAGTCAGCATCTGCCAGCTGCATAATCAGTTGCGCTGCCCGATCCAGGAACGGGAAAGGACTGGTAACCTCCTTCTCTTCGAGCAGGTATCCGTCCTGGGTTTCGTAGCCAGAGCATTTGAAGTCTACAAGGAAGACTCCCTGCTCCATCGTATAGATCTGAATATCCATATGCAGAGCGACAAAGTCCTTCCGTGACGCCGGATCCTTCGGAGAGTAGACATGAAAGCTGTCCAGAGAGCCGCTCTTGGATCCAGCTTCCGGTTCAGCTTCCTTGCGCTGCTCTGCTTGTCGTTGTAATTCTATTCATTTGGTTCAAGAATCGTTAGCCCAACATATACTTTGACAAGACAGACTGAATTTTGAAGCAGATTTACCTGATGATGGCCACCTGACTTGGATATGCCATGGGTCAGCGGGCAGTTTGTATAACTTGGTCGGGTCAATAACGCCATCTTTAGACTCGCGCTCTAAAGGAGCGCCGCTGGCGGAGCTTTCTGTGTCGTTCGCAGGGTCTTCGTTTCGTATGCCATGCAACTCATTATAGCCTTCATCGCGAAGATGAGATGCGCCAAGTTTATACAATGCTTTGTGAATACATAGAAGAGCCTCCCAGGGCGCATTACGAGATCGGATACCGAATTGCCAGCGCACAGGCTTGGATTTTTTGGCTGGCGTATTGATCGGCGTCATGCCTTGTGGGCGTTTGCTAGATTCGTCCAGCCGTACAGTAGAGCGTGCGTGAGGGTTTAGACGCCGTGCTGCCTCTTCCTTTTCGGCTTCTGTACGGGTACCAGTCACCTCGTCATTAATGGCCAGGGGAGGGGGAAGATCGTGGTTAACACCACTCTTTTCCCTCTCCATGTAGTCTTTGTGATAGGCCGGGAGACTGCTGGGTAGGATACCAACTTTGTTGACATAGGGACGCGGAGAGGCACCTCCCGGTGAGATGGCAGATCGCGCAGACGATATGCTCATCATAGGGCTGCTGCCTTCCTCACCAGCAAGGCCAGATTCTGGATCTGGGAGGCAGTCAGTATTTGTCTTGGCGGGAGTTGGCCTATACACAACCTGGTAGAGTTAGGAGGGAAATGGAGTCTTACTACTTGACAGCATAAGCTTGTTTTCTCGGACAATCATATACGCGTCCTTGATGGCGGAAGGCTCTTCGGATTGGAGAGCCTCCTCAACATCGTCTTTGCCATAACCCATGGTCTTGCTAATCTTTTCCGTAACCTCATTGTGCAGCTTCTCCTGGACCTTTTCCGGGGCATTCGGCGCAATATCGCTCTTTTTGATTGCCTTGTTAGGATCAACACCAGTGTGGAAGAATTCTTCTACGGGTGGCTGTAGGTAGGGCGGCAGTTCAGTGTTGAACCACGGATCAGCCCGGATCTCGTCGATAGTTATGCGCTGGACCGGGTTGACAACCAGCATGCCTTTGATCAAGGTTGCTGCACCGGGCGGCATCCATTGGGGCATGCTATACGTGCCTCTGGCAATCTTGGCAAAGAGGCTAGGGATGTGCTCATCGTCAAAGGGCAATCGACCAACAAGAAGGACGTAGAGGATAACACCGCAGCTCCACACGTCGACTTCTGGGCCGGCGTAGAGTTTCCCGCCAATAACCTCGGGAGCCGCATAGTTGGGACTGCCGCAGCTCGTCTTGAGAAAGTTGCCGTCAGTCATGATATTGCTTAGACCGAAGTCGGCAATCTTGACATTGAGATTCTCATCCAGCAGCAAGTTTTCAGGCTTCAGATCTCGGTGGACAATCTTGTGGCGATGACAGTACTCGACAGCGCAAATCATCTGCTGGAAGAAACGCCGAGCCTCAGCCTCCTTCATACGGCCGTTCTGGACGATGTAGTCGAAGAGCTCGCCGCCGGCGTACTCGAGGACCATGATGATCTCGGTCGGCGTCTTGATGACGGTATAGCTGTTCGGCTCGCAGATAAGTAAGACATCAACAAGCAGGGGGAATTGAGCGAGCAAAGTACGTACAGCTTGATGATGTGCGGGTGCCGCAACAGCTGGAGATACTCAATCTCGCGCTCGACTCGGCCGGCCATGTCCCGGCTGATGAGCTTCTTTCTGGCGATGATCTTGAGGGCGACCTGCTGGCCGGTGCCATTGTGGATGGCCAGGCGAACCTTGCCGAAGGATCCCTCGCCCAGCGTGCGAATGACTTTGTAGGCGCCGATACGCTGCTCAGACCTGGACTTTTTCTCCTGCGGCGGCTGCTCCGCGGCGTTCTTGGGCGGCATCGCGACCTGTTCCTGCTGAGGCGGCGGCTGGTGTCGCCGGACGTGGGTCGACGACATGGAGATGGTCAGCTCCTCGTCCTCGAAGCCGCGAGGAGCCATGGTGGGCAGCGGCGCGCTCTGGCGGTGCGGGTGTCGTGCTGTTTAAAGATACGGGCAGTAAGATGGAGTTTTTGCCCAGAGTTTATTTTTCGCAGGCGCCTTGTCAATCAATGCCGGACGTGGAGAACCGCGTGGACGTTTTAACAGCCAAAGTGGAGGGCTGGACTGGGTTTGGCCATGCATGGAGGAGCAGCAGAGCAGGCTGTGGTTGAGATGGAGGGGTAACGTCACTAGGTGTGTCTACTACGTACATTGCTCAGCCCGGAAAATTAGCGATGCTGGCGCTGGCTCTTCTCCACCTCTTGGGTGTAGGGCGGACAAATAGCGGACAAACCTGCGCTTGCCAGGGTGCTGCTTGCCTGTAGCGCAGCGCATTCAACGGCTGTAGCGCAGAGCTGCAGCGGCAGCAGCGCCGCCTGAACTTACTGTGGCCTCAGCACGTCTCAGCCCACCCGCTGGAATGCCGCACCCGATATTCCAGGGCAACATCGACGTCAACGAAGTACGAATTCGTAGCCGCACGTGTGCTGATACACGTTCCTGACCCAAAAGACGTAGAGGCGAACATTTAGTGAGTACCACTGGGCTTCTACACTGCACGATCAAATCAGTCGGAGAGATAAGGGCGTTGTTTTGAGCTCTCAGCCCTCTAAGCAAGCTGCATGCAGGATACCGAATACACGTATCAATCCTCTGTCACATGTCTCTTTAATCGAACCTCTCTCGTTATCAACTTTTATCAACAAAGTTGCCAGTATACGATGCTTTAGCATGGAATTTGCATGAGACGCACTGCATTGACCACGCATTCCTATCAAATAAATCCACCTACACTCCGGTTGAGCTTACAAGATCCAGCTGCTTGTCTAAGTATCGAGAGCAGTATTCCGCTACTATCTCCTACGGCTTCTCTGTCTGTACAGCAGCTATCATACAACCTGAATATCATGATGTATAACATATCATTTAAGTCTACTCCTTGGAGCAGGTTCTCTGGCCGGGGCAAAGCCAACTATTGGGGCAAATTAAGCGGTTTATCAAAGCTCAACAGTAATATAGTCAGAGATAAGACACCAAGTACAGGGCATGTAGTCAGTGGTTGGGCTGGCCGCCACGCCGCTACTCTGTTTTTAAACTTTGACCGTTATCTGCCACGCTGACTACACAGAATCATTCGCTAAGCTGAAAAGCCGTTGAAGTCATCAACGTCAAATCTGTTTGATGAATGAACTATTTGTTGGGAAGGACAAAAAAAAGGGGGGGTGCGAGTTGGAAAAAGCAAAAAATTGAATGTGAGGTTCCTGCGTGAATCGAACACGCGACCTAGAGATAACTGCGCAAGACTGCAATCTCTCGCTCTAAACCACTGAGCTAAGGAACCGGTTTTCTTGAATTGTTCTTGACGATATTCATCTTGTATACCTTTGCTATTTTATAGCCAAATTTTGTGGGCGGAATTGCGATACGCGTATGAACATATAGCGAGTATCTCTGTTTGTTTATGTTTCTATTGTTTCCATTGTTTCCATTTTTTGTCTATACACGCCGAAGTCCATCTGCTTTGCGCTCGGGTTGTACATGAATCTATCATTACTCATTGGCTTTCTAAAGGACAGCCGATCAAGCTGTACTAACCATTGATGCTCCCGAGTTGCTCAGACAGCAGCTGTTCAGGGACGCAGGTTTGCCAGCCAGTGGGTGGAAGCATTGCTGGGCTGTATATGCCAATCAAGGTCAGTGTTATGGAAATTACCTTACTAGGAACTTATCGACATGTGGATCATGACTGTCTCGCCATAGGTACTTAAGCAAGCTTGGTGCTAACATACCACTGTGGAACACTAACGTTTAGAGTTTAGGTATGCCTGAAATGACAAAGGTGAAATGCCGTAATAAAACGGCTGGGCTTAATGGAAATGTACATGCAACAGGAACAAATGAGAGATGATTTAGTAAATACTTTATCGATAGTATTTATGTTATTCTACTCTGACTAGCTATCAAGGTAGCATGCCGCTTATCTCAGGTTTGCACTACTTACATGTAGCTAGCTTTGCACTTGGCCTTATGGCTTTCAGAGAGCACACATGATTAGCTTCTTCTTATACATCCACAATACCTATTGTAGTTTTCTAAATATTGGTATCGATCTTTTCGTTTTTTTCTCTCTTTTCCAAAGTTCACAAAGCAGCCACTTCCTTGGAGCCTACACAAGGTAGTATACATGAACTTATCCACCGTCGCATGTGCTGGCAGAGCCGTACCTCGCTATTTCAAAGATCGATTTCATTGGCTATACCAATGCCATGTTACACGTGTATTAGGCGTTAATTCGCAGCCTGAATCTATCATGTATACTATTGTCAATTTACTAGCCACCGACACGTGAATTCAGTCTCTGAGATGGCAAATAATCAGAACTTATTTTTCTATGCTCCAACCTGGGATTATCCACCTGACGGTCCCATCAAACTGGGCAATGTGATTACATCTGTCAAAAAGCCTGAGCGGCCACTTCACTGTGTCCCGCCTACAGACTCTGATGTCTTCTCAACGAAAAAAACGAACGTCAAGCACACCAGAGATGAAGCGCAGAACGAAAATTTCTCTATTTTAGTCAAGTTCTTTAACATCTTGGGCCTTGACGTTCAAGTGAGTGTAGGTCGACAGACTAGGTGCGTATATATATATCTATACATATACATATATATTGTGACGATATAGGATGCTATATGTTAATCTTCTGATACTCGGAGTGTTGCTAACAATTACCTACATCAGTGATCAGAGAATATTCTCTTTCAAAGTTATTGAAACGAAGCAATTCGTCCCAACGCTGCCATATGTTCAAGCATGCGTTGAGAACGACAACGTACGCCGCTTCCTTGAAATGTCCCGTTATCGTAAGCCAGTCTTCATCATCACCGGCTTGAAAATAGTCTTTGGCGATGAGGCCAGCATGATGACGTCTCATTTTGTCCGGAACTCTCCCGTCGTCCAAATTGATAGCACAATACCACAAATTGGCCCTATCAAACTCAGTGGATCTAACACTGAGAGCGGAACCGCAGCCAAGACCGTTACTGAGTGGGAGAGCAGTGATAACTTTTTGTTTGCATTCCGGGTCAGTAAAGTTCTCGTGGGCAAGGCAACGGGTCAGGTCATTAGCGAAGAAGATTACCGAAGAGGAGCTATGTTTGGCGACAATGCAGAGCTGCGAGAAATTCAAGGCCCACCGCTGTCTATTCTTAAGGTCGAACATCCGGATGCGGAAGGTGAAGGATACTACACAGAAGAGTTGACGGAGGGAGATGATGTTGTGACTTGTGCTCTTCAGAGGCACGATAATTCTGGAGCTTAGTTCGTCAATTGAAGGGACATTGAGTCCAAATTGCATTGTGTGTTATTTACGTAGAATGACTTTGTGCTTTCTTCTTCTTTCATAATATATACAAAAAATACATTACTCATTACTTTTGTAATGTTTTCGATATCTCGTAGCTGATATCTTCCAATCTCCCGCCGAATAAGTTGTGCCGATTCAAACTTAGCTCGACATAAAAATACCCATCCCTCATAGCGTAATTAGGCCCTCTCTCGGCGCATCTTTTGAGCAATGCCTCCATATTCTCCTTGTTCTTGAATTTCAGCGCCTCTTCTGTCGGCAAATGTATTCTTGCATACTGTAACAGGAATGCTGCAATCCCTGCCATAATAGGCGTTGCGTAAGATGTCCCCGAGCGAGACTTGACGTAATTCGGTGGAGTTGACTTATCACTACAAAGGAAGGTTGGCCATGCTGATTCTATCGACTCTCCAATAGTTGCAAGGTTCAAAGTATAAAGTTGAGCAGTTGGACTAAAGGCAGAAGCATTTCCTAAAACATCAGTTGAGTGAACACATATGACCTGAGAACTGCTTGCGGGATATGCGCGACCAAGTCGACCGCCGCTATTTGAGGCGGCAGCGAAAAGGAGGACTTTCTTGCCATAAGCCCTATGGATAGCGCTTTCGAGGAAGCCGTAGCCATCAAAGTCAGATGAAGGCCACCCGAAAGACATCGAAATAATATCTACACCCCATTTGTCGACCGCGTGATCGATAGCCTGTGTATGTCAGTTTCTGGTCGTTTTTGCCGGCGAAAGTATTGCTGCATATCAACTTACCTTGGCCACAGTTTCAGCATTAGGCCTGGCATTTTTTTCAGCAATTTTGATAATGTAGAGCTCTGCATCAGGGGCATAATCAAGTATCAAGCTGGCAGTGAAAGTGCCGTGCCCATTTAGATCCGGTATGCTTCTTTGAGATTCGTTGTAATAGTTCAGTCTCGCTTTGATAGCTTCTTCGCGAGCTTCAAAGGCATCATGCCCGCGCTCAATGCCTGTATCTAAAATTGCAATTTTCACAGGCTTTAGAGGCTGGCTCGTAAGATACGCCGTGATGAATTTGTCGTAGACTTTCAAATACTCGGATCTCCAACTCAGATAATCCCTATTTCTAAAGGGAGGTCAGCTAGGAAATCTCCTGCAAAACACGATGCCATAACTATAAGATTGCAGCTAGAGTGATAGAAGAGAAGAGATGATGTACTTCCTAATCGATTTCTCCTCATCGCCTGTCTCATCGTCAAAAAAGTGGTGATTTTTGTAAATACTTGCTTCAGGTCGCGAGATTGAATCCAGACTAGTTGTAAGATAGGAAAGCGAAAGCAAAGCGTTTGCATTGGAATTTGGTTCAAGTCTCTGAAGATCAGGCATGATAAATCGAGCATCGACTTGGTTTGAAGCATTCAGTGTAAGCGCGGGCGATGGAGTGTATACAGGTGGGAGTGATGTTGTAGTCAAGGAAGCTGTGATAGGTGAAGCAGCCGTGATGCCATGTAGGTTATGATCCGCTATTGGCTGGCCCCATCCACCAAAATCGAGTCCCCTTGCGTAGTTGTCAACGTCATCTATATGTATTTTACTGAAGCCGGTTGTTAGATGTAGCTCCAGGGGCCGAACAATATCATCGTAAATTCGAGACTTGAGCATTGGGTTGTCAAAGGCGTTGCCTTCATCGTCCTCCCAAAGTTCTGGGTTCAAGCAGTTGTCTATTGCAGTGAGCAAATAAGAGTCTTCAGGGATCTCAGATCGCCATCCTTCCATCTCGGTTTCATTTGAACCAAAAACTTGATCAACGTCAATGAGCGTGATATTGTTGTCAAGGCTCTCAAGTGGAATTCCCTTCATCTGCGCTAGCTTATGGAAAGACTTCGCAAAATATATCTCTATCAATACTACTGCCAAAGCAATAAGCGCTGTACAGCGGTGTCCTGAATTGAAGTCCTCGAATCCAGCGTCATCATCAGGCTCATTATCGATTTCAACGTCGGGAGTTTCATTAGCTTTGGTTAAATGAACTTGTATGAATGGTCGTAAGGGAGTCTTTTGGGATGTTGTCTGAAAGAATTTAATATCTCGGGAGCCCCAGGTAGACCGAAGCCAAGAGGTACCACTCAAGTGAAGCACAGCATAGCCGATAATGAGAGAAAGAAGGCGCTTGGTCTTCTCGGTAAAGACATCGTGTCTCTCTTCAAAACATCTTAGTAAGGAAATTGGTTCAGTAGCTTGGTCAATACAAAAGTTGCTTCCTTCCATTCCCTCATGATAAAGTTGGCCGCTTGTAAGTTTAAGCACGAAGCGATGCCATGGCTTTAATCTTGTGCTGTTGATTGACTTGCAGAGCTTCTTCACCCGTCTTGTTGTATCGTAAGAAGGTGCCACTTGGCCATCTACAGCGAACTCGACAACTCTCTCCTTGGCAGTCTGGACTCGAATTTCATGCCAATCGCGCTCCGTAGAAAGAAACATGCCGAAGTCGAGTGCACCAGTCGCACTACTATCCTTATGAAGAACTCGTCGCCGAACATGTCTAGGGACCTTCATCTCTTGTACGGATTCAATGGCTTTCCGATAGGTTCCCAGTTCCAATTTGGCTTTGAATTCATGTTGTTCTGAGCAAGAACATCTTTCGCATTGCAGCAACGCGTCAAAGAGTGCCTGGGCTGTTTTCCAAACACCATAAGATGGCCCATTATGGTCTCTGGCGATTTCAACGTCAGATTTTACCAAAATCCTGTCCGGCTGCTGTTTTTCCAACTTGTCTGCGCACTCTTCCAAAACGTTGTTGATGCAATTAAGATGCTCCTTGGTTAAACCAAGTTTCAGCCATCTTCTGATGAAGTCGATCTTCTCGTTATAGTCTTGTTCCCGCGTTTTATTCCATTGAGCATTGAACACGTTCAGCCGAACTATCGTTGTATTAGATGACGCTTCCTGAGAGCCCGTCGCGGAGATCAATGAACTGAGCTGACACAGAGCGATACTGATCAAGTTTTTGTCCACTCGGGATGAAGTTTGAGACGCGCAAGTTATGCATTCTTGGAGCCTTATGCAATGGAGGCTAAGGTGGCTATAAAATATCCTTTCTTCCTCGTCAATTTCCAATTTTCGAACTAATTTTGCAATTTGATGAATGGTTCGAAACGTTGTCATAAGCAAGTCCGACTCTTGCCCATCTTCATTGCAATCTTTTGGCGGAGAGCACAAGGATAGCTCTCGCATATCGCGTGTGAGGGTATTGGTATACATATATATTGATATACACCTGAAAAAAATTCGAGAGGCTCTGGACTTTATAAAATCGAGTTGGTATTGCGAACACGAAAGATGAGCTCATTGCTCCTACAGCGTGAACGGTGCAGAACTGAAGCGGGGATTTGTTCACGTATGCATGCATATGAATTAAGCGAGGCATAGCCGTCTCATTGGCATGAAGAGTACATGCAATACGGTGATCTTAGATAGACTACCTACTAACGCCAGTAGCAGTTGTACCAACCACAGATGCTACGGAGGGGTTTATTCGAGCCTCTCAGCCCGGCTCGATTCGGATACTTCGATGAGTGATATAACGAGGTCGATACAACATAGATGCTTCGTATTGTTTCGGAGGGCAACCTACGTATATTGAATCATTCCATCGCCCGATCATTAGCATTTCCTTCAGCCATGACAGACATCGATATGATTGCAGAATTAGTCGAGATAACTATTGCCGCTGCTTCTCGCCAATGTCTAGAGTCATTTGCGACGTGCCTCGCACAAGCATCGGCTATCCATCCCCGGGAGTTCTCGAGGGTAGAGGATCAAGTAGCGAGGTTTTCTACCTGGACAAGTGGTATGGGCGTCTTCGCTCCTGGACGAGCATCCATGGATCATCGGCTGCGGTACGCTCCCGAAGTACAGAGTGTTGCCATAGGCTTGCTAAATTCATTAAATCACCGCATTCGAAAATGTAAGCTTCAATATCTCGGGCTTTGCTTTTTCTACTCTAACTGCCTTAATAGGTTCCCATATTATGGATGGTCATGGCAAAAATCCAGAATCGGATGTCTCGATACCAACTAAAGCACTGCAAGGAAGTTATAATGACATCGGGTCGGAAATCAGTCTTCTTAACAAAATGTCAAACGTGATTCGAAGAGCTAGCAAGGAGGATACAGCGTTGAAGATGAAGATGAAGAGTTTTCAGATTGAAGATGAAGATAAAGACATTGAACGCACGCTACTCGGTATTTTTAAGCATCATATCAACGACAAGTTTCCCAGAGCTAGCGACACTATCCAACAAAGGCTCGCTGAGGCGATGATTTTTCGGCGAAAACGAATTCTCTATTGGAGATATCGCCAAGAAGCTGCGACTAAGTTGCTCAATGCAGACCTCAATGTCTCACACACGGCGCCAAAGCCTCGGCCACCAATCTCTTCAGCCCAAATAGATACATTACAACAAAACAAACAGAAGAGTAGAGCAGCTGAGCCTGTGATCGCATCATCCGAGATTCAGAGTGCGACCACTCTACAACCCGATAACTTTAAACTAGCTGCTACAAGCCCGTCAGTTGGTTCAGCCATGACGATAGCTCTGAGCGACCATGAAACTCTTGATTTCCCAATTGCTCCAGGGGCCGCTGCTAAACGAAAATACGAACAACTTAAAATGGAGAGATTAGCTACCCACAATTCTATGCTCGACAAATTTGACAAGGCATACCCCGACGGGTATTCGAGAGAAATTTTTCGCTTTGATGAACAAGATTCGCGAACCATTGCAGAGAAAGATCTTGAACTTGAAGCCATCATGGAGGCAGATATTCAAGCCTTAGGAGAGATAACTTGCCCATATTGCCTTGAAGCTCTTCCAGCTATAGAGGTATTCGATCACCCAAAATGGCGGTAAGTTGGCGCAACTATTTAGTATAGCTCAACACTGCATGCACCCCACGAGGCTTTCCTTGACCGGACAGTTTGCTGACTAGCCTTGAAGAAAACATGTCAGAAATGATCTAGATCCCTACATATGTCTTTCTGAAGAATGCAATGATGCAGATGAGCTCTATAAGCACAGCGAAAAATGGCTTAGCCACATGCACCAACACAATCAGCGCTGGCGTTGCCCGTCCCACCGTGAACTGGATCTGTTTCTGACTCGCGAGGACTATATGCAACACATGCGAGAAGCTCACAACTCCAACTTGGGAGAAAAGAAGCTTCTTATATTAGCTAATAGGAACGCTCGCAAACCCACAAAGCTGTTCACATCATGTCCTTTATGCGGAAAAAGCGAGGTTGAGGTTGATGGCCGCTTAGAGAATCATATAACTGGCCATTTGAGATCGCTTGCCCTTAAGTCTCTTCCACCATACGAGGATGACATGGAAGATGATGTTGAGAGCGAACGAGATGGCTGTGATGGCTCACAGTTGCGAAGCGTGAGGACAACTGAGGATCTGTCGACTGGCAAAGGTTCATCGGCAGATAAGAAGAATGAACAAACTGTATTATCGAAGCTGTCTGAAACGGAAGAGACGGATTTTGTGAACGACGCTCCTTACGATTTAGATGCTAAGCATACAGATACGTGGAACTCCTGGGTGAATGATTGGATATCCAACAAGCCCACGCTTCAACATTTGCAGCAAATATCTGAGAAAGATCCAATCTTTCAGTTTATGCTACTCAAAGACAAAGAGAGTCACTCATTCCCTCAAACACCCCGACAACAATCTCCGCACCAGGGATCCAACTCTGTCTCCGGCATAGATCAATCATCTACTGTAAGATTCCCACGATTTAATTGAAAGCAGTTTGCCCCTTTCTTTTCATGTCTAAGATTTAACTGTATGTTGATATAATTTAGTGCGATGAAGAACCTGAGCCAGTTCCTGGGCGCATTGTTTACCAGCAAATATTTAACGATATCACAGAGTTTCACCAAACATGGAACGACATGTATCAAAGGAGGGACGATAGGCTTATAAATTCTTTTGGCTGGGATGGGGCAAACTTAACAATGCAAGGCCAGCCGCTCATTAATCAGCAACAACGCACGATGTCGGTTAACAACAATGTTTCAAGCATGGGTACCCAAGAGCTTAGCGACATGCAGCTTCTTGCAGAATCATGGATAGATGATTCCAGCGAAATTTCCCAGTAAACCTCTATAATATTAGGGCAGCTTACCTTGAGCGTTTGACAGAACACGCACAAATACTTAAAGACTGGATTATACCCTTTAAGTCCTTCTATGATATTCGCGTCAAGCTCAATCAGCAGGACAATAGCAGCCTCATACGAGCGTGCGAGATGATGAATGCTTTAATTCAACGCCAACAAATCTAGCTACTATCGAGCCTACCAGTGTAAAATTTGAGTCCCGTTTCACGGCCAGTCAATCCTAGCCATCAATCTGCCTCCTAGGATCCAAGCGACCTTATCCACCAGCCTCTGCTACATGTAATCTTGTTTACACATCAGGCTCTGGGCCATCAGAAGCCAAGTATGGCTGCGCGTCAGCTACGACGTATCTCAACAATGTAAATTCTTGATCTTCAATATGACGTGAATAGCAGATAATTGGTATTAATACAGCAAATGAACCATATTGGCTGGGCGAAAAAAGTCGCAGGACAGATGTTGCATATGTATATGTAGATGTATATAGCACATGAATAGGACCACAGTGTGGTATTATCATTGAATACTTATCATTAAATAACTCGTAAATTCATCAGTCTTACCGATTGAAAAAGGAAGTCAAAGTAGGTATGTATAGATGATCTAGTACACCGGTAAATTTATCCTTTGCTTTTAATGATCACTCTAGCTTTCCAGTTGATCATAATGTTAAAGATAGTCTTCCATCGATAGCATACTCCCCTTACACTGATTTAGATAGCTAGAGCCTGGTCCATTATTCTCGTTGACAAGACTGATAACAGCAGCAATACACGCTCTAGGATAGCTAACCATATAACACTTAAACGTCGCGCGAGCCATGTTGACGACACGACCCTCCCCCGCCCTTCTCTTTTCCAGACATTGACTACAAAAAGCCGCGCGGCATTCAAAACTCGGGAACACCTCATAAACTCAAGATTAAAAGCGCTTTCCGGGTTCAATAGGTTAATGACAGAGAAAGCAGAAGCTAGATTGAGACAGGTAACTCAGAAATACTATAGAACGGTTAATTACGGAAGCCGTCAAACGCTCAAAAATGAATTGAAAAGCGCAAGCGTGAATGCATGTATCCCGTTGAGGCACGCCTAATCACGGTGCGACTGGCTAAAGTCCGAGAATTGGCGGTAGGATCTGATAAGATTCATCTTATCAATCAGCAAAGTGTATTCGGCCCCTTAATTACCCCCAGAAGTTAGTCCCTTGCGATGACTCAAAAGATCCACATTAGCCCCTTGTTCGCTGGATTGCGGCGTACGCTCTTGCGTAGTTGGCGTGTCCCACTTGAATGAACTTTCAGCGTCTGTGAAAGTCTACAATTAGATTGTAAGCTTCTAGTGAAGAGGTTGTCAGTCTCCAAGTGTTTGATGCCAGTGTTGGCGAGATGGATAGACTCGCTAAGGCGGAGAAATTCCTGTGCTTTACCTCAGCAGTAAACCTAGGTGCTTTGAAACGACAAGGTCAGCAACCCCAAGACATTGTTACCACACAGCAGAGGAACTGAATCCTAGCACCAGTAGGATTCAAATAACCGGCTAATAACGATCACAGCTAGTCTAGGATAGAAGCTAGATTAAGCCACCCCAGTCCAAAGAGTGATCTCGTGTCTCAAAATACGGGTACGGCTCTTATCAGATCCGATGGCGTGTGGATTCCTGCAGTCATTTTCCATTAGCTATGCATTTTCTCATTTCGTAATAGCCCTGTAAAATCTGTTGGCCGCTGCCGGCAGCTGTGCAAGTCTAATCAACAGATCATCATGTTGGACCGCTCGGCAGGCGAACGGTTTCCGAAGGCTGCTGCCTTGGGCTCGCAGATGGATAAATACATCAATTCGCCGCCAAGACATTCATACAATTTCATCTAACATCGAGAACAACTTCTATTTCCGCCAAAACTCTCCACTCGCCTCCAGTCTCGCCGTCATGCAGATTCTAAGCGCGCAGCCGATCCACCAAAACCAAGACGATGTGGAAAAGACTGCCGCAGATGCGGCGGCTCAATGTCAGACCAAGGACGCTGCTGAGAATGCCGAAACGCCGTGGAACGAAGAATTTCTCGTTGTGTTCGGCCCAGATGACCCAGAGAATCCCTTGAATTGGTCTAGCAAAGTGAAATGGGGAGTCACCGCAGCAGTCTCCAGCACGGGTTTCATCCGAATCATGGTTTCAACAGTAAGGTTGCGCGTGTTGCTGACCCATAGAAGTCTTTTTGAAGCACGCTGCTAACGATGCTTGCTCGCAGATGATGGCTCCAGCAATCGAAACCATCGCCGAGGAACTCGATATGACGCCCATTGAATCGACCATGGCTCTTTCAGTGTACGTTTTGGCGACTGCCGTTGGCCCAATGGTCATTGGTCCTCTACCCGAAGTATATGGCAGAAAATCCATATATCATGTCACGAATATCTGGTTCCTGGCCTGGAACCTCATCTGCGGCTTTGGCCACTCAAAAGGGCTGCTAATTGCCGCTCGTTTCCTGGCTGGCTTTGGTGCCAGTGCTGTCTTCAGCTTGGCATACGGCGTGCTCGGCGATGTGTGGCCGCCAGAAAAGAGAGGACGTTCCCTGAGTATGTATCTTCTCATCCCACTGACCGGCGCTGCAGTGGGGCCCATAGTAGGCGGTTTCATCGTTCAGTACTCTACCTGGCGCTGGATGTTCTGGTCGACTGCGATATTCCAAGCTGTTCTCGAGTTGTCGTCGCTGACGGTGTTTCACGAAAGCTACACGCCTGTCCTCCTGCGTCGACGAGCTGAGAAACTGCGTCAAGAGACTGGTGATTCTCGTTACTATTCCGAGATCGAGAAGCGTGAATCCGGTCGCTCTACTGCCTGGAAGATTCGCCGCAGCTTGACCCGCCCCGTTCGTCTGCTGATGTTTCATTCCATTATTCAGATAGATGCTATTCTAGAAGGACTCAATTACGGCCTTCTGTACTTTATACTGTCTAGTTTCTCTGCTCTATACGTCAACGCATATGGTGAATCTATCGCCATCTCTGGCTTGCACTACATTGCCATCTGCTTGGGCGAAATCCTTGGTTCGCAGATCTGTGGGCCGCTGATGGATTACCTCTTTACGAGATTGAAGAGTCGTGACGGCAGCACTCGAGTGCCTGAATTACGAATTCCAATCATGTTGCCAAGCGCTCTTCTTACTCCCATTGGCTTTCTTTTATACGGTTGGGCTGCAAAGTACCATCTCTTTTGGCTGGTTCTGGACATTGGAGCGGTTTTGTTGTCACTTGGAATGCAGGTTTTTGGTACCACTTTGCGCGCCTACGTTATGGATGCGTATGATGAGCATGTCAGCTCCGCATCTGCTGCAACACAGCTGTTAAAGAGTTTGCTGGCGTTTGCGTTCCCGCTCTTTTCTGATAGCATGTACAAGGCGCTGGGTTACGGATGGGGAAACAGTCTGCTGGCATTTCTATCGATTGGAATTACGATACCGTCGATATGCATACTTTGGTATTATGGAGCTAGGTTGAGAGCGAGGTTGCCATCAAGCTATTAGAAAATTTTGTATATACGTTTAAATGAGGACGAGGGTTGTTATATGCAGCGGATTATTAGATGCACGTACCTCTGTCGTCTTGCACTATACATACCGTGATCTCTCACCACCGTGGACTGATAATTCGTTTTGGTTATTCAGTTGCGGTACAAATCTTAATCAAGAATCTGTTCAAGGTTTGTAAGTCCTAACGTGGCAAGTAGAAGTTGGATGTAGAAAATATTCCATCCAAAGTAAGTTGACCTGGTTCGGATCCAAGTCCGCTTAGTCAAGGCTAAATGCTAAGAGTGGCGGACATGGATCCGAGAGTCTGTAGTAGTTCCAACTTTAGCATAAAAAGACCATTTACAGCCAAACCTGTCTTCTTCATGATGTATCGATTTCAATTAAAAAAATAATCGCAATCGAAGCGCTTGAGTTTTAATATCTTTCCAAAACAACACAATTCTCACTCAAACCTGGGTGAAAACAACTGGCGATGGTTGGAATGATCGAAACTGGTAGTTCTCCGCGCAATGGACTCGCCTGCCAGAATTGCAGGCAGAGAAAGAGAAAAGTATCAAATATCATCATACCTAGTTTGTCCCTTCAATCTAACTATCTATGAAAGTGTGATCGTCGGACGCCTCGCTGCGGTCTCTGCATAAGGCGAAACCTAGACTGTGTAACGCAAGTGATCAAAAGCGCGGATACACAAGAAGGGTTAGCATTCCATCTCAATATAACATCGACTCGTCTACTAAACATATTGCGCAGGTCCGTCCAAAGCCTCGAAAAAGAAATTGCAAGCCTAGAGGCTCAGCTATCGCGGCTACAGACAACCGTGGTAGAGCCTCGCTCGCCTGGTACCTCACAGCCGCAAAATAATCCAACTCACATGCCTTGCGAAACTCTCATCTCTTCTAGAGAGCAGTCTCTGGACAGCGTTGATTTGGATGTTCTCAAAGAAGTCGAGACTGTATCCCTTTACCGTGGAGAACTCTATTGCTTGCATAAAATGGCACGCAGGGCTCTCCGCCTAGAAAACTGCGATCCTCGGGGAATGTTGAATCTCACCCAAAAGAAGAGCTTATTAGCATCATATTCTCGGCCGCCTAGCTCCAATACACCTTTGGACTATGATCTAGCCATTTCTTATGCGAACAAATACTTCGCTTATATTCACCCTACCTTTCCTATTGTTTCCGAAGATGCAATCCGAAATACACTCCGAAAAATAGCAACCGGCACTCAAAGTGATCTTCGGGAACGCACCATATCGTATCTCGTTATCTCGATTGGTGCAATCCTTCCTATCGAATCGTTTGCTGCTTTTGACACTTACAACTCGGCCGATTACTTCTTACGATCCCTGGACATTCTGTATTCTTATGACGAATCGGCTACTACAGTGCAAATTCTCCTCTTGTTCACTATCTGTTCGCTTTTTGATCCCAGCACGGGCAACTCATGGCATCTGATAGATCTTGCCACACAAGCTTGCATAGACATGGGATATCACCAACTCCAACCAGAAGCAGAAACCGCGAGAAGCTCGCCAGTAAAAGGGTTAACGCTGTTTCAGGCGGCTTATGTACTTGATTTGTAAGTGTATCCGTCCAGCATGTACAATTACAGACCAAGAAGTTTAACCATCATACTACAGTACTATTAGCTCGGCATTGGGGCTGCCTATGGGCATACAAAATCGCGACATGTCTTTCGATTGGGAGGCATATATCGTTCCACCGGCATCCATACGCGCATCTGGATCGAGAAGTAAAGAGCTTTCTCTTTTAGAGATGTTCAGTTGGGCATACGAACTTTGCAGCAGTCCAAAAAACGATGCCGCGGGCTACCTGTCCTGCTATGAAGAGCGCATACTACAACCTAGATTGAGTGGCGAAGAAAATACATCTTATCTGCCAAGAGCGTTTGAACTACAACTCGTTGCGCAGAGCCTTAGAAGATTACTCTCGGCCGCTTCCCCGTTTGCAGCACAGAGTAAACTGGTTTACGACTGTCTAGTATCCTTTCAGAGCTCAATTGATATCTGGCCCGCGCTGCCGTGGATCGCCGGATACAGCATATTCCAGCTGGTGCTATTGGGCATCATTTTCAGCAATGGGATGCCTCGGGATCAAAGAGTAACCCAAATTTCACAATTGGTATCTCTGGCTGGGATGGTTTTATCTGTTATGAAGACCAAATTCGCTGGGCTGCATTCTCACAGCGTACTCTTGGGCGGTGTATTGAAGCAAATAACCTCGCTCGATGCAAATTCTCGAGAAAGCATTGACTTTCTTGACGGAAGCAGTCTCTATGAATTCTGCAGGGACGCTCTGAAATGCGTTGACATAGATTTTTCTCCTTAACCGGCTTGTTTCTTAAATTAGAGGAAACAAGCCGGGAACAAATACTCATTCAAAGTTAAGCAATTCTATTGACTATCAAATATGGCACTAGCCGGCTGAGATTGAATCGCCAAATCGAGTGAAATAAGCCTTCTTTCTGAAGTAGAGAGAGGTTTACAAATGAAGATAAAATCCAGGCTAAATGAAGAAAGCAAAAAATGAAAAGAAATCAGAGAGGATCAAAAAGCAAGTTCAATGCGTAATCTGGGAATCGAACCCAGGGCTCCCCGACGTTGCTCGGATGGCAACGGAGAATTTTACCACTAAACCAATTACGCTTGTTCTTCGCTGAAGGGACATATCGCAGAATGGTCTATCAATATTACTGAGAATCAAGATTTCTGCACTTTATCCTCTGTCTGTTTCCAGGACATGCAAACTCGTAAATATTAATAATACTAGACTTGGTGATGTTATCATTGCCATTCAGAAGCTTTTGGACTCCTCAAATTCTGCTCACTGGTGTTCAAGGCTCTAGATCTATCCGACACAAGGCGGATCGTTCTCCGCCAGGTTTTCCTATTTAGGCAAGCCTCGGAGAGTCGTCCGTCAGACGCAAGTTTACAAGCGGACATGATCCCGAGAACTCTACCATAAGAATCCTACTCACTAGGCCTAGTATCTTGGTAATCCGAGCAAAGAAATAGACAGTTGCGATTACGGCTAGTGTTATGGCTGTGGCTAGGGTCAACTATAGAGGCATCACAGCCAGCCAGCCAGCCAGCCAGCCACCACGATAGTCAAGAATATGAGCGAAAAGAAGTCAAAAAGACAGCCTACCCGAGAGCAAATGGTGTTTCTACAATGACAAGTATTCCAAGAAGACGACCCCCTGTATAAAAATGCAAAAAAAGAAGAACTTGACGAGAGTGGGACTCGAACCCACGCGGATTGCTCCACCAGGAATTGCTGTTAAGGTAGCCTTAACCTGACGCCATAACCAACTCGGCCATCTCGCCGTAAGATGCTGAACGTCGCCGCTATTCAGACTCAGATTCCTGGCGCAACACGACGAGCGCATCCTTCTCAGCTTCTTCCAAGTCCTGAAGAGAACCTTGGGCAGAAATGGCTGGATGGCACATGAGCGAGGCGCTACAATTACAAGCCGACAATATCTAACGCCATTTTCTGTTAGCGGCAGCTCTGGACGTTCTTTCTTGCACCACCATCGTGCACGTTGGAGATTGGGGCCAATGTGGAAGAAACATCAGCGTCAATGCCTCATTGAAGAGGGACTTCCGTTGAATTGAGTTTGCACTGGAGATGAACGTAGGACCTCATATCATTACAACATTCTTAAACCAATGCCTCAGTCAACCCCCTTTTCTGGCGCATGCGCCCACTGTCGCGCGAAGAAGCTCAAGGTAAATGAACGGATGATAGAAAGACCCGGCCCGCGATCTATTTCACCCTTGCTTCGTTGACGGTTTGTTAAGCTGACAGCGGTAATTTCTAGTGCGACAAAAGTGCTCGGGTATGTTCCAACTGTGAGCGTGCGAATACTCCATGCATCGAAATCGATCCCGTATCTGGAGAGCAATATGAGAGAGGGTGAGCCGGCTTTTTTTCGTAGTACAAGTATTATGATGCCGGGAATATGGAAAAACTGACTTTTCCTTGACCGTAATCGCACTCTATAGATATATTGCAGACCTGAAGATGCGAGCCGCCCGTCTTCGAGAGCAAGTCAGCAGTCCTTATTCTCAATCGTTGCCAGATTCCGTCTCAGCTCTCTCAACTCCCGCAGAAGCACAAGCTCAGAGTAGTTCGCCAAATGTGAAGTCTATAGCTGGATCTTCATCCACTCCTACAGAACCTTCAAAGTTTGCCGATGGCAGTATCTTTAGGTGAGTAACACTCCGCCCTGCGTGAATATGGTATAGACTGACAAATCATGATTTAATATACGCTCAGTCTTGGACACCTAGTAGCCGCAGCTTTGTCTACACAATTTTCTCAAGGAGCGCAATCTGTGTTCCAAACTCGCTTCCAATTACAGCCCCAAGCTGATAGTACTGAGATCTCCTTGAGCGATGAGGACAACCTGCCGCCCCTCTCAGTGGCTTGCGATCTGGTTGACGCATAGTGAGCTTTCCATATTTGCCACTTGAAACTTCGTAAATCCGGTTTACTTATAATCCGTCTTAAGCTTCGAAGTAGGGTTCCATAGGGTTTCGCCTTTTATGAATAGAACCCAGACGTATCAGCAAATCGAGCGTTTGTACGACAATCGTTCTTCCTTAGGCTCAGATCTGCAAAGAAAAAACGATCTATATCAACTATTCATGCTTTTTGCAGTAAGCTTGCCATATTCCAAAAGGTCATCATCAAGTAAATCTCCCATCCATTACTACGCCTCTGCCATGCAATACGCCGAAGATGTATTATCTCACACAGACGGCGAAACCCAAATCCAAAACACTATGCTACTTCTAGTTTTTGCTCATCAACATGCTACCGGAAGTGAGTACCAGCATTTCTCATTTGTTACACTCTCTCTATCTTTTCTCCTTCTGACCTTGGCGCTTCATCCAGTTGGTAGTAGATGGAAATTGGCAAGGCAAGCTATGAGGATATGTGTCCAGCTTGGATACCACAAAGCTCCCTCAAAGCCCCTTGATCCAGTAACTGAACAAAGACGCCGGCGGCTGTTTTGGTGCTGCTACGTTCAAGAACGATTTGCCGCATGTGGCTTAGGACGACCTATAGCCATTACAGATTCTGATATTACAGTTGCTGTAAGTATGCTCAAGAATAGACTCTGCATAACCATACGCCAGCTAATAGATACAGATGCCCGACTATGTCCGTCTAGATGATCTACAAGAGGGGCTTGATACAAGTACGCCCAATGGGTCCGAGGTGGCTGTGCTCAACCGGCAAGCTCAGTTGCGAAGAATCTCAGCAAAGGTCCATGAACAGCTCTATGGAAGACGCGACGCCACCAACACCAGCTTCCAAACCAAGGCCGAAGCTGCCACTCTGCTAAATGCGGAACTAGACCAGTGGCATATCACACATGTGGAAATCAGCACGATACCTCATTCCCCCTGCATCTTTCACACAAGGGAATATATGGATGTGAATTTTTACCGAGAGAGGCTTTTCATCTACTCTGCTTTGGTGGTTCCGACGGGACAAGAGGCGCATTCGTTTAAGCCTGATGTGACATACCTCAGACTCTGCTTGGATCCAGCCGTTCAAATCATTTTCCTCTATCAAACCCTGCTAGTCAAGGGTGTCAAGACGGTCCTGTGGTAAGTAATAGCTGATTTAATTGATCATGGACGTATATTTTTGCGATAAACTAACTAAGGCTGTGAAGGACATGGATCCAAGATATTCTGCGCTCGGGATTCATGATTCTGTACTGTGGCATCCATATATCAAATATTCTTAACAGCCGGGAAGAAATTACTTCATCGATAACCACGGATCACATCCCAGAGCCTTCTTCAGTCATCAAGGCTCTCGATGATTGTCGACAAATGCTCAAGGACATTTCACTAAAATGGACCGCAGTAACTCCGCATTGGGTGGCATTCGACCGGCTATCCTGCGAAGTAAGAAAGCTCATTGAGAATAGTTCGGTCCCAGAGACCTCGCAAAGCAGGCAGGGCGTGGGAGATGACGAGATCGCCATGAATCTTGCAACGAGTCAAGGACTTTGGGACGTGCCAATGGACATTTCGTACTGGGATGATCTTCTCGAGGGAGATGTGAATATGAATGAGGTGTTTGGGTTTGATATGAATACATTTTTGTAGCGAAAGAACTAACATGGCGAGATGAGTTCTCTCTTGTAGCGTTATACAGGCAATAATTCCGATCTACGACATGAACGAACACACATTATGCTACTTCTTTATTTTATTTTTATTTTTCAATTTTTAGATATTAATTTCTCTGAAGTTGGCAACAGCATTATGAGTTCTTCTCCTTTGCTTCTTCTTGTCGAAGTCGATCGACCAGCTTGCCTCTCAAGAAGGGACTCAATCCAAGGCTAATCAGTATAGTCAGCAAAGAGATAGGGGAAAAGAGGGTTACTCGTATGAGAAAAACTGCTCGCCCATCACTTACATTCCTTCCTTAGTCACTGCTCTGTACGTCCCGCTTGGCTGAAGCTTGCCTACAACCTCTCCAGCTTCATCCACTTCAACGCTCCCCAGTATATCCTCCGGCCACGCTATTCGGCCAAAGTCGGGAGGATTCCTGCGGTCACTCAAGTGAACAAACCCACCACGGCCCGCACCACCAGCACCTCCCTGAGCACTGGCACCGCCGGCACCACCCCCTCCCGCACCTCCTCCACCTCCTTGCTTCCCGGAAGACCCTCGATGCTTCTGTTGGGATTGGCCAGGAAAGAAAGAGCCCCCTGATCCAAGATTAAAACCTCCGGTACTTGCAAAAGCTTTTGCCTGCGCAATCACATCCTCATCTCGGTGGCCATACTCAGATACAACCTCGTTCAGTATTGACATAAACTTGGGGTTTTCTTTGAATGACTGAGGTGTTGGGGGAACTGCTGTAGTAACGCCAACAGCAAGTGTTTTTGAAGGGGGGTTGGTGTCTAGATATGTGAGAATATATGATGACGGCGCTGCAGCATTGTCAAAAACTTTCTATGGTGGCATTGTCAGTGTATTCAATCTCAGCTTCATGCAGAAACAGCTTGCAGCTAACAATATGAGAGTTGTTCTTTAGTGTAGAAACTGCTCTGAAAAACAGCCTGGTGCTTTGAGAAGCAATTCGAAATTTCGTAGATATCATCTCTGCGTTTTTATTGCTTTCAATTGGGCGTGTAAAACTTTGGAGTTGCAGATGAAAATGTGGTCCGGTCTACGAAAATCAAGACCAATGAGGTCATTCGCACCTGGAGCTTCTGGAAGCTCAGGCTTTACCCCACGCTCCCCGCTATGCGCATTTATGCATCTATAAGAAATCAATTAGACGCGTCGACGCGGTCCCCCCTCCAAAGTACGCGATAGATGGAATTGTGAATTGCTGCGGTGGTGGGCTGCCGTTATTCTGCAGAGACAAAATTTTGGTGAGATTACAGTCATCTTTTCGCCATCTCGATTTTCCATCCTTGAGCCCAAACTATGCCTGCTTCTTAATTCTACGCAACCGAAACCAAAATGGACAAAACACCAGCTCCCATCTTCCGCAAGCAGCGACCTCTAATCCCATCTTCATCCGTTGCGCCATCGTCATCTCCGGCATTCGGAACGCCAGTCTACCCTCCAAAGCCATTCAATATCAATGCTCCCAAAGCTGCGATCCTCCCCATTATCCTGCCGCCGGCGACTCTCCGACCGCTCGCATTCCGCACCTTTACAAAGAAACATTCGCTCACGCTCACATCCTCTGCATTGCAAGATCTTGCCTCGTTCATCGGACGGCATTGCGGCTCAGGATGGCGCGAGGAAGGCCTAGCAGAGAGGGTGCTGGAGGAGATAGCCAGGAGTTGGAAGAATCGCAATGGCGGCGTCATGGTAGAAGGGTCCAGTAAAGAGCTACAGGACATCCTCAAGACCCTGGAGGGGAATATGAGCGGCGGCAAGATCATGGGTCCTGGCAGAGAGCTTCCTAGGGGAGACAGCATGCTGGACATCACCGATAACGATACGCTGAACACCAGACTTGGCATAAGGCCGACCTCGCTCCCACGGCAAGATAGTAATGCTAGCTTTGGCATGTCGGGATTGGGGATGCAGGAGGAGGCAGACGACGACGAGGAAGCCAATGATGCCCGAGCATGGCTGAAAGTCATCGATGCGTATGAACAGCCACGACTCCTTTACAACGTTGATAAGAAACACTTTGAAAGGTAAGACGCTCTATATTTCTTGTCCAATCTCAGAATCCATGCTCACATAAAGGCTCCCAGAGATACGGCCAAGCCCTCATTATTACCTCCCGCCTCTCACAAAACCACTGTCTTCCGAAACCGCTACCACGTCATCCACCAACGCCTCCTCCGAAACGAATCATTTCAAGTCTCCTCCGTCACCTCATCCCGCAGACACACACTCCAGCGCTCGCTTTCCAATCAACAGTCTCTCAAAATCACGCCAATCGCCAATTTGCTTGGTCGACATGGAAGCAATCACATGCTCCTCGGCCAGCTGAATATCCTACCCACAGGAGACTTGGCCGTAAGTGATTTGACGGGCACCATTGCTCTCGACCTTACACAGGCTGTTGCCATTCCCGAGGATTCGGCATGGTTTTGCCCCGGGATGATGGTTCTTGTGGATGGCGTGTATGAAGAAGAAGAGGAGTCTGTTGGCAAAGGATTGAGCGGCAGCAGTGGTGTTGGAGGTACTCTTGGCGGCCGCTTCCAAGGTTTCTTTATAGGACAGCCTCCATGCGAGAAGCGTAAGTCGACTCTCGGCATCAGCGGCCCTGATGGCAACGACCATGATCAAACAATTGGCGGAGGCTTCGGCTGGATTGATTTCCTCGGCATTGGCAGCGAACGAGCTATTGGTTCCAAAATGCGGAGGCTAGAGAGAAGGCTGCTCCCCTCCTCCTTAGATCAAGACATGCCCTCTCGAAACCGAGTGGTGATCATTGGTGAAATCAACCTCGATCAACCCCGAGCTCTCCAGGCCCTCCGCAAAATCCTCTCCATATACGCCTCTGAACCTGAAGGCACTTCACCTCTGACATTTGTTCTGGCCGGCAACTTCACACAACACGCCGTCATGGCCAGGGGCGGAAGTGGGGGCAGTATCGAATACAAAGAATACTTTGACGCCCTAGCCTCCACCTTCTCCGATTTCCCTACCCTCCTCCAGTCATCCACCTTTGTCTTCGTGCCCGGCGACAATGATGGCTGGGTCTCCTCTTTCACTGGTGGTGCCTCCGTACCACTGCCCCGGAAACCTGTTCCCGACATGTTCACCTCACGCATCCGCCGTGCCTTTGCCGCAGCAAACGCAGAAGCTGGCAATACAGGCGTCCAAGGATCTGCGGTATGGACGAGCAACCCAAGCCGAATGTCCCTTTTCGGAACGAACCACGAACTAGTATTATTCAGAGACGACATCTCTGCCAGATTAAGGCGCACTTCCGTCACCCTCAAGCGCACGGCGGCTGCCGAAACGCACGAGGCCCAAGAAAACCCACCCGCCGAAACCCAACAAGATGATCCAACCCCATCTGCGGCAGAAGACGCCATGGAAGTCGATTTTGCAGAAAAGTCCTCCGCCACGACGATGTCATCTTCTCCTCCTCTCGACGTCAAGACAGCCCAAAAGCTCGTCAAGACAATTCTCGACCAAGGCTATCTGTCTCCCTTCCGCCAGTCAACGCGGCCCGTACACTGGGACTACGCATCCGCGCTGCACTTGTACCCTCTCCCTACTGCAATGGCACTCATCGATACGACAGCCCCGCCCTTTTGCATCACATATGAAGGCTGCCATGTTATGAATCCGGGAAGCATTCTCGTATCTGGGCGAAAGGGTGTGGGAAGATGGGTCGAATATGAAATTGGGCGGCAAGGGAGAGTAAGGGAGTGTACTCTATAGCATGTGTTGTATCATTATGTGCAAATATGAAGGAAAGGGAGGAGGCTTTGGTATAGGAACATGTGCTGGATTGGGTATGGGATCAAATTTGGGCACGAATTGCATGAAAAACTGGCCAAGAAGGTTACGAGCCCTGTAATTGCAAGGGATATATATAGGAAGCCGTGGGGATAATATAGCTTAGCACATAAAAGAGCAAATGTATGATGATATAAGAGTCGGAACACATGAAGGATTGGCCAAATAACTTTGGTCTATTAAGATAGCCTAACGCCACCCGTACCTTCTTGCTTCCATTTTATCCCTTCGTATGCTTGATTAAATCCATTCAGTCATAAATCGTCGTTTGCCAAAAGAAAGATAACGCCAAAAAAAAAAAAAAAAAAAAAAAAAAAAGAGCCTTATCGTGTGTCAAGACCATCCAAGCTGCAATCCAAGTCCTAAAACGTAAGCCAAAATGAATTTGAGAGTTGGTCCCCAAACTTTTACTCCAAGATCAGTTCATCCTCATGCAAAACTCCAAATAACGCTTCAATCTCCGTTTTTATCTTCTTTAATTCAGCAGCCACTTGCGCCGTAACAAGGGTATACGCGTAAAGCAAAGCAAAATCTCTCTCTTCCGTCATCGTTTGAGTAGCATCTTCATCGTTATTTCTCAAGTTCATCTCCATGTGCTTCTTCCGGTAATCATAAACCTTGTTCAAGAGGCGATCTCTGGTGCGATCAATAGTAGGAATAGCATCCGTAAGAGGATATTCCAGCATGACGCTAGATGCGAGTACTTGAAAAACGTGGCAGAGGCGCTGGCACAGTTGCAGTCTTTCAGCCGACGTAATTTCTAGCAGAGAACTCTCACCCTCAGAAAGGGTATGTCGCCGTTGCGTGATAAGACGCATGGCATAAAGGCCATCTAGAATATGTTTGGTGGAGTGCATAATTCGTCCATAGGCGGCATTCGGGAAGGGTCCCCGAAGTTCAAACTCGGACTTGGCAGAGTCTCGCAATGACTCCAATTTGAAAACTAAACGCAGAAAAGCCATTTGTTAGTAAGTATTGTCAGACTTGCAAGAGATTCAACTATACCATATCGTCGAAGCGCAGTCTGCTCTCCTTCCTGCATAAAGTCCAAGACACTCTTGTTTTTCGAGATACCGGCAAGCGGGCCGCGCTTCCATATAAGCCCAAGCTGCAGATATAGCACCGAAAGCCCTTCCCGAAATTTCCTTCTCCCAGAGATTGGCCATAGCAGTCGGCAAAAGAGGATTCCCCACAGGATTCCCAGCGTGACAGCCAACACTCGATGGTAAGTGATCTCGAAAATGAGAGGATCTATGCCACCCTCGTCATCATCGTCGTCATCTACATCCTGCGAAAGGCTGTACGCATACAGCACGATGACATTATACGCCAAAAGTGAGATTCTCCCCAGAGGAGCTTTCTTCAAGACTAAAATGATATAGAAATTTCCCAGTGCCACAATGGCGGTATAAAGCTCAAGGAGCCAAGGGTTAGTCATGCTCAACGACCAGGCAACGCAAGCACATGCAGCTCCAATTAAAGTGCCAATAAATCGAGAACTACCTGTCGTATTAGAAGCACCGGTGGTCATACCAACAACAATCATGTAGGACAAGAGGCCCCATTCACCTCTCCAGTGTTGATATATCGGCCTCGTAGCTGGGATAAAGGCAAACATGGCCCACAGAATAGCGCCAATGCCCACTTTGATTCCAAACAAAACGTCCTCGCGTGTTAAGAATCGTAGAAATTTAAGCAGAGCTTGAGAGCAGTTACGAACAAAAGCACTTGTTTTCTCTGGCGGTAAAGCGTCCCAATGAAGCGAATCTCTTCTCTTTAGCATTTTCGGAGGTATGCCTTGGGGTGTAGGTGACTTTTTGCTAGTCGGCTTAGGCGTCCTTGGCAAGAGGGGCTCGATCTCGGCATCTGAATCTCTTCGGCGTCGGAATAGCTTCCAGTGTCTCCAGACCTTGATCCACTTCCAGCTGCGAGCTTGGCTTTGTGTCGACTCGGATCCAAGAACATCAAGATAAGCATCCATCTCCTCAGCTACACCTTGCAAGCAAACCGAGAAGTGGCCACAAGCGGCGGCAACCTCCTCAATATCGGCCTGAATCTCCTCAGATCGCGTTCTTCCAAGCTGTATGCTTCGATACAGCTCACGTAGAGCTTTACCTCTAGCGTTATCGTACAAATCCAGTGCATCTCGTAGACTTGTACGCAGCTGCTCAATTGTCGTCGCTTGGCATTCTGGATCTTGGCTAAATGGATTTTGCTTGAGCGTTTCTAATAGCGTGTATGCCAAGGACTTCATAGAGGGACCTAATAACGCCAAGAAGAGAGCAAATATGTCTGATGGTACGCGGAAAATGGGCGTTTGATCTAGAGTAGGATCGGATTGGCTGAAGGGAATCGAACGTCGTTCGAATTCGTCCTCTTCAATAATCGATAGTTGCTCATCGGAAAAGTACGACACAGTCCGGGACATCCGTGAGGGTGGCTCAGGGGAGAATAGACCTGACGACAGCGGTAAGCCAGAGTTTGGACCTTCTTTCAGAAGCGTAAGCTGGGTCTGAAGTGCACTACGCAAGCCCCCAATAGCCTGTGAGAGCGTTTCTAGTGATTTAATGAGGCGTTTATCCAACGCATATGTGTTCTCTTGCCCAAGGAGATAATGCTCGATTTTGGCCTCCCGAAGAGTAGTCATTATCTGAGCATAAGCGGAATTATACTGCGCGGAAGCCTCAGCATATTCGGGTGAGTTGACCTCATCCTCTGAACGATTCAAAAATCCACTTGTGATGAAGGACAGGCGATCACCCAACGCTACAGCTGCCGTGAGGATCGACTTGCGCAACACCGTTCTTGCCGATACGCGCCAAATCAGGAGATTAACAGCCACGGTGAAGGAGATGCCAAGCGAGAGTAGCTTGAGCATCTGTATAATCTTATCCCCAGAGAAATAGCCATTGTGGACGGATTCCTCTTTAGTAATAATGGAAATGATTGCCATCGATGCTAGAGTGGACGCAGTATTCACAAGGGGCTGGTTTAATCGCTGCTTTGTCCAACCGACTAGGCCAAGGCCGCCTCCTATACAAATCACCAGGACGATGACATGAGCAGGGGCAGCAGACCCCCATATATCGCGAGAGGCAGTTGCTATCCCCATTGACAAGAGAGAGACCAGCTCAGCGTATACCACGGCCACAACAGCAATCAAAACAGCCTCCAGCATGGACCCAGCCGTACGCGCCGGGTGGAAGTATACCGTCAAGGTGGCTGCAATATGCTTGCCATCTCTACGGCCCATAAAGTTCGATAATGGTGGCCAGAATGTCACCGTGGTGCCCAGCAGATATGCCAGCGTACACTTGAGCACCTGATGGCCTTGGTCAGTCTGGAGCCATCTCCAAGCAGCCAGACACTTTTCCCAAGCAGCCTGTGACACGGCCTGGAGGTGCTGGCCAGCCGTACCAACAGAGGGCATAGACGAACGCCGCCTGGATCCATCACAGCGTGACCGATTCCTGGGAGTGCGGAGCGTGACCTGGCGCCGGGACCGCTGGCCGGTGGCAGGGATGACAAACGTCCCGTTGCGCATTTTCTATGCAAAGACACAAGTAAGGATTAGCCACGGACTTAAGCAAGGCGCCGCCATGCAGACAATTCTGGATGGGGAAAAGGCGATTCCATCACGTACGCTCCTCTTGGAGGGCCGGGAGGGCGGCCATGGCGGCGTCGTCGAGGAGCTGCTGCCGTTGGAGCTGCTCATCTCGACCGGGTCGTGGAAGTTGCGTCAGCCGCGTCGCTGCGGGCGGCCAGCATTCTCATGGGCTCGAGCAAGGCCCGCGGCCGCACGTCGTGGCGTCTGCCTCGGCTGTCGCGTCCGCTCCTCGGAGACACGCCGTGAGGGGAGAGATGCGGGCTCGTGAGAAGGAAGCAGGATTGGAGGAGTCGGAGGAACTGATGGCTGGCAATTGGCGGGTGACAATGGCTCGGGCTAAGCAGCTCCCAACAGCAGCAAGGAAGAAAAGATGCAAGCTCCAAGACACGACGGAACGGCACAGCTAGCTTATGGCGCACGGGACACCGCCATCGCCTGCTGGCGGCCCTGGTCGAGCGCTGCTCAGGCACTACCGGCAGTGACAGCTCCAGCGGGGCCAGCGGTGGGCCAGCCCTGTCCCAGCATTAGCTGTCAGTCCTAGTTGACGCCAGATGGCCCAGATCGCGGGCAGCGGAATCAGCAATCCTCGGCGATCTGGCGCTGGCCGCGTCTCATAGGCCGCCGCCATGCAGCGCGCGCGGTAGCAAGGGCAATGGTGCCGAGCACATCGTCGCATCGTAGGCGTCTTGGGCGCTTCTGCAGCGTCTACTGCACGTTAGCTAGGCTGCGCCACCACCACCACTAGCCACGATGCTATGCTCTTATCAACCATAAACCATGCGTCTGCGGTGCCGGCGCTGGTCTGCTCAGGCCTCTTTGAGCCTGTTGCATGCGCTCGAGAAGGCAGAGGCAACGGATCTTCACTCTAAATCTTGGCGCTGTCCACTTCCATGGAGCGCGGATCAAGTGCCATCGCCCTATTGTCTGACCCTGATCCGGCGGCTCGCAGTCACGATAAGCCTCCTCCTCACGCCATTTTACGCGCGCCTCGGCCCTCCTGGCGCTTCTTTCTCTTCTTCCATCCTTTGCCGGCCTCTAGTCTGAGCACCTCTGTCACTCGGGCCTCTCTGCCCTCTCTCTTCTATCCATCTTACTTAGACACTTCCCCTCCTCTTGTTGGCTAATCGACACGCTGGCCGCCTTCATCCGACGACGGCTTCTGTCCGCCATGGCTTCTCCGGGGCCCAGAAGATTCGCTCCTTTGCGAGCAACGGCAGATTTGTCATCTTTCAATACTGCTCCGCCTCTGAGAGGCATTGTATTTGACATGGACGGGACGTTGAGGTATGAAAGGATTTGCGATTTTCTTTAGTAACTGACTTGCGTTTCCTTATACCTGGAATGTTCCCCCCTTATCCATCCTGTTATATTAAAAGTACCACTTTTTCCCATTTTATATAACATTCACTTGCTTGGTAATACGCCTTCTGAGAGACAGTATGAAGATTACGCATATTCTCTATGGCACAATTTGGAAAAAGACACTTGGTCTGAAGCCTCGTACGCCGCAGAGCCTGACTCACTTGCTTGCTTACTCCAATTTGTGCCCCTCATTTTAACATTTGGAAGAACCATAGAAGAGAGGGACACGTGCAAAAGAAGAGATCTTTCTGTCTGAGAGTATACCATTATTTACTGATTAACCTTCTCGTAGTGTGCCGCAGACATACATGTTCAGGGAAATGCGCTCTGTTCTCGGAATCCCTCAATCAGTGGACATCCTCGAACACATTGATAAACTGCCCCCTCACCAACAGCCGCCCGCCCACGAGGCTATCCGCGCCATTGAGCGCAAGGCTATGGCCTCACAGGCGCCCCAGCCAGGCCTCCAGACCCTCATGTCGTACCTCGAGGCCTACCAGATGCCTAAAGCCATCTGCACCCGCAACTTCGACCTCCCCGTCCAGCACCTCATCACCACGTTTATACCCACCTCCAACTTCTATCCCGTCATCACCCGGGAGTTTCGCCCTCCTAAGCCTCATCCGGCGGGCATCATGAACATTGCCCAGAGCTGGGGCCTGATAGACGGCTCCGGGGCCGTGGATGCGAGCGGCCTAATCATGGTTGGGGACTCTCTTGATGACATGACGGCAGGGAGGTTGGCGGGCGCAGCGACGGTGCTACTGCTCAACGACGTAAACAGGGACTTGGCCAACCACGAAAATACAGATCTGGTGATACACCAGCTGGACGAGCTATGTCAAGTACTGGAAAATGGGTTTCAGGGGCGGATGATATCATGATTTCGAGTAGTATATCCAGACATTAGATCCAAGAGCTTCCCAGCATAATATAAAAGGACAAAAACACGGCTCCCAATGGTAATCAGCTGGCTGTTATAGACACAGACATGTATATAAAAACATTCAAATATATACTCTTTTCATACGAAGGACATGGCAAATACAAAACTTAACTAACAGCGAATTGCAAAAGTCCTCTTTTCACTCGCTGCTTTGGTTGCCAATTCATTGCTCTTGCTGGATTTAACGCTTTGTGTTCGCTACATATACATCGCACGATAACATAAAACACAATCCTATCGTTTCATCCTATTGAGAAGTATCAGAATATTTTTCAGTGAAATTTCATCGCTATTTCACAGATTCCACAGCCCACTCCAAAGAGTCTTTCCTTGGTTATTCTTCCTTATTCGGCGCCTCCAATAAGAGAAAAGCGTAGGGAGAAAAGAGAATCCCATCAAAAATAAGATGCGCCGCCATGATGCTGAGGCAGGAATTGGTGAGATGATGCAGAGACATGGATGTCAGAGAGGTCAATAGTATGGTGGCGGATCCTATACGCCATATGAAGGATTGGGATTGGAGGGTAGACCAAATTTGGGCTGCCTTCGACTCTGACTTCGCACTTCGTCTGCTGACACGGGCTTTTGTGGTGCTCCCTGTGGCGCGAAGGCGCTCGTTGGCGGCGCTGGCCGAACTGGGAGGTTAAATGTGTTGGAAGAGGCCTGAGGAATCGAATTGGTGGTGGCTCCTCGCTGTCCGAGGCCCGGATGAGCAGGTCGACCGGCGGCTACGCCATTTCGTGATGGTGATCGATCCTGAACGGGCGCTCGATCTTTCGGTGAAAAGATGCCGACTCCGGCAATCGGGATTTCACCGTACTGGGGAGCATTTGGCTCCTCGTTATTGCGCGACCTTGGCGATGAGTCGCTAGATCGAAGCAGATCCTGGGTACCGCTGGGGGACATCTGGGGTACAAGATGAGACTTGCGGTTGTCTTTCTCCATGAGACTGAAAGCCCACGCCTTGAGATCCACCGGCGTCCTCTTGGCAGCCTGAACAAAAGGATCTCGTTCCTGGGAAAAAAAAAATGTCAGTAGCCGTTGCAAACAATTACACAGACCAAAAAGAAAACTTACAAATAACTCCTGTGGGGTAGGTCGCTTTTCCGGCTCCTTGAACAGGCACTTCTGAATCATGTCCTCTAAGATGCTGGGGAAAGCGTCGCTTTTGGGGAGCTTTGGAGCCGGCTCGTTGACAATCTGCTGTAGCAGATCTAATATTCCTGCTGGACCCGAGTCATCCTCGTCGATGTGCTCGTTTGTGTTGAAAGGGAATTTTCCAATAGCAAGCTCCATAATGGTCAGGCCAAAACTCCACACGTCTGACTTGACAGTGTACTTTTCGCCTTGGATTCTTTCGGGTGCCATGTATGTCGACGTGCCAACGAAGGTATCGGCAATGGAGTTAACCAGTTCACCGGACACACCGAAATCACACAGTTTGATAGAACCGCGAGAGTTGATGAGGACGTTTGACGGCTTGATATCTCGATGCATGATATGATGCTTAACGTAGAGATATGTCAGGCCTCCCAAAGTTGCCTCTGCAATCTTTCCCAATACATCCACACGGATTGGGCCAAAGACCCTTGAAACTCTGTCAAGTGCACTATTCGAGTGTTGGTGTCAGCCGCACTTCTTTCAACCCTAAATCGCACTTAGAATTCCATAATTGAGACTTACCCAACATCCATATACTCCATACACATAATCACATCGTTGTTGTGATTCAAAAAGGCGCCATAAAATGTGACAATATAATCCGAATGGCATCCATGCATAATCTGGAGCTCTCGAACGATTCGTCTTCGCATCTCCTTTTTGGCTTCCACGTGTATCACCTAGATAGAAACTAAGTTAGCCAGTGGTCATGATATAGGCGTCCCATAGGGTTCTCAGGGGCGATAGCAGGAAATTGGACGAACCTTGCGGGCCATGACTGTTCCTGTCGTCAAATGTTTGACTTTGCTGACAGTTCCGCCGTTGCCAGAGCCGAGTTCTTTCATCACCTCGAGCTCCTCTGGTCTCAAGTCGAGCTTATACTCGATGCCAATTTCCAACTGCTCCTCTTTGCCAGCTTCGTCTTTAGCGACTTCTGAGCCACGTCTACTTGTATCGGCTGTCGGCGAGGGGCGCGGCGCTGCTGGCGTCAGGGCGAGGCCCTTGACGTTCTTGCGCTTCATAGTGCGCGGTGCAAACGGATCAGACATGATGGGCGAGGTAGAGATGCAAGCGGGTGAGGAAGCTGTGGATTGGCGGCGAGACGACTGGTGCACTGGACGCAGAGCGAAAGTCGATCAAGGGGACCTCGGAGTCGGATTCGATCGTTGGGGGGGCAGATAGGATTCCAAGTTTCTTCCAACTTAGAAGCAAGCAGCGTGCGAGCCTTTGCTGTGCAGTAGGCGATGCTTGTCGGAAAGGTCGCTGATGGAGCTCAGGTAATGCAGCCTGATGCAGAATCTTGGGAGAAGGCCCTAGCGGTCGGCTTTGAGCACTTCCAGGCTGTTGCGATCCACCCAAGATGCGCAGGCAGATGGAATGAAACAAATGAGAAGACAAACAAAGTCAGAAATGCCTCTATGTGTTTTTGGTTCTCCGCAGATAGAGGGCACCTTTGAGCGCTGGTACTCGCAGACGAAATGCGTGGACGGAGGTTGGATGGGTCGGGTTAAGGCTAATTAGTGGCTCTCAGGTAGCGGTAGTAGCTCGCTGCAAAGTCCGTGTGGGGGGCCTCAGATAACGTGATGCTCTGGACGGCGTTGGGGAGCAAGACGCTGCACCTCAGGCCAGCAGACAGCCGCTGGGAGGTTCTGGCCCTCTTAAATGTCGCGCGCTTGGAAATCTCCCAAGCCCAGCAACATTGGATGAAATCCTGCGTCAGGAGAATTCTCCAATCATGCCGCATCTACTTCTATTTTTGTCTCCAACGGGCTCACACCTCGAGGCACGGCTAGCATGCACGTTGCCTGTTTCGGCGCCCCAAGAGCCACCAGCACCAACCCCTAAGTTGCTAGGCCTTGATTTAGGCGCCGGAGCCCAGTCGCCCCTATTGTGGCAGCCTCCTGTGCCTCCTGTTGCAAAATGCATCATCTGTTCTGTGCTCCGTATACTAATAGTGGTGTCATAGTAGTATTGCTACAAGTAATTCTTATTGCCAAATGCTTTTCCCACGAGTCACGGCTTGGGCACTCTGTTCATCAGCGGGTCTCGGGCCATTCCCGCGCACCCTAGCGAGCAATGGCACGTTTGGACATGTTTGAAAGATGGAGGATGCTTCATATATACGAGGCTCAGGAGGATGAAACCCAGCTAAGGTGATGTCGCTCCTGGGCTCGTTCAACCCTCGCCAATCATGCAAACCTAGATCCAACATCGCTATTGGCTCTACAAGCGTGCATCCATAGCATTGGACGCTTGATGCTAAGCCTCTACCGTATGTGGGATGATTCAGGTGGAAGTGCCCATCATCATCTCCATACTACGAAGAGCCCCGACTAGATATGCTCCAGTGCCGATAGAGGGCCAGTCCAGAAGCACAGATAACGTCTCATCGCCCATGAGCGTTGCCTGTTCGGACATGTCCCTGTTATGCCCCATGGAATAGTGTTACGAGAGGCCGTTTCAGAATCCTTTACCCTGGAAACGACCTGCCTGTTGAAAGCTTCCTCCTACAGCAATAGCTTACATAGTGATTGGTGCAGCTTCATCGTCTTTGATATATCACCTTGGCTTCCAGAAGAATTACTTGTCGTGTGAAGTGTCATAGATGGCCAAATACCCGTGCCGCTGGTGTGCAAGGCAGCGTTTATATCCCGCCTTCTTGCCTAGGATACTACCTATTGTACTCGTTGCTGTTCTCTTTGATCAATTGTGTCAAAGGCAACAAACACATGTCTTGGCATTGAGCTTTTTGGCTCACATCGGATTCGATAACAGCTCACCTCATGTATAAATTCTTCCCACCTCCGTTTGATGATGGAAACAAATTGTTTTGCAGCCTGTTGAAACTTTGCATGGCCTTCCAAAGCGTTCCAAACATTGGGAGCTGGTGTTAATGAGGGGCTGCAATCCGTCTTCTAATTAAAGTCTCCGGCACCCGCCATTTGCGGGGCCAGCGTTATTGCCTACATGTCGTGCTAGAGCCTGTGCTTCGTATGCCTGCGACTCCACACTGGCTGTAGCATCCAGAGCTGAGGTCCGATCTTGAGGCTAGAGCGAGCTGCAGTATCTGCCGTTTTCCGAAAATGCAGAGCGGGGAGTAGTCTATGTGGTCATTAGCATTCAATTTGAACTTTGCTGCTAGTCGTACTGCTACTAAAGATACTGTAGTCAAACGATGTAAACCAGTTGAAAGGCAATTCAAGCTGGGAATCTGAGTAATAACTTCGTTACTATGAAAAGCAAAGAAATATTTTTTTAGAAAAATCTATTATCAACCTCAATGGCGCTGTCCATATATAATATGCGTTGATACGGAATTCTCTTGGGCTGTGCAGGAGCTTGTTCACTTACGTAAGCATAAAATTCGGGTAAATAAAGTTCCATGCTACCCCTGCCACACGCGACACGAGGCTGAAGGCTATTGCCGAGACTGCTCAAAAATTCATTAAGAACTTCTCAGGAGAGGAGCCAGCTAGCCTCATCTAGCTCTCTAACTGTCGTCGTGGGAATCAAGTCATTCTTTCTGAAATCATCGAAAATCCCTGCAACAATTGGCTGAATTGCGTTATCCGCGCAGAATTCGGTCGCGAGCTCTTCGATTCACCCTGTGACATCCACACCACGCGATAGCGTCTGGCACTGGCGAGATGAGCTCTACTTTGCGCGATCTGATCTCTGGGGAGGCCGAGTTGGACGACGAAGAAGATGACGAATCCTTCGACGAAGAAACCGGCCACGAGCGTCGAAAGAGACCTACTGCTCACGTCGACGACTCCAGCGAAGAGGAAGAAGATGATGATGACGAGGAAGAAGCTCGCAAGGTAACTCGAGGCGCTTCTGACTCATGATACGGCTGCCCACTGACACGCTCAACCATTCTTAGATCCGCGAGGGCTTCATTGTCGATGAGGACGAAGAAGAGGAAGAAGCTGAGTCTGATGTCGAAAGCCGACCGATTAAGAGAAAGCGAGAGCATCGGAACCGCGAGGAGGAAGAGGCGCTTGATGAGGAAGATTTAGAACTAATTGGCGAGCAATTTGGTGAACAGCCAAAGCCCCAGGCTCCAGTCAGTCTCTCATTGCTCGCGTTTTACGGAGTGGATTTTTCTTCTTCTAACACGTCATATTTAGTCCAAGTTCAAGCGCCTTAAACGTGGCCATCGAGACGAAGATGATGGGGCCCACGAAAAGCGAGGGCTGGAAGAAATCTTCGCCGACGAAGACGAGGATGCTGGAGAGCAGCGTTCATACGGCCGACCCGGCTTCCGCTCTCAAGTAGACGAGTTCGACGACTTCATAGAGGAAGACTACCCCGAGGATGAAGATGAGCGCATACGCCAACAGGAAGATGCTGAGGTCGCCCGCCCCAGAGATCGCGGCGTTGGAGGAGTTGTTGATACGACAGGACTGGACAAAGATGCCCTGGATGACATGGAAGCTATTTTCGGCAATGGCGAAGATTACGACTGGGCGCTTCAGATGGAAGAAGAGGAAGAGGACAGAGAGCGAGAGGAGCAAGGCATTGAACTCAAAGATGTCTTTGAGCCTTCACAGCTCAAAGAAAAGCTGCTCACTGACGAAGATAATGAGATTCGATTTACCGACGAGCCCGAACGCTTCCAACTGGATCGCAAATCATTCAAAAACCTACAGTTGACAGCAGAGCAGTTCAAGGAGGAAGCTCGATGGATCACCAACCAGCTTTGGCCGAAGAAGGGCTTGGTCCAGGAACTCCAGGCCCCTTTTGGCAAAGCTGTTAGCAAAGTACTCGAGTTTTTCATTGTCGACGAAGTGGAGGTTCCATTTGTGTTTCAGCACCGGAAAGACTACCTCCTACACTCCAAGAAGATTCGCAAATCGACCAGGGACGACCCTGACGGCCCCGATTACACAATTCAGTCGGATAAGCTCTTGAACCAGGATGACTTATGGAGAATCCTTGAGCTGGATATCAAATTCCGTTCGTTTGTGGAGAAGAGAAACTCACTTGAGAAATCATTCGATAACCTCAAATCGATGGACGTCCAAGATAGCATGGTCGAAGAAATGATTCCGGAAGCAACCACGATGGAAGAGATTCAGGATCTGCAGGACTATCTGCAATTCCAATACGCCAATAAGCTAAAGGATCTGGCGACTCTGGCTGGAAACATATCGCTGACGAAGCGTCCGGGTTCAAAATCTTCCCTGCTCGACCGTGTTCGCAATGGCAAGGCCTATTATTTCGTCAAGGCCTACGGAATTACTGCAGATCAGCTAGCCAAGAATGCTCTCCGCCAGGGCAGAAAAGTTGCGCCGGATGATAATGAGCAGTACCCGATGGATCTTGCCGATACCCTTCTTGATGACAGCTTCAACACTGGTGATCAAGTCATGAACGCTGCTCGCCAGATGTATGCCGAAGAGCTCTTTGCCAGCCCCCGGATGCGCAAGTATCTCAGAGCCTCATTCTACCAGGCAGCAGAAATAAGCTGCCGCCGAACAGACAAGGGCTTGCGAAAGATTGACGATACGCATCCTTACTACGAAATCAAATACATACAGAACCAAGCAATTGCCGATCTGGTGCATCAGCCTGAAGTGTTCCTCAAGATGATGCGCGCAGAGGAGGAAGGCCTGGTGGAAATCAAGCTGGAGATGCCTTCACGCTACGACTTCCGGAGACAACTTTACCAAGAATTTGAATCAGAAAACTTCAGCGATCGGGCGGAGCAGTGGCGAGAGGAGCGCAAAAAGGTATTGGATCTCGCCTATCCTAAGCTGGAAAAGATTGTGGCCAAAAACATCAAAGAAGTCATTCGAACATTTTGCCAAGACGAAGTTCTCAAGATGTGTCGACAAGAATTCTACCGCAAGCTGGATCAAGCTCCTTACAAGCCCAAGGGGATGATCCTGGGCACCACACCCCGAGTCCTGGTGTTGTCTAACGGAGGTGGTGATCCTACCCGCGACCCTGTGTGCTGGGCTTGGGTAGAGGAAGAAGGACGTGTGCTCGAACAAGGCAAATTTGGCAATCTTGGTAGAGACGAGACTCAGCGTGAAAATTTTGTCGAGCTAGTACGGCGACGGCGCCCCGATGTCATTGGTGTTGGCGGTTGGTCGTCCGATACACAGAAACTCGTACGTGACTTGGAAGGCCTAGTGAGCGAGAAGAGCCTCATGGGAGCAGAGTTTGAAGATCCCGAGACAAATGATTACCGTACTGAGCTCCTTGAAGTCATCGTTGTGGAGGATGAAGTCGCACGCCTTTACAAGGACAGCCCCCGTGCGATAGCCGAGCATCCTTCGCTGAACTCCATCACAAGATACTGTATTGCTTTGGCGCGATATTTGCAAAACCCAATGAAAGAGTACGCTGCGTTGAACAAAGATGTGGCTTCTCTTTCATTCCACCCATGCCAGAATCTCCTCCCTCCGGACAAGCTGATGAAATATCTGGAGTCTGCCATGGTTGATACTGTCAACATGGTCGGAGTCAATATCAATGAGGCTATGACCGACCCATACACAGCCAACCTCCTCCCTTATGTTGCAGGTTTAGGGCCGCGAAAAGCCACCAGCGTCATCAAGACTATTAATGCAAACGGAGGTGTGGTAAACACAAGAGACGAGCTAGTTGGCGATCCCGATAGCGGAAAGCTTCCTGTCGTTGGACCACGCGTCTGGAACAATTGCGCCAGTTTTCTATACATTGAGTACGACGCAACCAACCCCTCATCAGATCCCCTGGACAATACTCGTGTCCACCCTGAAGATTACGAATTGGGTCGCAAGATGGCGGCAGATGCGCTTGAACTGGATGAAGAAGATGTCAAGGCCGAAACTGATGAGAATGGACCTGGTGCCATTGTGCGAAAGCTCTTTAAGCAAGACGAGCAGGAGAGAGTCAACGAACTGGTGCTTGACGAATATGCCGACCAGCTGCAGAGGAACTTTAGCCAACGCAAGCGAGCCACTCTGGAGGCCATCAGTGCGGAATTGCAAGCTCCATACGAAGAATTGCGCAGGAGCTTCGCGCTGCTTACACCTTCTGACATTTTCACCATGTTCACAGGTGAAACCAAGTCGACCCTCTGTGAAGGTATGATTGTTCCCGTTATGGTGCGCATGGTCAGAGACGACTTTGCCATCGTGAAGCTGGACTGCGGCATCGAAGGCAGGATAGAAGGCCACGAAGTATCGAACCGATCATCTGTCAAAGATGTCCTTAGCTCTGGGCAAACGGTACAAGCCAAGATTCTCGAGATGAATTATAAGGACTTCCTAGCTAAGCTCTCCATGAGAGAAGAGTCTCTGCGGATACCTTACAAGCCTCCCATCAACTTTGGCCGTGACGGCTGGGACTACGCCCTCGAGGCTGCCGATAAAGAGGAGCTCCGTGAGAAAGATAAGACCACGGGCAGGACTCAACGAGTTGTCAAGCATCCCAATTTCAAACCTTTTAACTCAATTCAGGCAGAGGAATTTCTTGGATCGCAGCCTCCTGGTGAAGTCATCATTCGACCCTCTTCAAAGGGTAATGACCATTTGGCCATTACCTGGAAGGTTGCCGACGGCGTTTACCAACACATTGATGTCTTGGAGATGCAGAAGGATACCGAATTCTCCGTCGGCAAACTTCTCCGGATAGGTGGCAAATTCACTTACAGTGATCTGGACGAGTTGATTGTGGACCATGTTAAGGCCATGGCCAGAAAAGTCGAGGAGATGATGAGACACGACAAGTACCAAAACAGATCGCGTAACGAGACTGGTAAGTTGCTCTACACCTCTTATTAGCTGACCCTTATCGGTTTCTCTTGAAAAAACATCATACTGACATTGACGCAGAGAAATGGCTTATTACATACGTGGATGCCAATCCCAACCGATCTGCGTACGCTTTCTGCATCGACACCAAGCATCCCGGATACTTTTGGCTTTGCTTTAAGGCGAGCAAGACAGCCCGTGTGATCGGCCTGCCAGTACGGACCATTCCCCAGGGTTTCGAGCTTAGGGGATACCAATACCCCGATATGCGAGCCCTATGTAACGGTTTCAAGCTGCGATTCCAGAATGAGTTTTCCAAGATGGGGGCGCGATAAGAGGCAAAGTAATGACGACCTAGAGAGGGGAACCGGAAGTCAAAAAGAGCGGAATCTAGGGTTACATATTTAATGATTCGCGTGTGTTTACAATTTAGTATTATTGTGTAGAAAGTCAGGATTCAACATAGCTCGAGAGGGGCTGAGCTCGACGAGGGGTCATTGGCAGCGAAAACATCGTTATTTTTCTCTTTTGTGTTTATTATTTGCTGACAAGATTGGGAGCTGGCTGCTGGTGGCGTCGTCGACACGAAGCTTTATGCATGAAAAACAAAATAGAATAATTGGCTATTGCTTTTTTATAGACAAACTGAGCTCATTATCGAGTGTCTATAATGTATGTGCTTGCGTACCTACCTGATGTATAATAAAGGCTGCTTGTGCAAGTTGATCAGTGTTTCTTAACGCCAATGAACTTGAGTATTTGGGAGTGAAATAACACAACACTACTTTCCCCGCTGCTGAATACCGACCAGTATTAGGCTTCTCAATAAAAAGAAGGAAGCATACACCTTCCAGTGTAAGGATACTTACAATAGAAAGTAAAAAAAAGAAAGTTGAGCGACACCTGCAGGATTCGAACCTGCGCGTGCGAACACAATGCCTATAATATCAGATTGATAGCAGGGCATCGCCTTAACCACTCGGCCAAAGTGTCTTCTGATTGGCTGCTCGTTATTACTCATTATAGCCTGCTGATAGACGACCCCACGTCGACTTTAGTTTGCAATGACTCTTTGAGGATATAAGTACAGCTAGTGTCCAAGATCGATAAGAGATGATAAGACACTTTGGCCGAGTGGTTAAGGCGATGCCCTGCTATCAATCTGATATTATAGGCATTGTGTTCGCACGCGCAGGTTCGAATCCTGCAGGTGTCGCTCAACTTTCTTTTTTGTCTTAGAGATAATTTCTTTTTGCTCCATTTGCATTTAATTGATTCTCGTCTACTTTGAACCTACGCCTATGCTGCTATTGATGCTAATATTTGTTATCGTAAAGTACGTTCTTTGCGAACTACAGCGACTTATACGTACACGGATACATCACAAATCTTATGCTGCTTATAATTCGACATACCATCGGCTTGTGGCCTTTACAGCTGACGTCTGGGTAAAGTATGGTGAGTAAAGTAATAGTAGTGCGGACATATAGTAGCATTATATGTTTTTTAAAAGTATAAATAGAAGAGTAATAATTTACTAAATCAAGTTTGCCGTACCAGTTCCTCCCATAGTCAGCAGATGCGCCAATTGTCTTCACCCATCAAGTCTTCGAACTCGTGTCTGGCCCATTCTTGCTCGGTAATCTAGCTGAATCCAGTTTAACATGGCTTGTGGAGAACAAGGGGCAGAGCTGGATGAGGGGCAAGTGTCAGCGAGTGACTACGCAGAATACGACGTACAAGGCCAACCGTGGTGTTTGTCGCCTATAGATTCATCAAATAATTGCTTCCTTGAAGTCTGAGTAGCTACCTTATAGTCATGGACAGTTGTGGTGAAGTAACTAGGTATTAAAGAAGTTTGAGAGGAGTACAATCTTAAAATACATTGCTATCATAGTCAAGGCGATCGCTATATGGCCAAAAGCCAAGCCACCTGTATCGGTATTGTATCGCAGATACAGGGATGGGAAATCCCTGTCATAATCTTCAACTCTTGAAATCTGTGCGCACTAGAGCAGTAACTAACTCTAGTTGATCACACGACTAATTTCCATTTCATCCTTTGTAAAGATTAGCGGTCAATCAGCCAAACAACAAACACTTTACATGTACTTACATCAATGTCTCCAGGCTGTATCAGCGCCTTCACTCCGGTACTCTGCAATCTGGCATGATTCCTGACAAACTCGCGATACTCAGGCGCGCCTGGCCTCACAACATTATCGGCCGTGATAACAGCACCCTTTTTGAGGAGCCCAAGTTCTTCACAGGCCTTGAAATCAGGGGTATACAGGGACTCGACATGATCAAGGAATAAAAAGTCAATGTTCGACAAGGTGCCATCCTTGTGCAGCTTCCGAATCGATTCCTCTGCAGGGCCGGTAACGACCGTCACGATATCCGAAAGCCCTGCAAGCTCAATCAGCTGCCTGGCAATGGCGGAAAACTCGGCCTTCATCTCCAGGCTGAAAACGCGGGGCTTTGCGTCTGGTTTGCTGTAACGTCGCATGGTGTCTGCGAAATGAATGGCAGAGTATCCAACATAGCCGCCTAGCTCGACGAGCGTCTGCGGCTTCTCCTCGTTAAGCAGGTCGTATAAAATTTTGGCCTTGTTGTCGCCAATGTTGATGAGGAAGTCGTGTTTGCCGGAGAATTCATCCATGGCTGCGAGAATCTTGGACGGAGATCCTCTGATGGTCTCTAGGTCGGGATGGGAAAGGATGAAAGAGAGCAGCTTCTCTTCGCGGCCGTCGTCGGTCTGATGAAGAGAACAATTAGAAGTGAATCCATGTTTTAGCTTTCCTCTAAACTTGAGATAATTACCGCGATGCCTGACTCGACGACCTTTTTCAGCGAAGGATATTTTGCAACCATGGCAGCAACTTGTTCTGGAGAGGGATCCATTTTAAAAAGCTGTGTCTTGGAAGAGTTTGGAGTTTAAGAGCGCGGGCGATTCTGTGAGAAGAGTATACGTAAGTAAGCGTGTAAGTGAAAGTGTAAGTGAAAGTGTAAGTGAAAGTGTAAGTGAGCGTGTAAACCAGCGTCGTATGTCTGCCCCTCGGGGATCCTGAAGCATGGTATCGGTATAGCTTACCAGGGTAAGTAAAATTTGAGAAGCTGTGTCTGTACGTGTTAGGATAATGATGTGAGTGCCACAACTGAAGAGTAGAAGCATCTTCCCTTTAAATACTGCTGAAGGAATGCTCCACGTGCAGCAAACATTGACATTTGCGGGGCGAGTGGTTGTCCGAAGGATTACACTGTTAACTTGCACCGCCGCCTAGAAAGGTTATTAGTGGTAGGCCACGTAATATAGCGAATAACCCGAATAAAGCGAACGGATGATATCTGTTTTTCCATCACAGCTACAGAAGCGATGTTCAATTCCTACGGATTTACTGCACGAGAATCCGTAGTGGTGAGGTGGGCGAACTTTGACAAGCCCTTTTGGGTCGTTTTCAAGATTATGGGCCTACGCTGTTAATTCACTTTTTTTAACACTATACTACCTGTTAAAGTAATAATATAGCAATTAACAGGACCACAATCTTTTATTCCCTGTTTAGTTAATTATCAGAACTATTTGTAAACATATGTTGTACGCGGAGCAGCACCCCTCTATGAAAACGAGTTGATTGAGGCTAAGAGATGATCCAGGATGCTTTCAGATGCTTGCACTAGAGCTGGATATTTTTTGAGGATTCCTATGTACTATATACATAATATATATCGCCCCAATGAGCTTGCTAGCTATGGTTAGCTTACTATTGATAGTCTCGGCTGCGATAAGTTGTTGTTAGTGGATTGAAGTCGCCTCGGTCCTTATCGCAGCTGCTCGCCTCTCAGGCTAATAGAAATGACTTTTAATAAGACGACATTCGTGGTGCACGATCTGATTGTTGGAACAAAGGAGGATATTGACTTTGTATCGCTGTGACATCTTGTCTTGTCTTCTCTTCTCTGTTTTAGATATAACCTTGATATCGCCGACAAGATCGAGAACACCGAAAAGCCGACAACACCGACAAAACCGACAGCATCAACCACCACCAGATGCTCAGCTACGGTGTTTAAGATTGCTACGCGTTACAACAAGAGCTTTCTCGGTCTTTCTTTTCTTCATCTCATTGACCGCCTGGATTCAATTTGGCTTGGTATATAAGACATTAGTCTGGGAGCTTCTTAAACATTCCGCTTCAGCCTTGCAATGATAGCTTCTATAGCTATGTTTGGATACTTTTATATCCTACTATCCTATTGAAGGATCCTTTGGTTGCTGTCCTTTAGATTGAAGTCATGAAAGTTGACAATCGATTCGTGATGATATCAAGGCGGTCGCCCAAGCTGAATTCACAAATTGGAATACACACTTCTCCTAAGCTATCTCTTCTCGGCGATCGAACGAGGGAATGCTGTCAGATATGCGTCCCTTTTTGGAGTAATATTGGGCCATCATCGCAAAGCCAATGCTACTAGACCGGTAGGAACAAAAGCTATAGCCCAGAAGAGGCTCGATGAGCTCATCCGTATCTACGGCCCTGTGGAGCATGCTGGTATTTGAAGTGCAGGGGCAATTCAAGGTTCGACATTGTCGACTACATACTCGGGAATGGCTAATGACGATGGCAAGCTTGTCTTGAGTGAGGTTGAGCGATCCCAAGGGGCGTGTCTCACGTCAGTCGCTGGAGCCTTGGCCGAGACACTTACTGGACCCCTATTTTGCAGCTCCAGTCATGTGCCAGGTCTGAGTCGTTTGATGCGCAGTTCTAGAGGCCCGTTTCGCTCGATATGCCTCCTAGCGTGACGAATACTACCAAGTATATGTAGTATAGCAATTGGCTAGGACAGCTCGGAGATGCTGCCTATTGCCTACGATATTAGATAAGATTCACCGCGTATTGCCTCATTCCCAGCGACATCGGCAGCTGCATCTCAGCCAACTCGCCAATATTCTCCATGTTGCTGTTCCACATCCGTGACGATGACTCCAAATCTAGCACCAAGGTGAGAAACTGGTGCCATCTTTCGCAATGCAGCGGCGGGCCTTGTGTGCGGGTTAGTTACCAGTAGTACATGTCGTAGACTTCACCTCAACGCAGCTACTACTAGTAGTGACTTGGCCACCGCCTGTCTCGACCGTCCGGACACGGAAGCGCGGCTGAGACTTTTCGCCACGGACGCTCCACCACCGGCGCTCCGTGCAAAGACGACGAGCTCAGCAAGGCTCAGCAAGGCTCAGCAAAGGTGCCGCCGAGAGCCTCTTTTCCTGCGGGAGGCCCAGACCGTTGGGGCCCGAATCACCGATCACCAGGCGCCAAGCAAAAGAGTCAGCCCTTGGCCGGCCTGGCAAACGCTGCTGTGCTCCGTAGCCAACATCAACGCTGTGCTCCGGAATACGGCGCTGCTCCCCCCATAATTCTTGTCTGCTGCTCTGCGCTAGCACGGAGCATTTGTGGCTCGCTGCATGTACACCGTACCCCGCCGCGCGGTGGATGCGCTGCCGGCTGCGGCGTACCCAGGTACCGAGCACAAACATGAGCGATGTCCACTCCAGAGCGTCACTAAAGTCTGGGGTAAACGGGGCTAAGCAGAGGGTCCAGCGGCCGCAAGCAGGGCAGTTGAGCACTGGGGAGGAAACTCAATTGGGCAGCAGCGCGTGAATTGGAATTGAATTGATATCGAAAACAGGAATGAGCACACAAACGCAGCAAGAAGCAATTGAGTACATGTACAGAGAGAAAAAAAGGAGCTGCTGCTGCTGCACACTGTGCCAAAAAACCCACCGGCCCAAACTGATGACTCTGATCTCGGATGGGGCCAGTTGTAGCGTCTGTTGCGTCAGGTCACGCGATATATGATGCTATTGAGCCACCACTCGATGTTCTGGGCAAGAACGCACGCGGCAACGGCGACGCACGGAGTACATGCAATTGAATGCTGCAGCGGCAGAACAGCGTCAAACTACGGGTACTGCTACTTCGCACTACTGGCTCTGCTCCAATTCATCCCAAGCTGCATGCATGGATGCACCCCCTTGCCCCTCAAACGAAGCAGGCAACGGGTCAAGACCTACGTTATTCACTGCCCCCAAGCTTGGGCGCGGCCCTGATTGAGTGCTGCTGCTGCTGCTGCTTTGCTGCCATGGCAATTGACCCAATTCACACTGATTGACTGCTGCTCTTTCACCGTTGCATTTCTGCCTGCCTCCGCCATTGGCCATTGGCCATTGGCCCGCCGCTCCTCCTTGCTGCCCGTCCATTGGCGCCACCCCCCAACGTCTCGCGTGACACCCTGTGATATAACTGTTGACTGCTACAAAAGCCCAAGCTGCCCAGCTCCCGACTTCCTTTCCATCTTGTTCTTCACCTTGAACAACTTCATCTCTTCATCTTTCTATCTCTCACCTCCATCTCACCTCCATCTCACACACAAATCTCCAATCCAACTCAATCCAACAACACCAGCATCTTCGATCCAAGTCAGCTCGCCAGGTTCCATCCAATCTACTTCCTCAGAACCAGCCACCGCCGCGTATACACACACACATACGTTAGCAGAGGGAATAAAAAGGGCCTCCCACCACCCAGCAAAAGCCACTGGCACCCTGTTCCGGCAAACGCCTCCTCACCTTACTCCAACTTTGTCTCCCTTCCTACCAACCAGCGGCCAATTCATCGCGAAAAGCCTCCCCCCGCAACTGCTTCCGTCTTACCCCTTCTGCGCCTAGCCCTCGTCTTGTCGCCTCCCACCAATCCATCCATCAAAAGTAAGTTTGCCCAGCTGCAGCTGCGCACCCCCGCATCTGTATCACGTATTCTTCGGTGTTGCAGTCGACAGTCTTCCTCCTTTCATCATCCTCCTGTTTTGCCCCTTCTCATATCCTCACGTATTGTATACAATTGCACTGCACACTGCACACACGATAAGAGAGGTCCATCACCTGTTGTCTCTTTCCTTTCATCCTGCCATCAAAGATCTGATAGTTGCCATAACATCATCCAAAGAGTCAGCCTATAGCCCATTCCATACCCCAGTGATGCCCTTGATATTACCCATTTTTGCCGGAAGGATGAATAAGACAACTAACATGACGCCCTGTAACAGTGACTCGCTCTCACAAGTACGGCGAACGTGACCACAAGGGTCTCGCTGATGGCAGCGTCTCTCCGACAGAACAACTGCCTCGCTTCTTTGCCAAGAGCGGCTACGTTGACGTTGATCCCAAGAAGGTGAAGAAGGACGGCAACGGCAAAGGCAACTGGTACGTCTTGTTTCTTTCCATCATCATACGTTTTTACAATGTCTCACTCTTGACTTACACAACATCTTCCAACAGGGGAAGCGTGGGCGAGGAAGTTATTGATCAAAACTTCCGCTTCACCAACGCTCGTCGCCGCTCCAACAGCTTTTCCCACCACAACCTCTCCGACTTCAAGACCAAGTTTGAAGTGAATGAGATGGACCCTCTCTACGACGAGTCTCTCCACGGACCCATTGATGAGGAGAATGGAGATGACCTCTCCAAGACCGACTCCACAGAGAGCGTCCACTCCGTCTAAGCGAGAACATGTCTCGCCCGCCCAGAGAGTGATGATATGCATATCCTACCCTGGAAGCGTCTAATGTCCCTGCATTTTTACCATGGAAATGATGATGATTTATATTTACTTTTAGCTCTGGGACCATTTATTTCTTCTTTTTTTTTTTTTTATCATTTCCTTCTTCTCAAAAGGAACGGAGCAGGGGATTTGATATCCATGGAAACCGGACATGGCAACGCTCATCTGAGGCCACAACTTATGATGCATCCCCGCCGTCACATTTGTTTTCAAGCGACGGGACAAAGTGTATTACTGTGTAATATTTAGTTTTTCAACGTTTCTGTCTTTTTCATCGCGAAACCATAGGGAGGCTCCGGCTCTACTATAGAACCAATACAAGCCCGTGTAACATTTTAAAACGAATACTCGCGTCTCTCTTGTGATGACTGTTTGCTAGGTATGCATCATTTGGAAACACTACAACGAGCCAGTCAAAAAATGGTGGCATGTTTCCCCAAGCCCTCCGGCGCCAACAGTTTCAGGGCAATACGCTATGAGATAATCTCCCTCCCCCCTCCCCCCTCCCCTCGAGCCATGATCAGAACGAGACAAGTTCTCAGACCCCCAGAAACTCACCGTGTCGGTGGCCGCCGATACGACCGCGCAACCCCGCTCGGGCTAAATCCCACTTGCAAAATAGCCCCAGGAGAGACGCTGCAGATCGATAAATGAATGGGGGAGGTATCGGCAGTCGCAACCATGCTAGCAGCGCCTACAGCGCTCCGCACCGATTGCACCGTGGATTGGATGTGCGCAGAGCAGCGCTCGGCAACTCGCAATGACAGCACTCTTGACGGTTGCAGCACTTGTGCTTGGTGTTTAACAAAATAGTAATATGCATGTATATCAATGGATGACAGCGAGGGCTAATTGGATGGATAAGGAAGCTGGCCGGGACGAGTTGGAGTAGTGGGATGCGGATGGAGAATGGAGAATGGGGGCCAATGCAGCCGATGTCATGGCTTTTGAGGGCCGATTCCAGGTTGCCCTTTTTTCAGTTTCCCAGTCTCCAGCAGCATACCCAGGGAGCTCGCTTCACATAGGTATTATAGCCATGTACATGTTGATAAATTCAAGTTCCTTCCCCCAAGTCTTTCACTGTCCATCATATTGCTGCCAAACAAACCGCTCCATCCCCATTTACCAACTACTAAAGGTCTCGTCTCTCCCTGTTTTCTACTCCGCAGGCCCCGGAAACCCACACACATCCACTTCCACCGCCCACATGGTCCGTGCACTGAGCAGAAGGGAAATACTAGTACATAAAGACTTGCAGCAATTCTTTAGGTAAGCAACTAGACTAAAAGAACACTCTCAGCCTTGCGTTACAGAAAACACGTGCCCGTAGTCCCAAAGCTGGTCGCGAAATCTCCAGACCTGTCCATTTTCCTCCCAAGTCATCAATCTCCATTTGCAAATCGAATGGCCTCTTCTGTTTTATATCAATCGATTGATATCTGCTTTAATAATTGACGGCACGAGAGAATTTTACATCCATCCGCTTCTTGAGATCTGTTACCATCTGGCGTCGCGCCGGCCCTTATACAAACAAAATCTCGAAAAAGAGAAAATAGATGCTATCGCGAAATTCCTCAGCCTTGCCATCATCCACAACAACCATTGCCAACAACCCAACCAATTCAGCCAAAACAACACATCAGACCTCCCTAAAAGTCACAAAAATCTAAAGAATACATCAAACAATAAACAAATAAGCAACAATGGCCGTCCCAGCCTATCACGAATCCCTCCCCTGTACGTCCTCCAAACAAAAAACCTTCAATCAAACAGAAAAGCTAACCTCCTCCCCCACAGACATCGACTCCGAACCAACCCCCCAAGCCCTCTCCGCTGCGCGTGCCCTCATCTCCGCTGAACAACAAACCTTCTCCCCACCTCCCCCTTCAAAAGACCAAGACCAAGACCGCGAACCCTCCTTCTCTCCCGCCATCACCGCCGAATTCACCCGCCTCGCCTCCAAACAACCCTCCCAAGTCCTCGACCTCTCCCGCTACGAAGCCCAGGAAATCCCCACTCAATCATCATCAAAAGATATCGACGCGCTAAGAAACCCCCTATCAAACGCCTTCGTCTCCTCCTCCTACCTATCCTCCCGCGCCCAGAACCTCAAGCTCCTCGACGCCCACGGCCGCAACGCCTGGCTCCTCGCAAACTACCATCTCGAGGACCAGCTACGCAGCCTCGAGCGCGACCTGGCCGACACCAAACGCGACATTGATCTCGTCAATGCCGCGCGCGCGGCTCGCCAAAACGACGTCAAAGCTGAGATGCAGGGACTGGAGCAGAACTGGCGCGCCGGCGTGGGCAGGGTTCTCGAGACGGAAATCGCCGTCCAGGAGCTCAAGGAACAGATTCGACAGGAGCTGAGAAACAACGCTAATGCTGCTGGAAATCCTACACAATAAGAGGGGAAATAAACATTCACCATTATTTTGTTCTATTTTTTCTCTTTTCTTTTTGTCTGTTCTATCTTTTTTCCAACTATTGCATTCTTTCTACTTCTTCAAATATTGTGGAGAAAGATCAAAACATAATTACAGGGCATATATGGGACTACAATAAACACAGGAGCACTGCTGGCGTATACATCACCTTGACTAGTTATAAGCATAAAAATAAATAATACATTGACATCTTCGTATGAATTACACTATATTCCTTTCCTGTAACAAATAATGAAAGTAAGAGCGAGAGAGGAAAAAGGGAATCACAGCAGTATTAGAATGAGTGTTTCACCCCCAGTCAGCCCTTAGGAGATAATAGTCGCATTGATAACGGTATCAAACAAGGCGTCTGTTCAAATAGACATATTTCCTCTCAAAGGGATAAGAAAAAGTGAGGGTGGAGGTAATAGGACAATAAAGAAAAATAAAAGCAAAAGTAGTATCCCGAAACGCCGGTAAGCCGCGCCCATTACAATGGGTTTCCGATAAAGCGAGCAGTCGTTTGCACGATTTCGCAATCGGCCATGTTAAGAAAAAATCAAAATGCAACCGTTTTACCAATGCCTCAATCCGCTCCTGTCACTCCCTTAGAACCGATCTGTGGAGCCTATCTATGCTCAATACCTTTTTTGTTTCGTGTCCAGAATGATATCCTGCGTCTTGAACAGCTAGCGTCATCACCACCACTTCAACTTATGCCCATTGCATAAATCATACCCCTTGAATCGATACAAACATACACATCAAGATGCTGCTCGCTCTTCTGTCGGCAGTTACTGAGTGTGCAGGGGATCCATCTCTTCAACGCCAGTCTTGACGCCTAAATATCTTGTCCTTCGCAGGAGGCCTTCGACAGGGCCCAGTAGTCGTTGGAATGCATTCTTTCCTAGCGTTGCTACCTTGACGTCCGACGTAGCAATGACACTAGCGGCTCGAGGGGCATCGTTAAGCAGCGCCAGCTCACCAAAGAAATCACCCTTCTTGTAGCTCAGGACCTGTTCCTCTCCCTTGAATGCGGCTGCCTCTCCGCTCTCAAGCAGATAGAAAGAGTGGCCAGGGTCGCCTTCGTGGATGATGACGTCTCCTGGTGCAAACTTTTGCGTCTCGAGGGCATCTGAGATCTTGGAACGCTCATAGGGAGTGAGCGAGGAAAGGATGGGTACTTCTTCCAAGAAGTTTTCGTACATCCGTCTGCGAGCAAATGTCGACTCCATGAGGATACGACGGAATGTCACTCGGTCCAAGGCCCATAGCGTGCAGCTTCCTTCAGCTGAGATGATGGTAGCCGCGCGGGGAGCGTTGTACATGAGAGCAAGTTCGCCAAATGAGCCGCCAGCTTGGATGGTGCCGACTTTGTTGCCCAGTCCGTCAGGGCCAGGTTCAATAAAACCACAGTCGTTGACGTAGACATCAAATGAGCCCCGCTCAACAACGTAGAAGTAGTCACCAGCATCTCCCTGGCTAATCACCTATTTGTCACGCTGTTAGTGGATCGTTCACTAAGAAGTAATTATTCTTTTAGAGGCTCTTCTCCTTCTCTTCTTACCTTGATGCCTCTGGCAGGGATAGGCTTCTCTACAAGAGCTCCCAGAATCTGTGAGCTTTGTTCATCGTCCAAATGGCTGAAGAGGAAGTTTCCCTCAATGGCATATTTGAGTCGCTCAACCTGTTCCGGATTCTTCTCGGTGAACGGAGGTGACCAGTTGTCGTAGCTATCGGCGCTTGGCTTCAGGGATTCCGCTGAAACGGATGTCCGACGTGAAAAGTTATACTGGGCCGGGTAGCTATCGGTGGTAGGGGGGGCTCTCAAAGTAGGTGGAGCCTCGGTAGATGCGTCGCCCCCAAAAGCTCCTGAAAACAGGGAGCCACCGGGAGCCAAGTGGTTATCGCTCTCGTCCTCCTCAACGACGCGATGCATCACGCTGGATGACATTGGTGATGCGCTGCCGCCAAAAGGATTGGGGTTTGATGAGCTGCCGCCAAAGGGGTTGGCATTGGCCCCAAAGGGGCTCGAGAATTGACTAGACATCATGCCAAAGTGAGGGTTGGTGGGCGATGGAGGGAATCTCGGCGACGGAGTGCCTCGGTCGCGGAAGAGGGAAAAGCTCGCTGCTCGTTCGGTCGCTAGTCGCGAGTTGAAAAAGTCGGCGCAGAACTGCAAGATATCGGAAGGACAGGTTTGCAGAACCTGCTTGTTGAGAGCTTGAATCTCAAGTTGGTAAGCTTCTGGGAGAGACATGTCTGCAAAGGGTTTGTGTGATGGCTAGTATTAAACAGATATGACGTAAAACTCGCAGAAAAGAAGCAACTCGAAGAAGGAGCGTAATGAAGAAGGTAAAGACCGGAGTGAGTTGGACCTACAGCTTGCGCGGGAGCGGGTCTGGGATGTAGAGCCGTTTTGTATCCGCGAAAGCTGCGCGACGATAATTAGCAGCACGCTACCAGGCGGCCGGGGTTCAGAACCGGGTGGCCCGCCATCGCAGAAGAGAGGACGGGAAATTCAAACAGAGGGGCCCAGTCGACCAGGGCCGCAGGTCGTGGCCATTTGCACGCCCCCCAGGCCTGACGGCGTCGAACCGGGGAGGCCGAGATGCGAACGACTAGAGGCAGCGCAAGGACAAGGGCTCTGCTAGCACCCGATCGGGCGGCATGACCAGAGGTTGGGCAGGCATGAGAGAAATAAGAGCAAAACGACAAGAAGGAAGCCAGACTGCTGAGACGGGGGTGTGCAGCCAGGCCAGCGGCAAACGAGACACAGACGGAGACAAAAAGTGACAGCGGCAGCGCCAGCCGGCAGCGTTTCTGCTCTGTGGGAAGCTATTCTCGAAGCACAGAAGGGTGGCGGCCAAAAAGAAACGTCACCAGCACGCTACCACTGCAGCCGAGGACGGGGGTTATCCCAAGCAGCGGTCATCGAAACAAAGATGCCGTGGGCTGGAAAGGAGGGCGCACGGGAAGGCAAACACGATGAAACTCGTTGAAACTTACCAGCAGCAACAGCAGCGAGATCGAATGTCGTTCTCTTTCGGTCGCAAGTAGTGGCGGCGCGGGGCGCAAGTGGTTCAGAGGTCAGGCGAGTAGGGACAAGGCTGCGGCAGCAGGACGAGATTAGATGAGGAGATGAAGAGAAGAGCGGCGAAGGGGACGAGGGCACTGAACGGGCAGAGGAGGGGTCGTGCGACGAGCCCAGAGCGTTTGCCTTGGATCGACAAGGACGGGATGCTGGGTTAACGAAAGGAGAAGAGGGGCCGAGCCTAGAAGGGCAGCGGAAGACGGCGTGGGGAAGAAGGCAGGATAGATAGATGGCGACTCAAAAAAGAGGTTTGTGGGCCGGGCCCGGATCAATGATGCGCGCGGTGGCTGGCGATGCTGGTCGGCGGATGGATGCAGTCGATTGAGGATGCGGGAAGTGGTGATGAAAGGGCAACGACAGGATGGGAAGAGGCTTTTTGCGTTGATTGGAAGCTCTGGAGCTTTGGTCCTAAGGCACGAAAACCGGGCGAAGAGCCTTGCCTTGGGCAATCGGCAGGTGCTGGAGTGGGTAAGCAACAGTGACTGGGCAGAAACAGCACGCAGCGCAGATCGAAACAGCAGCAGCACACAAGCAGCAGCGGCGGCGGCGGGAGGGCTGGCAAAAGAACCTTGGCTTGGACAGCACAAAACGCAGTGGCCACCGTCCAGAAGCTCCTCAGCCCAGAGGCAAACTAGCAGCAATAGCACCACAGCAGCTTTGCTAGCGGGCGGGAGCACGACCCAAGCTTTCTGTAGAGCAGCACGTCGAAATGAGCAGCAAAGGCAGCGAATGCAGCGAGTGGGGTTGGAAGGCAGCCAGAAGGGAGGGCGGCCTGTGGTTGGCGTGGCCGCGAGAGCCAGCAGAGGCAAGGGCCCTGCGGAAGCTTTCTAGAAGCGTCGCACGGGCCACCAGAGGGCCCCAGCCCCCTCATCTCCACCCCTTCCACGCTTCGCCGTGGCGGTTCCGTCAGGGCTTCTTTGGCTTCTGTGCAGCTGCTGTGCCTTTAGGTGCTTCTGCAGAAGGGCTGTTCTAGCGGTTCGTTCGCCACCTGTACTGTAGCGGTCGGCATGCCTAGCAGGTGCTTGACTGGTACTGCTGCAGGTACAGATGCTGTACATTGTGCGTGCAGAGCAGCAGACCGCTAGCACCGACTCCATCGAACAATGGAAGGAACACACATGAACTTCACATCAGCCCCTTTTTCTGCCGTGTGTCACCCGCGTGCATGAATCAAACACAACCGCCAAAACAACGAATTCCATCCCAAATTCTGTTAAATCTCCCCCATCCACACACACACCATCGCTGAACATAAGGTGACTTTTTTTTTTCTTTCTCTTTTTTCCCAATTCCACACCCATTCCAGACCCCCAATCTCCAAAGGGTCTTACCAGACTTACTCAAGCACCCTTGTCCAGACGGTAACATGACTAGCAAGCACCGTAGTACCCCGTACTTGCATGGGCTCTCATCTCGTGGCAGTGGTGCTATTGCTTCTTCTAATTTCGGATCCTTATACGCGCCTGGGCCGTTTGGTGGACAGATGGTCTAGGATGCAGAGCTTCTGGGAGCCGGAAAGGGACCAGGCTGGGCCTCTTTTTTTCTTTTTTCAGCAAAGTCTAGAGAAATAATACTTGAGGTGACGGTGACTAGCGGTGATAATCCCTCAGCAGCGTGCACGCGTCTGACCAAGATAAGCACTTAATCTTTTGCTATACGCAGAACTTGGGCGTGCATCAGCATCCTCAAGCTACTCCTTGTTGTAGCAAAGCACGTGTAGACAGGCCCTGATTCTCACCCCAAAGCACCTACCTACGCAATTGCCAATACAGGAGACGAAAGCCCCGAGTTTCGTACCGTATTCACGCCGTTGGCACGGAGTACGCCGTACCGTGCAGCGCGGGCTAAGATGAATGCCTTGTAAGTGGCGCACTAGAGGGCCAGCTGTGGTGGTTGTTCCTTTCGGAGATGACCTGAAGTGATCAAATATTAAAAGAGGAAGCCAGCCAAACAATCAATCATGCCATGACTCTTGCGAATTGTTTTATTGCTGCTTGCTGCTGTTGCATACCTTGTAAGGTAGCATTCACGAGAAGCTGTTGGTTCCCATGATTTGTTTCCCCTGGCCACCATCCCGCCTTATTTTGGCTGTTTCCGGATCCAGCTGGCGACCCTGCATGCATGCGCTGAGTATCCAAGTACCGCCATCTGCCGGCCGTTTTGTGACGTCGTGGCTACTCGGTGGCGACATTATTGCAAGTGGCCATCAAGCCAGAGTCAGGAGTAATTCAGGTTTACAAACCTGGACAGGTACTTGCCAGTGCTGCAGAATTGTCTTGATCTGGTAGTCCAATAGTATCTCAGAGGTAGCGTGCTGTCCCAAGGCGAGGCCGGAATCGACTCAATTATCAGGGGCTCCATACGGTGCTTACTGCGCGTGCACATCAGAGTCTTGGATGCCGTTGGCTCATCGTTTTTCTTCTCTAATTTTTCTTTTGGTGTTACTACTATCTGCTATTTTGGTATTTATCAATGATATTATCTCAGGTCAGACGCTTGCTCCGGCAGCCAATAAGACGTGCTGCTGGAGTATACGTGCAATCAAGCCCTCCTGCTCCTTGCGGTGCATCCATCCACCTGTATGTACATACCGTTCGACCTCATCTGCCTCATGGTGCTTTGCTTTTGCCCCTTCAACTAGGGTATCGTCCTATACAAATACAATTCATAGAAGCCCAAGAAGTGAAACCATTAAGACCTCCCTGCCCCTTCAAACAAATGAAATCAAAAATTATCAACGCTGTAGTGAATATCATCGCGGCCCGGCAACGCCGTTTGATATCCTATCCATATCAAACACAGTATTGCACAACACCAAAAAAAAACGGAGGAAAAAAAGAGGATGGACAAGAAAAGAAAACGAAAAACAAAAGGCAAATATATCCAGGGTTGGTCAGAGCCATACGTGTATAGCAGCAGCCAATTGATGCTAGGCGCCCAAGGCTGAACCCTTGCTGACACAACAGCGATCCATCCACTCTATCCGATGTGGGTGCCCTGTCAAAATCCCGGCTTTCCCATAATGATAGGTGCCCTGTCAGCCACTTAATCTATCCAAAGCAAGCTTACCCTGAAACCCTTCCCTCTATAGCGCTTTGGGTGGAATATTCTACTCGGCATAGCCGTCAATGTTGATTGTTCGTTTGTTTGTTCCAGAACGGCAGCTAGTGAGCGGGAACGTTGTGACACCCCCTCATGATCCGACGGCGAGACAGGAATCCAAGGCACTGTCTATCATATCCATGTCTATTTTTTCGGCTCCCTCCCACCATACTTCATTGTCGATATCCATTGCGTCTGGCAGAGTGCCATTGGTGAGTTCTGCGTTGCCATTTGCCAGAATCTCCTCAACTTGCGCCGCGGGGGCTTCGCCATCAGCCCAGGTATAGTCGTTCCAGTTTTCGAGCTCGCCTTCCCGGTAACCGTACAAGATCTGTGCCGAAATAATAGGGAATTGGGATATTCCAGAGTCTGCCATCTCCAAGGCGATTCGCATATCCGCTATGCCTAGCGGGCCTCTTTCGCTGGCTACCTTGGACTCGATGGGCAGCAAGCCTGACTTATCTCGGCTTATCTCTCCCCTCTGAGCCGCGTCTTCTTCGCGGTGAAGTTGCCGCCTGTATTTATGTGTTTGAACCCATGTGGTACCTATTCCATAGCCTGCGCTGCCCGATTCGCCCGGGCCATTGCTTTGAGTGCGACTAAAGATCTGCGTCAAGATCTCCTTGATGAATGTCTCTGTAGCAACAGACATAAGAGTCGACGCCTCTGAAACATGCCCATTGACAAGGCCAGCCTCGTAACAAAAAGGCAGCATTCTTCCAGCTATCAGGCTCATATCAGGAAATTCGCCGGACTCGACAGCAAGTGGCTGTGTATATCGCTTTCGAATCTCTAGGTCAAAGTCTAGAACGGGGGTTAGATATAACATCCAAGCGTGAATAAGAGAAACCTTGAGGCAAGCCACTAACTCATGTTGTTGATGCCGCCGGCCGCACTTGGTGGAACATCGGCAGTCACAGGCGGTTTTCGGTGCGTCTCCGTAAACATATTTGCCAAGCTCTCGAGGGGGTCATACTATAGTAGAGGCAATTGGTCAATACTTGGGAAATGCACCTGAAGAGAAAATAGCAGCGAACCTCGTTTTGTGTAAGTTCCTTAATGCGTCGTCGATCCCGTGCGGGTAGTTGCATCACCTCTCCCTTTAACCTCCGCTCCGCTGCGTCACCCGACACAGGTTTACTGCCCGTAGTCGTCGTAGGTTTGTCATTGGCACTAACCCATGGCGCAAGGCCAATATCGGGCATCTCCCGAGTGACATTGCCATAGATCGCAGCGATAAGTTGGTTGTGCAGGTGGTCTTTCTCTCCTGTTGGTGATGCTAATATTGGATCGATTCGGCTGGAGTATTCGGACTGGTTGAGTCGCCCTGCTCGATTGAATGATAAGCATAAAGCAATATAGTTGGATTTATATACATATAAAATACATCACAAAATGTCAAAATCAAAATGCATTCGTGGGTCGCAAAGGAAAATGGAATGAGAAAATCTGGGAAAACCTTATCCGTACCAGTTAGAAACTCAGTTGTGGATTCTTTATATATGAGCCATTGCTCAGAGCTGATGGCGGCTTTCAGGGCCGTATACAGCGGCTCAAGATCAATTCGAGATGGTATTATCTGGCTAGTCTTGACAGCCTTCGTAGAGCCCGGTGCGCTCACTGTGAGCGTCTTTGTCGATAGAACAGGCGTCGAAACGCTGACAGACGGGCGGCTCAAGGCCGCGGGGTCAATGTCGGGCATCGTGGATCGCGGAAAGTCAACTACAGTTGTCGCGTGCAGCGATGGAGCGGCGCGCGACGCGAGGGAACAATCATGGGTCGATAAATGGGCTCAGGGATGCTATGCGATCGCTGCCGTGGAATTATCTTGATGAAAACCGCATTGTGAGGCCGCAAATTCGATGGCAAACTGCTGCGTCCTTGTTCCGTTGGCGTGGTGGGAAAGGGTTAATGGTTAGGTGAAGTCTTAACTTTTGCCGATAGAGTGACGGATTCAGAGGGATGCGCTACCGTAGGGCGGCTGAAGGAGTACTGGGTACCCGCTGACTACACCCAAGCACACCGGAGCAGAAGGTTGCAGATACCTCCCCGCCGGAAAATCCACTGTTACATCCCACTCCAAAGCCATCGCGTCCCCTGCGCGTCTTCAGCAGCTTTTCTTGCGGCCTGAGACTTTGCATAAAGAAACAGTTACAGGTATTTCTTTGTCGCTAGGGCAGCTCTCTGCTGATATCTTCTTTTTCTCCTCTCCATCTTTAGCTGCTTCATCCGAATTACTGCTGGTCACAACAATGCAGCCATGGCACCAGATCGCGTCGCCAATGCCCTTGACAACCTGATAACCCAAATCGTCCCCGCCAGAGGCCCAAACGAAGGCCAAGACTCCTGGCAAGCCCGGTATAACTTGAGCCATGAGCTTGTCAGAGCCATAATAAACAGGTAAATATGGCTTCTGCGCACCTGACGTGGAGTATGTGATCGAGAACTATGGCCTTACTAATGACGACTTCTTGTAGCCCGCCCGATCCTGACGTCTTGTCGGACGTCGATCGGGCAGCCGATTCAATCAAACGAAAGCTCATCCAGAGTAATCCTTCCCATGCGCTCAGATTTTCCGATCTCTATTCAAGGCTGCTGGCAGTCCCCGTCCTCAAGTCGAAATGGGCAATCTTATACCTCCTATATGCTCTGGCCGACTCCCCTGACCCGAGAGCGCCACCTCCGCCGCTCAGCATAATCCAGCCTTCTTCTTCGAACTATCGTGAGGCTGTTGCCCGGGATGCAGTTAAGAAGCGTGCTAGGGCTCGCTCAAAATCAATCCCTCTTACAAGAATAGAAGATGACCCAATGGGAGAGTCTCCGATACACGAAGAGCTACCACACAAGCTACCACCATCGAAAGATCAGAGGCGCATCGCAGAAGAACGGCAGCAGCAGCAGCAGCAGCATCTGCAGCAGACAGAGCTGGTGAGAAGAGATGTGTCGGTAAAGTCAGCTCTGCTATCTAGCAACTATGCGGAAATCGAACCATCAGAAACGGCCATCCTTCGAGACCTTCCATTCACACTTCAAGGTGTTTCCTCCACAACTCTCCCTTTTATGAGAGAGGATATCTTGAAGCTTCCCCCTTCACTTCCTCTACCGCTAGTTTCTATTTTACACACCCTTGCCGAGCCCTCGCTGCTTTATCGACGCCTGGATTCTTTCTGTCAAACCCCTGCCAACGGTCTTTTGGCTCAGAGCTTGCGATCGGCGATTAGCAACGAACTACGCTCATATTTAACATTAGTTGCGACTTTGGAGGGCCAGATTCGGAAAGCTTTATCTCTTTTGGATGAGAATGCGCCCAGAGGGGGTATTGGAAATACCGGTGTCACATTGAAGAGATGCGTGGTGTGGACACGAGAGGCAACAATGGGACTGAGGCTCTTGTCCCTGATTGCTGAAGAGTCGGAAAACAAAAAGGGCGGTCAGATTATTACGTTGATACATAATTTTGCTTCTTCCAATGGAGACCCCGTTGTTGCCGCGTTCGCAGAACGGCTGCTGGGTAGCTTCACCCGGCCTTGGTATGGCATTCTTCGCCACTGGATCTATGACGGAGAGCTGTCGGACCCATCTCTCGAATTCTTCGTTAGAGAGCAAACCGACAACGAGGATACTCTACGAATCAAGGGCAATGTTTGGGAAGACAAATACGAGATAGCCCAGGACATGGTTCCCAGCATCATTTCACAAGAGTTTGCTCAAAAGATATTCCTTATTGGAAAATCGTTAAACTTTATCCGTCACAGCTGCAGCGATTCATTATGGGTGGAAGATTACTCCAAAGCTGCTTCAAAAGAACTAAGATATGGCGATACCGCAACAGTTGAAGTATGGATTGACGAGGCGTACAAGACAACAATGAAACGCTTAATGGACTTGATGGAGACCAAATTTCGCCTTTTTGTTCATCTTCAGGCTTTAAAGGACTATATCCTGTTAGGGCAGGGCGACTTTATTGCACTGCTTATGGAATCTCTCGCGGCGAACTTGGACCGCCCTTCTGGTTCTCAATATCGGCATACACTCACAGCCCAGCTAGAGCATGCAATTCGCGGCTCAAACGCTCAGTATGACTCTCCAGAAGTGTTGCGGCGACTAGACGCTCGAATGCTTCAGTTATCTCATGGCGACATTGGTTGGGATTGCTTCACTCTGGAATACAAGATCGACGCTCCCGTAGATGTCGTCGTCACCGAATGGGGTAACCGACAGTACCTCAAAGTCTTCAATTTTCTGTGGCGAATCAAGCGGGTGGAATTTGTACTCTTATCGACATGGCGGGAGTGTATGACGGGATCCAGAAGAGTGTTGCAGAGCCCTATACCCGCCGTAGTCCAGACGTGGAAGTCAACACGAGGTGTACTCGCCGAAATGATACACTTTGTGGGACAGCTGCAGTATTATATCCTTTTTGAGGTCATTGAATCTTCATGGGGCGAGCTGCAAAAGCGAATTCGAAAGGAGGATTGCACACTGGACGACGTTATCGAAGCACACAGACGATACCTCGAGGACATTACCCATAAAGGCCTTCTCGGGCCGAAACTCCGACATCACCCTTCTGATAACAAGGAAAGGACGACATATCTCGATCAGCTGAGCGAGATTCTCCGGTTCATGCTACATTATCGCGACACTATCGTCGGGCTATATTCGTGGACCAGCGCAGAGTATACTCGGCGACAGGAAGCCGAGCTGAGAAACATAACACGCCGTGACGACGATGGAGGCCTTGCATCTTCTGATGACGTACCGTCCGAATTTCCTGCCCTGCAGGAACGTCTACGACAGCTCGGGACCTCATTCCGCACCAGGTTACAGATCTTATTGGGAGACTTGGCATATCAGCCAGACGTCGACATGAGATTTTTGGGAGTTGCCATGAACTTCAACGACGTGTACCAGCCTGCAAGGAGGAAGTCCAAGACGGCTTCAACAGTGACGGCGGCAGCGGCGGCAGCAGCGGCAGCAGCATCGGCAAACACGGCCAAGCCTTGAGCATGGACGGGTTGTTGGGAGAGACAAAGTGCTATCTGCCTCTATAAAAGAACAAAGAGTAGGGAAAGGTGTGTTGTGGCTCCCAACAGAAATTCTTTTGATGGCTCCTCGGAACAAAAGCTGCGACGAGGGCACGATATGATGTTATATGATACGTTTGATTAACTTAATGGGGACTTTTTTTATGGTGTCTCGAGCGGAGCAATTGAGCATGAGACCCTTTAGTGAATGCAGCTTTGGTTAGAAATACGATCTAGCGCAAGAGATGCTCTTATACAATTACGTTGTCCAATAGAAGAAGAAAGAGAAAAACGCGCAGTCTGGTTATGCATATGCATGATGTATCTCCCAAGCTGTCAGACGATGCTGCCCTGCGGTAGCGAATCCCAGATCCCGATTCCCAAATCTCCATTTCTTGTTTTTTTCCCCATCCGGTGTCTTAGCTATTCATGCAAAAGAAACAGACACCCTTGCGCATTCATACGTCAAGATCGACACCGGGTTCTGTACAGTAGTGGTGTGGAATGGAAACTTGCCCTTGGAGGGTGGTGTTAGTCCACAAAGTCGAAGCAGGGAGAAGGACGGATGTGAAAAGGGAAGCTTAATAGATGAAGGCTGTTGTATTTTTGGTTCCATGGAAGCTAAAAGGAGACATGTACGAATGCATTCCTTGAGTACAGCGGCTTTTAGACCAAAACCTGTCTTTGATGGCAGCTTGCTGCAGGGAAGCTCGACAAGACATGGGGTAGACAGTTAGGCTACTGCACTGATCTCTGCAACTCCTTTGCCCAGGCAGATAGTCTACTGTAGAACTAAAAAACGCAGAGCAGCTGCAAGGGGCTATTCTTTACGCCATCTTCTCGTAGTATTGGCTGAAAACTCGTTTCTCCAGTCCAGTAAAGCTCTCGCGGCCCTTCTTGTCCGGGATATGCATAGCAGGGAGGCAACCATCCAATGATAGACGGCAGCCCATGTCCTACTCCGCTGTCTCGTTTCGTAGAACCTCTTGGCAGCGGTTTGTGGACATGACCACGAGGCTCCTCCAGGTCAGCTCCATACGAGGCAAGCCATCAACGTATTGTACCATTTGGCCTTGCGAAAGTACCACTTACGGCGTTCTTTTGCTCCCTAAACTATCAGCTCGTCCAGAAATCAAAAGTCATCGGAGGGTTAGAGTACCCGAGGTACGACACAGGGTAGAACCTCGCAAGTAATCGGCTCAACCTGCTTACTTTTCTGACAAGCTTTCTGGGGGTGACGAGACCACCAGAAGTGGCAGCTGTCTTACGTGGAGATGCCAAATCCGCAATCCGCAAGGAATCTCAGCTGCCACCAAGCTAGCATGTACATAACGAGAGAGAAGACAGCATGTTTTTGTTCCTCCAGCAATACCAGTAACCTAACCACGCAGCCACTTTTAGCTCACCCCCTCCCTTCTGCTGGATATAACAGGCCGAGAGAGGACATGTCTGCATTACACATAGTCCTTTAAAAGCTGAAGATACGTCGTGGCATGCAAAGATAAAAAAAGGAGGAGGTGGTGTGGGTGTAAGGGGGCTTGATATAAAAAAAACACCGGTGAAAGCACATATGTCATAGGTATAGGTGATTTGAATATTTCTTTCTGTCTCGCAGCGCCGCATCGTTGGGGGTGAATGGTGTGCCAAGGAGGTACATGTAGTTTGAATTATCTCGACGTAGACGACATTGGCTGGAAGATGACTCGATTCGCGAACATGGCGATACCTTAGCGCCTTATTTCCGCCTGGGTTGCAGATAATCTTTCTAGAAAGGAGGCAAGTAGTGTTGGAACTGCTGCTATTAGCCACGGCGAAACTGATCAGCATCGATCGCTGGAGAATCGCAGAATCCGCCGTCAAGTCATCTTGGGGCTGTTGCAGGTATATGCCTAGGATTATTATCCGCTGTTCCTTGCAAATTTCCCAGACGTGAAGCTTCCATGAAAATTCTCGAACAAAAAAAAATAACAGAGAGGACAGGGCCAGCATCGGGGATGCCGTAGGAAGCGATCCCCGTCGCCAAATCCAGAATTTCCCCCTATAAATTGCTTTTTCCAACAAGCCGGGGGGGCTCTTGTCAAGCGGTGGAGCCATCTTGTTGCGGTCGTCCGATACAACGTACAAGTAAGGCTCTGACAGGCTTTCGGCTTCCTTCTTTCTTGTTTTTCAGCGGAGAAATACGCATCGCTAGCAGTATTGCGTGCATGCCCTCACACATGGCTGCATGGATGGGGAAATCCGAGGTATCGTGTCTGCACTCCAGGTTTGTCTGTCTCATGTACCGCCCCCTGTCGTTGTTGGTAATTCTTCACAAGCCCGTCTGCCACGTCAGGCCCATGCTATTCCGCCGGGCAGCATCTGCGTAGTGGTATCAAGGTATCAAGTACTCGTACGAGTGTTGTAAAGTAATTTTTTTTACCTTTGGCCGGGCGACACAAACATGCTGGCAGCGATGCTTTTGAGTGGACCACGGCCCAGGCCAGAGACGCATTGATGCCTTCGGACAGACGGACAGATGCCCTACCAGAATAGCACGATCCGCTTCCCCAAGGGAGAAACTCGTGTCCGCCTCGATGCTCTTGCTGCTGGTGTTGGGGGCACAAGAACGGACGCCTGATTTGTCTGCCTACCTATCCTCGTGCCTTTCCGCTCGTGCGCCTCAACTCGCCTGCAATCACGGCTTGAGACACCGCCCTCTGAAGCTACTCATCAACGTGCTAATTCCTGGTGCCAACAGCGGCGGCAGGGCAACGCTGAGTCGCAAGGTGCTGTAGCATCCCAGGCATCTATTTTCGAGGTGGCCAGTGGGTTTCATTCGGGCCAATGTTCGCCTAACTTGACTCCGAAAGTATGAAGTCCGTACCCTCTTATTCGCATCTGTCCAGTTAAAGTACCTTCTCCATCATGACGACGAAGCCTTGGTACCTCGAACTTACAACGTTAGTAACTCTTCCGAGAAAACTTTGCTTACTACTAGGTAGTAGCAGCTTGCCTTGTTTGTTTGAAGAGAGCTTGTACGGGTAAGCTTCCGCCTGCTGCCCTCAACGCTCAGCTTTGCTTTGCGCCACTTGCCCCCTGGTCAACTCGAAGCTCTCCAAGGGGCGGGCCCCTGTAGTTTGTTTGGTCCCCGCAATATTACCCCAAATCTCCCAATTAATCGGGACGTCGGAGAGCCATTGCTAGCGGTAGCGTGTTTTGTTTGCTGGCTAGGGATTAGACGGCATTGAATGGCGGTTTGCCCAACGCTTTGCTTCCAGTCCTTTTGCAAGGCGGTTTCGTGTCATTTTGATTAGCGGCATGGGCGACGTGTACAAATAGGTACGTGAAATGCACGGGTACTGGAGTACCAACGTGTCTCTCGGCTCACTTTGGCAGCCCGATAACTGTAAAATAGCCAATATCAGAGTTATGTGGCATTTATACAGTTTTCACGGCAAGCAGTAGAGCAAATAAAGCATCCATGGGTCTTCCGAGGCTGTTCACACCTTCCCCGGACCCGCCTATACCCACCCCTCCCCCCTTTTCTGCCTTTTGCCTCTTCTTACACGCCCCATATCTGAACTGGGCACTGGTCCTGGGTAAGTACCCAGCAGCTCCTTGAAATAGAAATCCTCATCTACAAAATCCTTGACGTGGACAAAGCGTGTTTGCAGTTGGTGCTAGCGGTCATCCGTAGCGGTAATCTGTCGCAGACAAGCACCAGCAATGCTCTCTACTCCCCATGCGTAGGCTTGTCTACCTCTGACCGAGTCCTTCATGCAGCTTGCCACAAACGCGGCGCGAGCATCCCCGGATTCCCCAAGCGATTCCCCGGAGCCTCTCTGGTGCGCCCAGAATGGTAAAATTACAAACCGTAATAGTCCATCCAGCACTGAATCGTGCCACCTTTACACCCCTCCACAGAGGTACTTGGGTCAAGGAACATGCTGGCCAGGTACCAAATTTGCTCTCCAAGGCTGCTGTTCTACCTGTTGTCGACGACCAAGCACGTTCTTCGGCTAATCGCACCCCCTCTCCCCAACAGCAGTAGCAGCACAAACTCTGCTCTTTCCCTCTTACACGCCCTCCTCGTCTGGAGCCGCCCTTCCGAGCCCCGTCAACGCCTTCCCTCCACTTCGTACTTCGTACCTGTTTCCTTTTCTTCCCTGCCCTATGGCCCCGATCTCTCTCGCTTTTATAATTCAACCTTCCCTCCTGTCTGCTCTTCTCGGCTGTCAAAGAAGAAAAAAGGTCCAAGATCCTTTTTCTTTAATCTCCCATCTGGGCTGGCTTCTGCTTCTTAAGCTCCTTTCCATTTACAGCAATTATTATTGCCCTTCTACTACCTCTGAAATATCAGCTCGGTCAAACTCGTCGCCGCTTCTTCTCTCTCACCAATCTTCCTCTCCCACTGTTCTTCAATCGCCAGCTGGTGCTGTCTGTCGGCAGATATTCTTCCACTACCCCCAACATCTGGTTGATTCCACCGAATTTCCATCTGCGAGCTGCACTTGATCGGGCCTGCCAACTCAAAGCGTCAGTAACAAACCATCTCTCTATCTGCCCTTTATTTTTCTCTTATTCTAATATTTCTTAGTTCGCTTCATCAGCCAGCTCAGCTAGACTGCCTCTTTACTTCGCCCACAAAACACACGGCTTATACCAGCATCAACACCGGCAACATGTCAAGTGGTCAAATCGCAGCGCCTTATCCCATCAAGCCCACTCAGCGGGCCAACATTCGGCTGGCAACATCCGAAGATATCTACTCCTCGCTCAGCACTTCTCTTAGCCCGCTAAAAGGCCATCAACGTCCCATCATCCCTTTTGATCATGCACCCGTGATCAAGGACGGCAGCAATTCCCCAGCCACTGCCCATCCCGTCTTTGAGGGTGATTATACCGTTCCAGCTCCTCCACCACCGAGTCCTGTTAGCTTCAGGGTCGATCGCTGGCCCGCGCCAGCTTGTCGCTAAAGGAGCCGAGTCCTGTTACACCATGCTCAGCCTTGTTCATCAGACTGAAAAGGCCCGACGCATAGTTGATATGGGGTGATCAGGCCAACCCCACTATCATTTACTCTTCACTTCGGTCACTGTTGTACACTAGGGTTTAGACGGCTGGTACTTGCCTTGTTTTTTCTTCTTTTTTTTTTTTTTCATTTCTTTTCCTCTAGCTTGGAGTTGGTGAATTAGGGACGGTTAATGGTTAATGGTTAAGTACAGTGGGATTTGGGCGATATCTGGGAGGACAAAAAGACAAAACCCGTGGGCTGCTTGTATTTACTCTGTTATTGGGCCTGGCCCAGGACAGGCAATTGGCAGACGACACGGGGCGAGTGATGGCTATAGTTTTTCGGGTACGAGCTTTTCTCTACTCAGTTTGTTTTTCGGTCGAGTCATTCTCCTTCTATAACCAAGCTTTTAATGCTGTACAACATGAATTTCCCGCTACTGCGCGGCAATAAGACCACTGCAGCATGCAAATTTCGCAATGCGTGCCAAAAGAAGAGCTAGTACCGCTCAGCCTCGATGTGATACAAGACAGCTGGATATGGTTGACTCATAAGAGCGGTCAGAGTACAGTAGCTATTGGCCGTTATGCCTCCATCCTTCGCCGCAAGGATGTAACTATAGCATGCATGCGCCCAATCAACCACGCTCGCCGCCATTGCCATTGGCTTACACGAGACGCATCAGCGAAAAGCTTGCCACTGCCACTCTCGCTAGCGACGAAGCTACTTGCGAAGATGGGACGGCTATTGGCAGTTGTTGGATGCCGCACGGAAGTACAGGCAGGCAATATACTTGGCTGCATACATGTATGTATATGATATACTAGTAGTAGCAGTAGCAACAGGAATCCTGGCCATCATATCCTACTACTGAGAATTGATGTCTATTTATACCAGACTCCGAACAGCTCTATTTGCTAGTGCCCGTTGAAGCGTGTGTGTGGCTCTCGGTGTGGGGGAGGGGCCGGCCGCCACTTTACGCGCCCACAGGGGGCAAATGTAGCATCAATTGGGAAATGGCAGCTGTAATGGTGAGAGGAGCAATCTGAATATAATAGTGTGCCGAATTTTTAGGGCATATTTCTGAATAATTTTGACGTCGTTATCTTAACTCCGATGGAGATGGGAATCTTTTCCTTTTTGGCGGCTAGAGGATAGCATTTACAGATGCCCCTAATTCACATGGGCGAGTATGCTCACCACCAAAGGTCTTACATAGTAGATTGCTCAATGCGAATAACCTGTTCGTGAACTTCCAAGTTTATTTAGAGCAAGCTGCAGTGCTCCGTATAGGTATGGCACTTTCAACTTATAGACCTGCGTCTATATTTGTAACTCAATACTTTTTTTGCTACCTTGATTACGTATATCATTGCCATAATCTCTCATACCGGTCGACCACTTCCAAGTGCCGTCTTCATTCTTGCTTGCGAAAACTGAAGTGGAGCCAGCCTCCTCGATGATAGCCCAAGGCGATACTTCTTATCAACCACTCTGCCTAGCCTCCACGAGCTATTAGTCGGAGAAGTCATAAGCACTTTGAACTTTGGTCTCAGATTGTAATCCTCAACTACCCGCTGCAGACATTCTAGCACTATCGCCAATTTCTTGAATAGCCCATTGAGATCTAAATCAAAATGAGATATTCCATCAATAACAAGGAAAAGAGTGGTATCGGGAGGAAATTGGCAGATGAGTTGATGCAGAAAGTCACATAGCTCATCTAGGCTGTGGTTCTCCAGAGCCTGAACGAAGCTCCGCCGATCAAGAATGTTCAAATCCAGCAGACTTCTGTCGTATAGAAGGACCAGTACCTGGATAATCACTGACAGGACCAGGCCAGTCGGGCCGTACCATCTATCTTTAGGCCTAGACTGCAGGCCACAGTGGAAGTATAGCAAAATATATGATGAATCCAGGTCATTCATGCTTAAGATGAAGTTGGGACAGAAAAGAGACATGGCAGAAATTTTTTCGAGGGAAACAGCGCCGCGAGTGGAAAAGTTTCCGTCAATGAGAAGCTTATCAGGATGTTCACCGCGTATCCACTGCAGGAAGCGCTCTTGGTCAAGGATGGAGTGAGCTTGTGCTTGGGGATTAGGATCTACCCTCGAGTCCCAGTTCACGACGGTCTCAAGGTCTTCGTCGCGTTGTGCCAAAATGCGTTGAAAGTCAGTTTCGATGTTTCCAACAAGAATCTGATCAGGAGCTGGGGCTGATAGAATTTGAAGTAGTCTTCTGAATGAAATGACCGCCTTTTGCTGCGGAGTGTTGACCAGGTTGACTTGCTGGGTTTTTTTGTAGAGTTGTAGTTCTTGTTCCTTCTCGTCAAGTCGCTCTGCCAGGAATTTGTTCTCTAAGATACCGGGTTAGAAACTGTGGCTGTGATTCAGAGATATATATACTTGCCTTTCAGCTTTTCGCTTAATAAGATTCTTAACCCATCGGTTGCTTCTTCTCTGCTCTGCAACAGTAAAACAGGGCGTTGGTTAACATCATCAAACCCTTTCGAAACCTGATCGTTCATGTCCCATATATGGTCTGATGTTCGTTTTACATCATGTAGAACCTCATTAGTTTTCGCGTGTGTAGCTTCGATATGCTGGTCTCGACACGTATCAACAGAGGCTTCGAATCTTTTGCCTGCATTGTGAACACTGTCCAATATCCCATCAATGCTCTTTTCTTACCGATAGCGTCTTTTTTCTCCTCTATCAGCAGCTTTGAGTGCACTGTAAACGTTAGCAGATGGACATGAGATGAGAGTAGGCTATGGATTTGGGACTCCATTCTTTAACCTTCAAAACCACATACATCTTGAAGATGTAGACGGCGCCAAGACAATGTCTAATAGCTTTTCAATAGCATCTACAATGCTGACATACACATTGCCGGCAGACTCGCAGACCTGCGCATCTGTCTGAAAGCTCCTGCGCTTCAAGGTAGCATTGCAGATGATCTGTTGGATTTCGGAGAATGCGTCCATAATCTTTTGCCTATTATCTGCGTGTCGTTGTGCAAGCTTAGCAATTAGTTAGTAATTGCATTAGACACAGTAATTTGAGAGTCATACCTTCATCAAGACCAAAAGGCCCGACTTCACGATGCACAGGCCATAGTCATTTGGAATTAAATTGACCCACCGGTCAATAGTTTCTTTGGTAATTAGCATTCGAGAAAACACTCGCGAAGCGCCTTTTTTCAAGTTTGCCGCCTTTAGATCTGTTTCGGCAAGCTTATCCAACTGCCGATTCCATTTTTGCATTTCGTCTTCTGAAGGATTGGGCTGTAGTGCCAATGTTGGGCCTAACAGTTCGGACTCTACAACCACCCTTCGAAGATTCCTAAATCTTCCCATCAGCGTGTTGATCTGGTAAAGGTGAAGGAGGAGGCTGTATCAATATTCCAAGTTCTTCGGCACCGGATATCGAAGTTTTCCATCGGGTTCAACCCGTAATCCACCAAAAGCAACACGGACCGTTGAAGCTTCTTGATTTGAAAGCGAAGCTTTGACACTGCTAGTAGCTTCTGATTGCCCTTTCCGCTTTGTTAGACCCATTATCTCGACTTTGTACTCAGCGACAGCATAATAGCCGACCGTCCAGCAAGATCGAGGGCTCAACTTCGTTGCAACAATGATCGGGCACTCTACTACTATTGTTATTTCGCAGCTGTAGAGGAGTGGAATACTAGCTTAACGGTGGGAGAGTGGTGACCAACCATACCTGCTTGTGGCTGATGGGAAATCCAAAAACTGATGCCCAACGGCAGGCATTGTTGCAGTACAACGTATCACTATGAGAGCTACGATGCATGTAAGCAAGTTACGATAGGCTGAGGTCCCAGAGGGCTTAGCCATTAATACTCATCCATCCTGTAGTTGGGGGCGAAATGCTGCTTGAATGATGATTTGATTGGCAGCCTCGTCCACCGACTGCATCCGGTTGCATAAAACGATATATTTGGGCTCCGACAAAGTTGACCGTTCTATTGTGGGGATGATGTTGTCTCGTTGGATCAAAAGACAAGCTCGAATGGAGTACAAGAGCCTGGAAATGGTGCCGTGAGAGATGAAAAGCCTCCACATCGCCCGAATTCTTACAGCATATACGGTGCTGAAAATCCTGGCGAGGGTGAGCTAGAAAGAAGACATATCCCGGCAGGTGTCGATAACGTCGACTTTGATGAATCCGAAATTAGCGATCTTGAGCTGGATAACCCGACGGCATTGAGACATATGCGTTGTTACATACAGTTCATGGAACAAATAATTTTGCCTCTCGAGCAAGCAACTAGGGATTATATCACGAAGAGTGGGAGAATAAAATCAAATGATCTATGGCATCTGTTCCAGATTGGAGATGCCATCTGTGTCCGTCCAGATCAGTTCCACAACAACAAACGACGTTTGTAATCTATCGGAAGGTGTTGCCGGCCATTGCAGACGAGTACCCTGACGACTTCGATAATCGTGGTTTGACAATATGGTGCTATTACGTTGACAACGATGGAGATGGATATGGCATGGTGGAAGAGAGATTTACTATTGATGGCTATGAAGGCGAGAAAATGATCATCGACCTTCCGATATACCCACTCCATCATATGCATGATTATGAACCACGGCACACTGAACTGGAAAAGCACGGACAACATTTTCAAAATATGGTCAAGGAGAAGCATGTATACTGCCAAGGTTGGACATTGCCAGACAACCCAATAGGGAAAAATCTGAAAAGGAAGACCTTGCCTATAGCCCTCCTGAGTATATGGACAGCGATGTCATCATTGACATCAAAGAGGCTTTAAACCAGAGCCCGGACTGGAAATTGAGGTTTGAGTTAAGTCATGGAGTCTCAGGGGATGGTTCGTGGTAAAATGGATATGATGAGATGGAAGTATACCTACCATTGGAGTAGTGACAAAAGAACGCAGATATTGGTGATGAAACCAGAGAAGACACAGCTGTCGGAAGGATGCGGAGACGAGATTTTGCAAAGTCGGAAGAAAGACACGCGTCCAGCAGGGCCACACGACATCGAAGATGGAAGAGGCAATATAATCAGATCCGCCACCCTCGTCTTACCCCGTCGTTTCTTCGCCTATCTCCTCCGCAATAAAAAGTTCGCTAGTGTTGATGTAATGACAATGGAGAAGATCGCTGCACAGGAAAACAAATTTGATGACTTGAAGATAGACCAAAAAAAACAAACAGATGGTCAAATCCTTGGTGGCGTCGCACTTTGACAAGAGAGAGCTACAGAAAGCCAAGCCAGGACTTGGCTTTATGAATCAAGACCTAATCCGCGGCAACGGATTGGGCCTTTTCATTCTTCTACACGGCGTCCCAGGTGTTGGCAAGACGGCAACAGCCGAGGCGGTAGCGCAAGCCAATGGCAAGCCTTTATTTTCTATTACCTGTGGTGATCTTGGTATTACTCCAAAAGAAGTCGAAGAAGAGCTGAATGGCATCTTTCGGCTGGCAAATCTCTGGGATTGCGTGCTACTTCTCGACGAGGCAGACGTATTCTTGGCAAGACGAGACTCTTGGAATTTGAAGAGAAATGCTCTTGTGTCAGGTTTGTTATTGGGCTTCTCTTTGGGTTTGTTTATCCCGTGTACTAAAACTTTTAAAAGTCTCTTTACGAGTTCCCGAGTATTACAGTGGTATCCTCTTTCTAACAACCAACCGAGTGGGTACCTTGGATGAAGCTTTCAAGTCTCGACTCCACGTCAGTCTATACTATGAACTGTTGACGCTGTCCCAGGCTGAGAAGATATTTGAGATCAACATTGACAAGCTGAGAAGATTGGAGCAAGAAAAGGAACAGAAGCTTGCAGATACTGGTATTAAGCATCCGAAGCTCATCATCAACAAAAACAGTATCTTAAATTGGGCTCGGGATTACTACAAGCAGGCCGAAGGCACAAGCGGTTCCACGCAGTGGAACGGTCGGCAAATTAGGAATGCTTTCCAGATTGCCTCGTCGCTTGCGCGCTATGATACGGCCAAAAGAGCGTTGGAGAGAGGCAAAATGCCCAGCCCAATTCTCAACAAGAACCATTTCGAAATGGTAGCTGATACGATTGGGAAATTCGATGAATACATGCAGATTGCGACTGGTAAACCAGATTCAGATCACGCGCGCATTGAGGGCACTCGAGCAGATGAGGTGAGATTCAGCGAATAACTATCATCGGCGCCTTTAGCGTGGCTGCAAAATAAATGAAGGGAAAAGTTATCCAACACCCCAATTTCATTATCCACGACTCTAGCTGTAGCTTAATAACATAGAGGCTGTTAGTCCATATATCTGAGATGTGCAGCTGCTGAATACATTAAGAAATTGTAGCAGTAGTAGCAATGATAGCATTAACAGCAGCAGCAGCAGCAGCAGCAGCAGCAGTAGGAACCTGTAGTAAAGGTGCAGATAGTAGAGATTGGAGATGTAGCAGATGTAGTAGACGTAATACTAGCAGCGATAGCAGTGATAGCCCACCACACTACCTCTGCATAGCTGGATTGCTGGATAACTTTTCTCTGAGCGAAACGCACTCATGATACATGGGAGTCATCAAAAAGGGTAGACCAAGGGAGGCGTGGCACAAGATCTGATTATATGCAAACGCGAAGCAATACCAAATTGGTGCAGAAACATCAATAGAAATGTACATGATCGTCTTGTAACAGCGGGTTTGGAGATGAGAGTAAGAGATGGAGGCAGAATGGAACATTACAATGGCAAAGGCCTTGACTGCTCTATGAGGATAGATAGGGCTATACGAGTTACTATAAACTAAAACCCACTTTGTTTTAGCTTTTTCTTTGGCATCTCAATACTAGAACGTATACATGATGGAAGAAGACAGAAGATGCTTGATACCTGTTTGTAAGGTGAAATGCTAAAAGGCTAACTACTACGCAGCTGAGGTATCAGTGTGGGGGAGGGGCCGGCGCCACTTTACGCGCATACAGAAACACACATTTCTCAGCGCGGCGCAGAAAACTGAGACCGCGTCTCATAGGCGCGTCTGCGGGTCGCGTCGTGAAATCTTCCCACCCCGGCACTATGGAGCAGCAATTCCGTTGTCAAGGCAATTCTATTCGGCTCCTTCCTCTCTTTTTCAGCTTGCAGCGTTTTAGCACTTTGCAGCTTCCCGCGTTTTTCGACGTTTTCTTTCTGCAGGCAGTGACGACTTTGTTTTACATCATCAGACAACTCTTTCCTACTAGCTATTGTTTTTTTTTTGTGTAACAGTAACAACCCGCGCTTCTGGGCTGCAAGCACGGCTCTTGCCGATTACTTTCTGCATCGTTTGGAACTGCAGGTTAGGCACGCTGTCGGGAAGAGAAGGAGCAGGCGGAAACACCACACCACACATATTAGAATAAGGAAGGAGAACACATCATGGCCCGAACAACAAGAAAGCGCCAGGCCGAGGCTCCCTCAACAACTCAATCCATCAGCAGCTTCACACGCGTATCCAAGAGCCAGGCTTTCCCCGATGCAGCATCCAAGAAGGCCGCCATCTCCAAACCGGAACCGACAGCTTCACGGAAGAGGAAGGCCGCAGTCGACGATGCCGACAGCAACCACCATCCTCGGGTCACAAGAAGGACCGTCTCCTTCACCCCCAGCAGCGATGAAGAACCAGTGCCTGCAGCGCCGGCAAAGCGTGCCCGGAGAGGAGAATCCAACGTCGAAGCAGCCATTCCGGTAGCAGTAGTGCCCGCTGCGAAACCTGCACCAAAGACCCCGGTCAAGGGAAAGAAGGTTGCCAAGTCAACGCCTTCACGGGCTGCTTCTGCACATAAGCCCAGCGAGTCGACCATCATCGCAAAATCCAAGCAGGGCGGCAAGACTGTGCAGACAAAGCTTGAGGCATATCGCGTAACTAGCCAGAAGAAGACAAAGGAGGCTGAAGGCGAGTTCAGCCCAGAGCTGGTCGATCTGATCCGCCTGCACAAGGCCTTCCTCCAGACTATCGCTCTCCAGATTGTCCACAACGGAACCATCGTGCCTATTGACATTTCGTCTGTGGTTCCACACATTTCTCGTACCTGGGGCAAACGACAGGTCACGGTCGACGACATCCGAATATGCATTGCCGTCCAGACATCCGCAACAGATCCCGACGTGGTTTCTCCCTTTATTGTGTCCGATTATGGTCGTGGAATGACTTGCATAGAGCTGCACCCTGACCACAACAATGGCGGTGTATCCATTAATGAAGAGCGACTTTCCAGGCAGTTTGAAGGGAATCTCCGAGCACTCTGCGCTGGCCGAGCACAAGACGATGTCGCCGATGTAAATGTGCCTCTAGCCAGCTTGTCTTTGAAAGAACTGCCTCGCGCTGAAATTAGGAACATGGACAACAGTATCAAAATCAACCCAATCCTGAACAAGGGACACAATGCCCTTTCAGCGCTCAAGGAAGGAATCGTTGCGAAGCAGCAGGAAAAAGATGTCAAGCAGCAGGCTACCACGGCCACGGTAAATCCCGACGGTACCAAAATGAGCCTGTTGGATCGTTTACGACATAAGCAGCTCGCCAAAGCCAACGGACCTCTCCCCCCATCCGGACCGGAGCTTCAGCGTCGAGCTGCTTTGAACCGAGTCACCGACGTTTGTGCCACTGTTTCCATGCTCAGCTTGTCTAACACAGCTTCTCTGCCGAGACAAGCTTTTACCATGGCACTCATCTCAGACAAGCTCAGGGACTCTTTACGAGTTCCGCTTTCAAAAGAAGAAGGGATGACTTGTATACGACTCATTGCCCACGAAATCGCCCCCGAGTGGCTCAAGGTTGTCACAATTGGCGGGAGAGAGAATGTCGTGATCCAGAGAGGCCTCCAGCCTGTTGATCGTGTGATTCAAGAGCGAGTACAGAAGCTACTGGCGTGATGGAGAATTTTTGTTTTGACACTTGTTTGTGTCAAATTTTAACAACTGCACTGCGAACAATATCGAATGGAATTGTATATTATACCAAAGAGGCTCTGAAGAACGTTTTGGGTGTTTTCGACATTGCATTGCGCTGCGTTTTTGTCGGTATCACATTTTCACACCGCGGAGAGAAAAAGTCTACAGAGTGAGTGTAGAAGACGATGCATGCATTGGAGTACAGGGTTGGGTTTTTTCTTGTATAACGAATGGATTCAAGTTTCAAGTATCAATTAAGATGGATGTACGTTGGAAGCTCAAAGAAGTTATAAAAACTGAACAAAATCCTCTCTTCCATATACCTTACCGGCCAAATGTGACCTGATGAACTACAAGAGCTTCGACTTTGTCCGACCATGCATGACAAAGGAGCTACAGACGGACCTTCGCCGATGTTGTTGTTACAATCGCTTATTTCACACTAATGTAAATCGGCTTCTAAGAGTGACTCTTATCATCAATGGGGGCCGATTTATGTGCGTCTTTCTTACGGCAGAGCACGAGAATGGTAGCCACGACGTCTTGCTGGCTAATGCAGAGCATCGAACTCGAGGCAAAAAGTGCCCGAACCACGGCCGGCAATAGCACGGGCTTTGCCGCGAAGAACAAAATCTACAGCTTGCCATACTTTCAATCATCTAAGAAGATCCAGAAAAAAAGCCCACTTCGGAGCAAATATAACGAATGAATCCGGTTTTCGCAAGCAAATCCTGCCCTAAAAGCTGCAGGGCGGCCGTTCCTGTGCCGAGGCACGGTCAAAAGGTGATACACTAATCTTACTCCCAACTTGCGTAGAAAACTCGGAAAGAATCGAAGCTTTCGAGAGCCTAAAGGCGGGCCGATGGCGGCTTCGATCTACAAGGATTCTTTCGTCCCTGGCGAGCATACAACCAAAGAGCTTGGCTGGCTGGGTAAGCCCGGGAGCGGCTCCGCTTCCCGGGGGGAGGCTGCTCCGATAAGACAACCGGACGGGTTTGTCGAGAAGGCTATATGGCGGCTTCTTGATTCGGTTACATACACCTTGACCAATTTTCCGGCTGCTGGTGGACAATAAATTCTGTCTAGGGCCCCTTTGAATCGGCGTTTCAGCTTCCCTTTCTGTACCTGTTTCTTGTGATGTATCGATGTGTTGAAGTTTCTTCCTTGTTTTGCTTTGTATAAGCACTCGTACCTTCTTTAGCTGCGAAGACAAACAGTTAAGCCATATTCATTGCATCTACATGGCTGCTCGTGACAATTTGCATATCGTCTTCTCCTTCATATACTGAAGTCTTTCAACTTTGAAAGAGTGCTTCTATTCGGTCGAGCCAAGGGCGATATGCCAGCCTCGTGATTTGGGAAACAGCTGTGGATCGAGTATATCGTATCTCGCAATCATGGTTTCCTCCGAAGAGAAATCGTTCTCGAGGGCCCCTGAGACCAACGAGATTTCCAAACAGCCTCAGCAGCCTCACGGTAAAAATGGTACCGAACGAATGATCGAGCCGGCAAAACCAGTGGGGGTATTCTATCGATCGACGTCTCATGTGTCTGGACCAGATGCATTTGAGCCATCCTCACCACAGTCGCCATTACCCTCTGATGGTGGCTATCATGAGAGAGGAGATGAAATATACGATCGCGTGTCATTACGCCGCAAACATATCATTGTAACGGTGTTGTCCTTTTGCGCTTTTCTCTCGCCATTGTCAAGCACTAGCATCCTGGCTGCTGTTCCTGAAGTGGCAGAGACATATAACACGACCGGCTCTATTATCGATGTGAGCAATGCTGCATACATGGCTCTGATGGGTATATCACCTGTTATCTGGGGGCCAATGAGCCAGGTATTCGGCAGGCGACCAGTAAGTTGAGCTGACCCCTGTTCCTCTATACAAGATGCGTGGCCATGTACATCGCTGCATGCTGCCGCGTGTTATCACGAGAGGCGAAGCTTTCAACTTGCAGCGGCACGCATGCTAAGTGATATAGATGACGCTGTTAACAGCCGTGCTGTTCTTCTTGTTGAGCATGGCTACTGCTCTTGCTCCTAATCTGGCAGCCTTTTTTGTCTTCAGAGCGCTTTCAGCCTTTGAAGGAACAGCTTTCATCCTGTTGGGAGCAGCCTGCTTGGGGTAAGTAACCTGGCCACGAGCATAGTCTTTTCGCGATAAGTCCTGGACCGTTGGGTATGCACCTGATAAGCAACCCACAAGCTTAATGAGCAACGGTGTCTGACGTATAATTGGCAGTGACTAACAAAGAAG